TGGACAGCACAATTGCACACCTAGGCACTAGTATGTCCAGTCTTCACACGATTGTTAAAATAAAAAAAACACTGTAATGTATTTATTACTCCTCTGAACAATACTACGCCATGCCTTGGTAAGATTAGATATATTGTCAATGTATCACAATTGTATAACGATAATCTACAAAGACTTGCTACATCTAATAGCCTGCGCAGTAGACACGCACCACTATCGTGGGATCTGGATGAAAGCCAAATAAGTTCACGAACGCGGGTGTTCTGGCTTTGACTGCTCGTGAATTAATTTAGAATGAACGTGCGTTTCGAGAAGTTGGCTGCTCTAAATTTACACATTGTAAGCCACTATCACTTGTGGCCAGGTCGCTTCAGAAACAGAGCTCAAAAGCTCAGTGGGCCTTAATGGTAAAAAAGTAATCATTGTTTTTTACTTTAAATTGTGGTAATTAGCTTGATGCCAACAAATTAAACCAATTATGTTTATTAATGGAAACGTTGGGATGCTGATATTATTTTTTTTGTCAACTGAGAGGCCCCAATCGAATGTAAAGGGAGCCCTGCAACATGCATCCCTGATTGGCTTTGATCGTGGGCTTGCAAGTTCGATAATTAATCCAACGCCAGGAATTCGACAGCGTAATGGGATGAAGATGTCTGAATGCTCCGCAATGCACTTGTATTGCACTGTAACGGCTGACCCTGAGCACGTGTCTCCCGTCAGCATCTTGACACTCTGGGCTCCGATGCACTCACCACTGCCTCGATTCAGCAGTAGATTGACCATGGCTGCTGCAGACGATGATCGATTCATAGATACCCCACTGATAAATGTGGAGGAATTGTAGAAGAAATAACCTATTATTCAAAAGCCTCGACACAAATGGTTAAGTGATGAAACGGCGACGGGGCCAGGAATTGAATTAGCAAAATTAATAGTTTCTAATAATTCTAAGCTCGATTGCATCAACTACACACCATGCGATTTCAAATGGCACTGGCATGCATTGAAATTGATGACGCCTTCTGCTGGGATGAGTTCTCTGGCAAACATTTGGTGGATTCAGATTGGCCATTTAATAAACTCGAATTTCGGCGGTCTGTGCGCCTCGCCCGTCGTCCCCACTAATGTCCTCTTACCCCCTCCCTCCCCCAATGTGTGCAGCTACTCCTGACTCTATTGTACATAGGATGTGTAGGCATATATAGTCAGTAGATAGTAGATACTACTGACTCTAATCATTCTATTGTATATAGGATGTGTAGGCATATTTGCCTACAATATACATTTATTTGGGGGGATCGACAATTTTAGTAAACCTGTTGGATCAACTTTTTACCTCCACATCTGGGGGGTGGGGGGATTACTTTCTATAACTTTTTGATACAGGTCTTCTGAAAGGTTCTCATATAATTTAGCTGACGGACAAACGGAACGCCGGGCTTTTATAATAGACAGATGGACTTAATAAAAACGTTTCTTTCGTACGCAGAGTGCGCGTCGATTAACATCAGTGGCAAGTGACATCAAAACCAATCCTGGCACTCACCCACCCTTCACCAAACCTGCAATGAGCAGCGCTGTGATGTATGATAAATATGATGTATGATAAATACATCACATTACTGACATGGCCTGGAGAAGAAGAAGCCTTCATTCACTCGTGAATTGACAGTAGCTTGGGTTAAACAAAAAAAATATTTTACAAAATGTATCCTGTACATTCATGGATACGAATGCGACTTTATATGTCAAAAGACGAACGGTCTGGAATTGTGTTCAAATGAAAAATGGAATTGATGCAGTCTGAATGTGTGCAAATGGTATAGATTATCTGACAGAAGGCTTAGCTGTGAACGTAGAGGCGACTTGAGAGATCGCAACCGCTAGCCTAACACATGTGCCCTCTAACATGTGGCAGTTATTATCAACGCAGCAATCGCTGTGTGCCAGGGAAGGACATACGTCCACTGGCAGTAATTATATTTTTTCATAGTCGGAGACGCACAAGCTTAGTTCTCGGCTCACGTAGGCATGTAAGTGGACGTACACGTTCTAACATGCACAGCCCATTGTCAATCCACTGCTGGATGAGGGCCTCCCCACACCATCATGCTGATAGTGGGTGTTATTTGTAAAAATAGTACTTCACGTTGCTTAGTGAGGGTTGGTGATGATAGTCAGCATGTATGTGGAAGTATGAACGTTGAACTTCTTTCACACCGTACGTAGCAAACCGTGCTAATCGGAGGTGCGGTGGGAGGGCCAACATACTAAACACAAAAAGCAGTTCTAAAGAAATTGTGTTTCAATCTAGGTTTAAAGGTGCATAGCTCCAGTGGCTTCCTAATAACGGAAGCATTAAATGACAAAACAACAATTCCCCCTCGCCCCCCAGCCTGTAAGGGCTGTCACTGATGAGACAGGGAGCATCCCACGTGATTTGGTCTCGGTCACAAGTTTAAAATCTCTGCTACAGTCAAAACTGCAAATACATCGAAACAATTGTCACAATTTAACTTTTAAAAAAACCTAATTAAATTGTTAACTTGTAAATACGGGCATAGATTCTGTCCATTTAGTTATGTAATTTTTAAATACACAACTTTCACATGCCTGATATCACTAGTTGCTCATTGTTATACATTATCGACGGTTAGGGACAAGCTACTCATGTCTGAATGAGAATTAATCTTCTTAATGTGTACTAGGATTAACCAACACTCCATCTGTGACATCATAACCTGCTCGGCACTCGATAACACAACAGCGTTCTTAAACTCATAGCTTACGCTATTTTAAGTGACAGTTAAATGTGTACTGACATCACAGCGTGCTCTGTAACGACACCGCATGCTGTTCTTTGTGACATCACAGATTGCTCGGTGCTCTATGCCATGACGGCTTTCTCTGTGCTCTGTAACATGACAGCATTGTGCACTGATATCGCACCTTGAACTCTTGCTCTGTGACATCACGGCATACCCTTAGAGTGACATGTCCCGCCTAAGCCCACTTGTTCTAACAGTGAAACTTATGTCTAATCCATGTGTTCCTCCTCCTGCTCTTCAGTGCAATGCCAAGCATGCGACTCTTTATTGCTCTTCACGCACGTTTCACCCTTTGTTCCATTTTCTTTTGCCAATGTCCACATTGATGATTGATACATTTATACCGCATTATCATGAAGCGTGCGTTCACCATTTTCCATTATATTTTCGATACCGCAAAACGCGTCACGATGACGTGTGCATTGAACATTTGCCATGCATGTTGTATGTACGTTGAACTTCTTTCATGCCGTACGTAGCCGACCCCGCGCGACTAATCGTAGGCGCACAAAGTGACAAACGATGGTGACGTGGCCAAGCGGTTTCGCGTCTGTCGCTTGTTGCAGAGGTTCGCGATCCTGGTGCATGAATCACAAATACTCGCCGTCTACTTCTCAGTGGCGTTATTTTAAAACGAGTAGGCCGTGTGTGCCAGTGTCATGGTGCACAGTTGATACATTGCTCGCAAATGAACTTAATTTGGAAAGCAACGTAACAACATGGCCCCCGACTGACACATGCAGGCGAGCGCTGTGTTCGTCTTGAGCCACACAGGGACAGCTGCCAGCAGGGGGTCTCACGTCGCAGGGTGCCTGGGGATGTACTGCATGGGTTATTAAGTGGTGGTGGTGATGGTTATGATGAAGGGTACGTATTGTTACATGGCTTTTTTTCAACTATGAACCTCACACGCCTATACAAATATAAAGGCATGCTTTCTAACGTAGCTCATTCAACAGTTACTTGTATTACCTCTAGTACAATTCATTGCAATAGTACAATTCATTGCATTCATTGCAGGTCAATAAAACATTGTAAAGGGACAGACAAGGCCTACGGGTTAAACCGACAGATTCCAATATACAGCATTACTTTATTAATGATCAAAAAGGTAGAGGCTATACATTGTAAAAGTTGCATTATTTATACAAAAAATACAACCGTTGATACTGGTAAACGTATGTCAGCTTTAAAGCCACGTTATGGCACTCTTTAACATACACAGTAAATATATATGGAACAAATATCAAAGTCTGAGATGTTAGTGAAGAGATTGTTGATACTACATTATATATGAAGATAAATAAACAGTTACGTGATAGACAAACATTTTAAACGCACAATGGAAAATGTTGTGATAGTCATATGCTATGTACTATATACTAAAACAAATCATGCTACAATAAATTAATAAAACATGCCAAATAGTGTCCAGCAGTAGGTCATTTTCATTATGGTTTCAGTTTTAAATTACAAATCTTGACGGCAAATTCTGTCTCGTGAAGAGACAGGGGAACGCATTTTACTAACCCTGGTTAAACAATTGATTTGGCGATGTCAGCAACATTGTGTGTTTTTTTTTAAGTTAACAATGTGCATATGCCACAGTCACCTAACGTAATCCATGAGGTTGCTATTACTTCAATTTAAAAAAAAGCTCATGCCTCGCTTGGTTCCGTCAAGCAGTCTAGGTAATTTATTCTGTCAATGTTTGTTTTAAAGGTAAGGTATGTAACGAGTACACGTTCGTATATTTCAGGCAAAGTTCAAGATACATTAAACATTTTTTATTTATTTTACCAGGTAAGGCCCCCTGAGCTATACAGCTCTTTTTCAGAAGCGACTTGGCCACAAATGGTAGCCAAGTAATCTAAAACGCACGTTGATTCTCAAATGTGGATGGAAAAATCAGAGCACCCAAAGAAAAAAATCCACACGACCGTGGGGAGAACATACAAACTCCAAATATACAGGCATCAGGGTCGGGAATACGAACCCACGCCCTCCTGCATACCAGGCGAGGGAATCAACGTCTCACCACCGTGGCGCCCCCTATATAACTATGCGTCACATCTCTATGATTAACTGCAGTCAGTTTACAACAACCCCGAGCTCGTATCGACATTTTCAAACTCAAAATGTAATTATTAGCACCACACTAGTCTTTAAGTAATTCATAGTTTTTGAGCACCTTTATTGAAGTCTTATTTTAGACAATGAAGTCATCTGTTGAATACTGCAACAATATCCACATTTGTGGGTATTGGACGTGTGTGCACATGTGTAATTAGCAAAAATTCAAAGCTTTTGGTGATGCCAGCTGACCCAGCTATTAAATTCTCATTGTTGATTCGTGATCAAAACATTGACTTGAAAAATATCCCAGGCTATTGTGATATTAAACATATCACTGTATTTACAACAATCTCTGCTATTGTTCCACTGCATGCATGTTAGGGATGTTGGTAATGTCATAATAGATCTACTTGTAATGTATATTCTTGGTTCCTTCGGTAAAGTCACGTAGAAGGGAAACAATATTATTTTTATTATTTTGTTTCCCTTCTACGTGACTTTACCGAAAGAACCAAGAATATGAATCCCTGCAGTCACGAAAGCTTTAAATCAAAATCTACTTGAAACGATTGTTAAAATTATTATGAGCAGAGGTCATACGGAAAAAAATAATATTATGGGTAAAGGTCATATACATGAGAAAGTGATGTTTGGCAAAAGCAACCAATTACATTTTCAAGTGCAATAACTGCAATGAAATTGAATGGCAGTTGAATGGAATTTTTCCAGTTTTCATCAGCCACCGAAAACGATTAACTGCATTACATCATTTCACCGTGCACAACACATCTTCACGTGGACAAAAATACCACATATTTATCACAAAACAGAGACGATGCTGCTACTTCACGTGACGCAAGCACACGTCCCACTATTTTTTTTTTGTCCACGTAAATATTTTGTCGGTGGTTGGCCGCTCGGTTGATGTCCGCGCTCTCATTGGCTCGCCCTCGCCGTGCCACCGCTCTGCATTTCGCGGACTCTGGTGAAGGCCCTGCCTCCGCGAACCGTCGCTCCCCTCCGCCGCAGCCCTCCGTTGCGGGTCCTCCCTCCGGACGCCACGCCGACCCGGGACGACTGCGTGCGCGTGACCACGGGCGGGGAATTGCGCACCCTCTCGAAGAGGCTCTCGCGCCCAACCGCCCGCTCGCGGCAGGCGAACATGAGGCCGATGCCCACGTCGCTCTTCATGACACGCGACGCCCCGTCGGACGTCCCGTCGAAGCAGCGGCCGAGCGCGATCTCCTTGGCCGTGCGAGGGTCCTGGTCCGTCACCGTGTAAATGCCGTAGTTGTGGCCCAGTGGGTCGAGCGGGGCGAACATGGTGAAAGCTTGGCTCGCATTGTTGGTGGCAAGGGGAGGGTGGTTGGCCAGGTATTCCTGCAGGATGGCGTTCACGCTCTGACGCTGGCAGTCTCCCTGCGGAACGACGGTCACCAGGGTGCGGTCGATGCGGCTCTCGTCGTAGAGCATGCCCCCGCACTTGAACTCAACACAGGCAGCCGACACGTTGGGGTAGGTCATGTCCTTGACGCTGCGCACGTCGCGCATGCCGTATAGTTGGCCCGTGGTGGCTGGGTGCGTGCCGCCAACGTTACTCGAGCGAATCATCACCTCCTTGGGCCCATTGATCTTCACCTTGACGTAGCAGGCACGGAACTCCTGTGGCTTGGGCCACCAAGACAAATAGTTGGCCGTCCAGGACATGAGGTCATTTTCATTAAAGGGTATCTTGTTGAACTCGTACCTGTCACCCTCCACTCTGTAGAAGCGGAAATGGTTGGCCGAGTACGGTGCCTGCTCACACTCCTTGAGATTAACAAAAGCATAAATGGGGCCATTCGTCTCGTCTGGGAGGTTGGGATCAGGCTTGGCGAGGTTGATTTTAAAAGCTGTCTTCTTTACGGCCGAATCTTCGTGGTCCGTCCGCTGGTACTGCAGCTTGTCGAGGAAGGGGCGCGTCACGCCCACCAGGTTGGGGTTGAGTTTGGGTGATGATGGAGCGGCTTCTAGCTCCTCGGCACCCAGACTCGCTGTCACGTAGGCTGTGTAGGCATCTGGCTGGAGGCTGTCGCAGAAGGCAGGTAGGCAGGCTCCGTTGGGACCAGTCACCACGCTGTCAAAGCGGCCCCATGCCCGCGGATTGCTGGCAAAGCCGGCCTTGGGCTCCATGTTTATGAGCGAAACCACAACTCCTTGAACTTGTTCGCTCTGCATGAAGCTTTCACTTCGATACGTGCGCACTTTGACGTAGCAGCGCCGCTCCTCGGGAACGTCTAGGTTAAACATTCGCCGTTCACGGATCTCAACATTTCCAATCAAAAATGTACGCTCTTCCCTCTTACTACGGCGACTCTCCGAGTACTTGAAATCAGCCTCTTCCTCCCAAAGCCCCGTCTCAGTGTTCAATGACCAGAGCTTCATTTTGTTGTGATGCTCCGGCATTTTTATTTGGTTGGAGTCGATGTAAATCTTCACTTTGCCCGAGTTGAGTGTTTCCTGCAGTTGCTCGTCTTTGAAGTCCACCGAAAACATTCCATACGTCCTAAGGGGGAAAATGTCACCTTCCGTGTCAATGTAGTTCAGGTCGCTCGGTGCAGCAGCTGACGTTGCTATCACGCGTGGATCTAAAAATGTAACACTGGCTTTGACGAAGCCGCTGTACACCTCTCCGTTAGCCAGGTAGAAGGAGTTCGGCGGGATTTCCATCTCGGCGATGGGATCTTGGCCCTCTGCCTCCCCAAGAGGGACTATATTAGCGACGGCTGGGTTCAGCGTGACGTGCGGCTTTTTCCGCAGCATCTTGACCTCAATGAAAACGGTGCCTCCCTTTTTGTTGAAGGGCAACACTTTAGTCGAGTCCACCAGCTTCTGCGAAGGGTCGACGAACGTCACGACCAGCCTCTCGGTCTCCTCGGGCACCGGGAAGCTGAAGGTGCCTTTGTACCCCGTGAACCCGACGCGGTTCTTGCCGATGTAGATCTGCCCGAAGCGCAGGGGCTCGTTGTTGTCGGCCGCCACCGCTCGCCCGCGCACCAACACCTTGGGCCTGACGCACTTCCCGCAGCCGCACTCGGTGACCGCCATGGTGGTGAGCTTGTAGCCCTGGCAGGCTATGTCGCGCTCCTCCGTGCGCGCCACGCCGCAGCAGTGCTTGATGGGGTCGCCGCACTCGCCAAAATCGGCGGCTCCGGCGCAAGGCTTGCTGGGGCAGGCGCCGACGTCCATGTAGAGGGAGTTTGAGTCGTTCTGGAAGCAGTCGTGTGGCAGACGGATGAGATTCGCCGTGGGCGTGGGGTTACAGGCCGGGTCCTTCGCAGCTGCATCAGGAGCGGCACACGTCCACACAAACGCACGGCAAAGATGTCACGGGGCACTGAACGCAGGCGCGGTATTTTAACGAGCTGGAAATGAGCCCCTGTAGTCACATTACATTACCAGTCACGGATTGACCATTATAATACACATTATAGAGATAAATAAATCATGCAAAACAGCACTTCTTAATTTTTAATAGGATCTTGCTAGGAAATATTTATTCTGTAATAGAATATAATTCAACAATGATGTATCGTGCTTTTTTAATCCACCGCTGAAGGATGGTCGCCTCCCCGCGCTCTGTGCGTCACATGGGGGTTACATGACCATACTTCACCATGCCAGTCAGTGTGGGTTGGTGGAGGCAGAGAACATAATCATGGGGGTATAGAAGGATGGTAAAACAATATATTTTTCTGCACTGTCCTCTGCTGTTCATAATGTAGCCCCCCACAGAAGCCTATAACACCTGTTGTGCTCTGTGCATATATGCCTCTGTATATGTATGTATGGATATATACTTTATTAAACATTTATTCATGCTGTGCACATTGTGTTGTTCTGAATTGTTTTTTTTTTGCCCCTATTTTACTGTGTATTTTGTACCGACCCCAGGGCTTTCTTGTATAAGAGACGTATTGTTTCAGTGGAAGTGCAACTGGTTAAATTAAATAAAGGCAGCTACTATGGCCGGTATATGTGTACATCTGCTTAATATAGGGTACTTCAGAAAAATGTGAACACTCCCGAGAATTTGCAACAACACCCCAAGAAATGTGCCTCCAGGCTCTGGACACCACCTGGAGAAGATTCCAGGCACGTGTTGACAATGATGGCGAACAAGTGGGGACTCTTTGACTTTTTGAAGCGTTTAACATTACATTTGTTATCATGTTACAGCGTATTAGTATCCATTCTTTTTCCATTAAAAACGATAGTTCCATGTAAGTGTTAACATTTTCTAAAGCATCCTATATTTACATCACTCCTACAATATACAACCCTGCCATCACTGTAATCGGCGAAGGTGCAGCCCTACAAATGCTTGCACACACCACTGCTGGCAGAAGGGCCTCCATCCAAGCGAGCTCTAAGGGAGCTCCTTTATAGAGTATTTGGCCTACTCTTCCACGCTGGACAGACGTCTTGGAAGAGGTGGGAGTACCAACACTTTACGCTATCACATGCGACCCGCCGCTCGTCTAATGGAGGTGTTCCCGTTTACACAGAGGGATGGGCAGAGGCGTGGGCATGGCAGGGGTATTGAGCGCTGCAGTGGCGGAATGTTAACTCCCTCGCTTCGTATGCAGGAGGTCGTGGATTTGATCCTTACGCGGACGCCTGTATATTTGGAGTTTGCATGTCTCTCTTCCCGTGGTTGTGTGGATTTTCCTCCGGAGCCTCCGGTTTTTCCCTCCACATTTAGAAACATGTGTTTAGAGTATTTGGCTGCTACAAATATCCACACGATAAGCCACTTCGTTGAGCTCTCACTTGTGGCCAGGTCGCTTCAGAAAAACAGCTCTATAGCTCAGTGGGCCTACCCTGGTATAAATTAAAAAAATGTAGTTTAGTAAAAGAAACCTGCACTATTGTTTTAAATGCCGCACCAAAAGATCAAACCGTCGACCTGTGGATTGAAAGTCCAGTGAGGTAATCATTACATCACGGCAGCATTCACTCGTTAAAGTACACCTTGTTATTCATGGCAATATACACACTCTTTTTGTACTATTGTATTGCAACAAATGATCTGTTAATGTGTTTTGTCTTCTACATCGAGTAGCACAGCGTGGTAATGTAATTGCCCTCAAGAGTATATTTTCTGGGAACTCAATGTTGTTTTCCACAGCCGAGAACAATTAATACAATCTCTGAGGGTGGAGGAAAACAGATTGTGGCCTCTTAAAAAAACAAAACAAACGAAAAATAACTGCTGTCAAAAGCCACAGCAGCACATTGGCAGACAACGTGAGGGCTCTTTTGTGGGGGCTTGAAAGCTTAGATTAATTAGCCGGGATGATTAAAGGGAACGAATGTTGCATGGTTGGGTGTGCATGCGCTGGCACCAGAATGAATATTCTTAGTCGTGGTTCGGCTCTGGCTTGGCCTCCAACACTCCGTGCTCAGCTCAAGGCATGAGCCGCTCACTTTCTTCCAAAGACGCCACGACAGGCTCAGCCGTGGCCTGGCTCAGGCTCGGCTTGTGACAATCCTGAGCCTGGGTGGTACCCGTGCTCAGAGCCGGCTCAAGTTAAGCGTGACTTTGAGCTGGCTCGCTCGAAGCAAGCCGAACCTGAGCACGAGCCACGACTAAGAATAAGAAGGCCTAAGGTGCAAGGAGGACACTGCGTGGGTTCTCCGTGCAAACTTACGCAGCAACGAGAGCTTGGCTGGGAAGGATTTCACAGCGCCAACCTCGCTCACAGCCTTGCAGTGGTAATCGCCAGCTTGGTGGAGCCGAAGATTAGAAAGCACCAGGCTGCTATCTTGTTTGTGTCCTCCCTGCAGCATGGAGCCATTGTGGTACCTGTGGACATTAGAACACCAGCCAGCACACGCATAGTTGTACACATGCATCGCAGCATGATGCAAGCCGTTATTCTGTTTGGAGAGAGTTTTAAACGACAGCAGGATCTTAGTCATCTTCACAAAGATAATTTGAGATACTCTAACGGGGTTTACCGTGATGCTACAAACGGCGCCCGTGGGTTTTTAGATGCAGGCGATAAGTGTAGGTGGTCAATTAACTATGTAATATGCAGCCCATGTATTATGACATAATAATAATGACACCATGTTTCCCAAAAGCATGTTTTAGGCAAGAAAATGCTGGTCTGGTTTAAACTTTCTAAGTCTTACCGGAAGAGTGGCCTGTTAAACAAATAATGCTGGGTTGTCTGACGTTCGAGGAAAAAGCCCTCTGTGAACACTATAGGACCCAGTCAGCATATTACAGCAAAACAGTAAAAAAACATTCTGCACTGTCACGGTGTTCTAAACAGGTATACTCTCTGCAAGCAATATGCTACATCATAAAAATAGCGCAGATTTATTCAGTTTAACACGTAGGCTTTCGCGACCAATAACATCCATAATAGAGGTTTTTTTGGGTTAGAGCGCGTAAATGCATGCCTACAAAGGGCAGCGTACCTCAATAGGAATTACCGTTGGTAGGGCTATTTAAAAAAGACACAATAGACAGGAGTGACAAGTTCAAAGGGCTCACATAATGCACATGCATCATGTACGTTGTCTCAGTAATCCTACCCTCCCCCCCCCACATTGTGCAAGAGCGCAGAAGGGTGGTCACCACATCTACGGCTCTATATAAGGAACCAAACAGGAGGACTTCTCCACTAATCTGGCTGTCGCCTGATGAAGCTAGCTGTAATTACTGGCGAAACGTCGTACTCAGATCGTAAATGTTGTGGCTTGGCTCTCCAACACACCGGTGTTGCTGTACTAGTGACGAATTGGCCACGTTCTGTTTACTAGTTGGCTGTGTCGGGTGGTGACGGTTTTTAACACATTTATATATTTACGCGATCTAACCCCAAAAAAACCTATATTATGGAGATATATTCAGTAATGAAGATAAAGTGTAAAACTACAAAGTGTCTTTAATGATATCATCCATTTTGCTATCTGAAGGCTTTCACGGCCAATGTCATGATAATTATGAATCACTAATTAATAATTCAAACGTTGGGATTAGACAGCAGTTAGAAGTGCACAGCTAAAGTATCTCACTATGCGCTTAAGCTTTTTAAACCAAAAAAGCTTAAAGTGATCTTTGACAGCACGTAATTCATAACAATCACAGTCAGGATGTTGTAGAATAGCCAGGGAGCCTCTCAAATCTCAATAGGACAAACATCACCGCCGCTATGTCTGACATGCGGAGGTTTAAAGGGTTTCAAAAAACCCGCGCGGAAATAAAACCTACGCGTTACCGAGTGCGTGTGTTTTGCCGTTGCATTGCCCAAACATACGCTGAAGATGATATACACCGCTTGATAAAGGATCCCTTTGTGAAGAGACCGTGTTATAGTACCCACCAGATGTATTTGGTGGGCAGGGGGTGTCCTGTGGCTTTGCAGCAAAAGGTGACACTCTGGCCCTCAAACCGAGCTCGGCTCTCCGGGTGCTTGACAATTTGTGGCTTTTCTGCACACGTATAAAATAGACGCGGTCAGTGTACGTTAATACAACTTTGGCCATCGAAGGTGCAAAAGCAATTCATTTATGAATCGCATAAACCAACTTACATTGGAAGGATGTTGCCTCCTGAACCATTCTAAGGTAGTGGCGTTTTTTTCCGTCCCAAGCCACATGTTCATCTTTATTAGTGGCCTATTTATGTTTATTATAAATAAATTATGCAAAATGTCCACATTTTTATTCAAACATCGAAAGGTAATTATTTTCTTTAACTGAATATAATGTAATTATAATAATTTACAGCTCCTTATCAATCCACACCTGGATGACGACCTCCCCACATCAAGTTGGTGATAGGGGTTGTTTGACCATACGTCACCATGTTGGTCAGTACTTGTTCATCAAGGTGGGGACTGGAACCTATTCAGATATCACTCCCCACTGACGTGGCCAGGAATCAAAATCAGGTCTCCAGGTATTTAGCGCAGCTCAGGAACCACTGTACAAATGCCACCCCTGCATTAATAGAACTGCTATCAAATGTACAATAACACGGAGATGTTACATTTTTCAAGCGACCAGCCAGATTTTATGTTAAATGTGGGAAAACGTGAAATTGGGGAACTACTGTAATTGCGTCAATGTGAATTTTTTGTGTCACTTTATTTTCTTTTATATATTAGATGTGGGAGAACTCACAAAAGTGGTTCGTAACAATGGGGGTGACATTGCATCGCAAAACAATGCCATCTCTTTAGTTCCAGTGCCAAAAAAGCCAATCAACGTTTGAAATTATACGTAACAAAAATCGTTATTGACCAAAAAACGGCCAATTCTGAATTGCACCCCGACAATAAGCCCTGTGAATAAGGCCCCATACGGCCCGTAACGCGAGGCAGCTTGTTTATCGGTGGGAGTGTACCGTGTGTCGGAAACGTGAACAAAGGAGGTTAAAAAAACATGGCAGCGGCCAGAATAACGCGGCTTTCTCGCATCCGCGTGAACCCACCGGCCAGCTGCAGGGTGGCACGCAGGATGCCTTTGCCGCGAACCTTGGGCTGCACCCGAAAGACCGCTGGGGCGAAGCGGTCGCGGTGCACGCCCAGCTCCGTGTGGTTGCTGGCGCACACGCCGTGCATCTCGAACACGCCGTTGTGGTCGGTGCGGGCGAGCGCGCGCTCGGGCACGAGCTGCTGCACCGCGGAGGGCGGCGTGAGACGCATGGTAGCGCCGGCGAGCGGTGCCCCGCCGTCCTCTGCCACCCGCCCGTAGATGGTGTGGCCCTCGCAGAGGCACACGCGGCAAGACGTGTCCGGCCGCCCCTCCGGACACTGCAGCGCGCAGGCTGAATAAGGGGTCGCACATACGTACGGAGACAAAGATCCCCCGGTGCAGCCTTGACAGACTTCTGGGTCAAGTGCTGTTGGCGAGTAGCACCGATGAAGGCCGGCGTGGCACACGAGGATGTGGGTGGTCAGCACCACGCCCGGCCGCCCTTTGTCTCCTCAGTGGTGATGTTTACACATCGCACCAGGTACCCATTTGAGGCTGAGTCGACCTCGGAAAGGCTCAGGACAGGTTCAGATAATCGTCACCTGGTGTTGGCGGTGTGCGGGAATCAAACTTGGCTCGCGGGGTTCATAACGCATCACGCTAACCGCTACACTACCGCAAACACACACGCATTTTAGCATAGCACTGCGAAGATCATCTGATGTGTTTTGGGTTGTACTGCGCTGTAGTCTTCAATCCATGACTTAGTCCAGTAAGGTTGTTTCACTCAATTTCTTAATAACAGTGTGCTTGTAGGTAAACGCAAGGAGCTGTTTAATATATATAGAAATATATACACACACACACACCTTTAACGGGAGGTCCCTTGCCACGTTTGACCGCTGGCCGAGTTCGCAATAGGATACAGGTTCGAGGAGGCGGGAAGCAGCTTCGTTCCTCGACGTTCGCGCCAGGGCACGACGCGTCTGGCGTGCTCGGCATGCACTCCCGCCGCCGGGTCTGCACCCCGTCCGGCCCACAGCTGGCAGAGCAGCTGCTCCAGCCCGACCACTTGGTCCATCTGCTCACCGACTCTGCCAATGACCATCCGATAATTTATTTTATTTCATGATACTGAAGCTGGCCCTTCACATCAAAGACCACGAGGCAAAATTACATGACAGAAAAGATGAATACGCTTGCAGCGGAGTCTGAACGAAGGGGTCTCATTTCCTTTTGAATGTTATTTGTGAAATACAATGTCCAAATATATCTATAAAACGCACAGATGTAAATATGCATTTATAAATACATATACATAGGTGTGAATGCACACAAATACCCCTTTGCAAAAAAAAACGTGGGCCCCATTCATGCAGAGTTTGGTTTCACACTTTTTCATAATTCTGACATCCTGAATCTCAAATAATATTTTTGTATCGCGTGTTGTTCGGTATAAAAATAATACTGTCACAATAATTACTTACTTACCCAGGTACGCTACACCTGAATCCAAGGACTCTTATTTACGAGCCCCGCATTGGGTTCATATGAATGTCCTTTCAGCTATTTGGCGAGTGCTTATGCGTGGTATTATCTCTGGGGTTGACCTCCACACGCTAAAAGCTCCTTCACCTGCTCACGCGGTAACAACCCGATAACATCGCAGAGCTGTACGGCAGCACGACCACAAAAACCAACGCAGGGTTATAAAGCACCCCCGCAATGCGGCATCTAAGCGTCAGCCACGGGGGACTCGGTTTTACTTCGAACCCCCAACAGGACACGCGCTTGTACACTGACCGACTGGACAGAGGAAGCGCACGTGGTAGTTGGAGCACTCGCTGCCCGGCGTCTGCTCCTTGTTGATGCACCAGAAGCCCTGCTCGGGGCTGAAATGCACCACCTCGCCCGTGTGCTCGGCGGGCACCCAGGTGGTGGTGCGCGCCTCCACGTCCAGCGGGCGTGCACACACGCGGCCCCGGTAGTAGTAGCGTATGGCCTCCAGGCGCTCGTAGTCCCCGTTCCCGCCGGGGTGGTCAATGTTGAACCACGCCGTCCATTCAGTCAGCTCTGACAAAAATTTGCGGGGGGGTTATGAAGACAGATACACCTTCAATCGTGAGAGCGGAACAATGGATGGGCCAAAACAATATTTGTGGCCATCCCCGTGCTGTGTTTTTTTCGATGTGATATATCTGCTTCGTCGTGCTTTTTGTCACGTATTTTTGTGAAAGTTGTAATGTTCATTGCACCGCACCAACATATTTTGTAACATTCCTTTGCATCCTTTGCAGGTGCTTCCAACGGTGTGCACCTTGCAAAAGGAAAGTTGAGAGTTCAAATCCCGATTGGAGGTTCACCCAACCCTTGATCCCTCCAGGATGGATAACATTTAAATTATTTTGTGGGGAAGTCAACAGTGATTGCCATCGGGAAATAATTACCCTGGCATAGGAATGTGGAATTTGCACCACTGGCTCAGGGATATAAATAGAAGAGTACCACCCCATGCTGAATTAATTTGGAAACCACTTTTTTTACTTTGTATCCCAGGTGTTCTTTGCTAAAGAGAATAAGAGACAATTGTCTCAATGGGCACTCATCATCATCATCATCAGGCTAGAATCTATCCACTGCTAAATGAAGCCCCTCCCAAATCTTTCACCATCCCTTGCAGTCCTGCGATAAGTACAGGCACGTAACACCCCATGTTTAACTGGCGTCTCTGATTTGTAGGACTGAATATTTTTGCACAACGTTAAAATGGGTTTCAATGAAAGCATTACTTGGTATGTGTCAGTCACCACTTTCCGTACGGAACAATAGGATTTGATCAATTGTCAATGGTGTGTGTGTGTGTTTAAGGCACCTTTAAGGCGTGCTGGTAATGTACTTGTTGCCATAATCCGTGGCTACATCAGTGCCGGATTAAGCTAGTGCGGGGCCTGTAGCATATGTTATAAAGAGGCCCTAAATAAATAAATATACATTTTCATTTTCTATACAGCCAAATAATGCGAAAAATTGCTAAACTTAAACACCCAGTCGTTCATAAAAATTGAAGGCAGTATAGTACTAATAGAGCAAGTGCAGAATCACTGAAACGGAATTGATAGCTTGAAAGCATTTAGCGCGGGGCCCTTAAAAGTGTGGGGCCCATAGCATATTCTACTCTTGCTACTAGGATAATCCAGCACTGGGCGACATGCGCTAAAATATTTCATCCAAGGACTGTGCATGAAACTCAGGTCCCTAAAAAAATATTATGAAAATAGTTTGAGCCCTTTTGTCACTCCACTGCTGGATGAAGGCAATCTCAGACAGTGTCAGTCAGTGGGTTGTTAAACCTCGTCAACCACGCTGGTCTGCGCGGATTGGTGAGCTGTGGGGGTGTGTCCATGTAATTAAGGGTTAAGGTGCAGCCCCGCATTTTCTAGTTCATGCCACTGCTGGCAGAAGGGGCTCTAGAGGGCCCCTCTGTAGGATAATTTGGCCTGCTTTTCCACGCCGGCCAGACGTCTGGTCAGCGCGTCCAGGACCAATTCAGATATCCCACGCCGCTGATGTTAGCATTGGCCAGGTATCGAACTTACGTCACCGAGTTCACAGTGCGGTGCTGCTCCCCGCCCCCCAGGTGCATAAATCACCCTATAAATACCGACCTTGCGCGAAGCAGCACGTGAGGGACAGAGCCAGCACTAAAGCGAGCAGGCGCCCGCCGCCCATGTCGCCAGGAGGCCGCAGGCACGGGGACACGAGGACAGCAGCAGCAGGGATCCTGACCCAGGCTAAATCCGGCAGGCGACAGGCGACGGGGATGTGCACCTTTAAATCAAGGCGCTGTCAAAACATGCATCGAGGCACGTCAGCAAGCCTGTGCATGACGACGGCGGCGAGAAGCTGTGTATGTAATAGAAGGCATTGATGTGTAAATACATCTCTATTCTGTACCACCACGTAAAATAAATGTTTTGGTCTGTCGAAGCGGTACACCCGTTGGCCATAAGACCATGGCTGTCAACGGCTGGGATGCAAAGGTGGGCACTTTTAGCACTAGTTTGTGTCCACTATTGAACAACATTTTTGCTCAATTTGGCCGGTTTTCAATCAAATCCCTGGCAGAATTTTGGCCGATATTGTATCTTTGCGAGCTTTACCATCCGCAGGCTGCAGCTCTGACCGGGAAGGCATGCCTCAGCCAGCAAGGTTGGCAAGCCACAGTGAGTCTTTGTAGCGCTGTTTTTTTTGGGTCTACGATTGGCAACTCTGCCGTTACGTTGGTTGGTTGCCAATGTCTCAAATAGCGACAAAATTGTATACTAAAGTTACATGCATGTGAATCATCTCTGTGCGAGTTATCGTGACCCCCGTTACCATGATTGTCAGACAAACAGATTGACGGACAGAGCTAATGCGTGCGTGCATTCTGCTCTATTTGAAAAGTGTAAAAAAGGAAATTCTTGAGCCAGGATGTCATAATTTCACGTTGTTTATACACGTTTGTTTACCCCGTTGGTATTAATGATTCATTTTCATATATTGTGCATATAATAAACATAAATCATAATCAAGCATATATACATGATTCGAAACATTATTTCGCGATTGTAATACTTTGCATTGATCATCGAATAAACACATTGTTACCATGTTCTTCGTATTACAAGACACGCTTTTTTACACCGTAATTTAAAACAAAACTTGGGGGTAAGTATGATAATCTGGTGGTTGTGTGTATGTGTGACCAGATTTGTTGGCACAGTAGGGGGCACAGGTGGTGCATCGGCCAGTCATCTCAGTCAGTCAACCCATGGCACCTGGGTCTGCCCCGTGACCTCCTGCCAGCGGGAGTCCGACACTTCACGTGGCCTTAAAGTGCACCTAGCCTGGCACATGCGCCGTGGTGACGTCACCGCCACCTAGTGGCGAATGGCGGTTGTTGTGGTTGACCAGATTTGTAAAACATTGACACTGGGCACAAATTGGAAGTGCGACTTAATATCCAGATCATCTTATTATCTGCAGAATACGGGGTATACCTAATAAGTATTATATAGAAAAACATGTTTTTTTTTCCCCCCACAAAGATTGCAGTGACTTAAAATTGTCAAGGAAGCAGACACTACATAATCAGGCGTGTAGACTCGCTGCAAGTTAAGTTGCCCGCTCGTTCAGTAATGCGTTAAATCGCTGAACATTAATGTTATTTCCTACGCGGAGTTCAACAGCTGCATATCCTTATGTAACGATGTGAAAACAGTTCAAATGGGACAATTATATCTCGTCTCCCCAACTGACCCTGCCATGGACGTAGCTCAAGCGACCGGGCGTAATCCGAGTGATCTTTAATTGCGACTCGAGACCGGTGTTGTGATAGTGATGGAATTTCATTAAATCAATATCTTGCAACCGGAGATGAGGTTAATTTGGCTTTTTTTTGCTCCGCAAGAGCGAAACGGCGGTGCGCGACCCACGGCCGATTCTAAAGCCGAGCTTCGTTTTGCCGAACGGGTGACCTCAGCCGCTTGCTATGCGGACAGAAATGGCTCGCGGTCACAGGGACACCAGTACCACACACTCTGCTCTGACGCGGGCGCTCATTTTGGGAATGTCCCACAATAACGGTCTGTGCCGCTATATATATATCCGACTCTCTTACACGCAGCCACCAGTAACGAAAGATTGAAATGCTCGTTCTGCAGCCATTCCACCCACCCCCACCACCACCCCACCTCGATTCCCAAACGCGCCCTGCATTTCCGAGTCAGCGATAACTGAATTGTTCTGATGTCAGGCATTGCTCCTGTGCCGCATGCTATGGGCGGTTAGCATACGTTCCGTTTGCGTCGGTAAGAAATAGAATTAACGCAGCTTGGGTCGTTTGCGTCGATAGAAATAGAATGATCCAGGGTCCATCGAATTCAGTGCGTCATGGGTACTGACCTCAGGTCTTCTCCTGGTTTAAATAAAGGATGCAACTATCTTTACATTAGATAATTAATGTAGGTATTTATAATCAAGAACAAGTGTAAAAAAAGGAAAACCTTGTACAATGTAAGCGATATTAATGATGGTTCTGGAGAATAAATACTCGAGTACACACATTGTAATCAGGCAAACATATTAAGTCATAGTCTTTGGGTCTTTCGGTAAAGCCACGTAGATGGTGCAAAGAAAATAACAAAAAACTACGACGTTTCGATCACAACACAAGCGATCGTCATCAGGGGAAAAGAGCAACCATCCACGTGACTTTACCGAAAGACCCAAACAATATGAATTCCTGCAGTCACGACAGCTTTAAGTCATATTATTAAGTCCCCTATTCAAAATAAGTTACTGCTTCAGTTAACTTGTACGTAAAATAATGTTAATTGAAGATAACAGGTTTAAAATGTATCGGTAAACCTCAGTATTTCCCAAAGAAGGCCAATCAACTGAAACACCAAGATCTTCATTCCCCCTTTTTTTATATTAAACTGTGATTGTATTCAATGTTTATATTATGAGAACAGGGTTATCAACAGTGCATAATGCATCTGTGTGCAGATAATGTTTCGAGATATATGGTATGCAAGTTCTTATGTTAGTCGTCATCTGCAGCAGCCTTGACTCAGCCTCAGGGTAGCATAAAGAATATACGCAACATTACAATTTAAGTACAGCTTCTGGAACGGCTTGCTAAGTCTCAGACATTCATAGTATATTTCCACACGAACTAACTTCCAACTCTTTCAGAATAAATCATACTGAAACAGCAGCAATTATTAAAAGCATACAATAGCAAGAAAAAAAGGAAGCAATTTAAAAAGTAGAACCTTGGCAGATTGTTCACATTTCTTTACGACATGAAACGGGTCCATTTGCTTGCCGAATTGAAAATTCGGCGACGTGTTACTCAACGACTTCAAAACAAATCACACGACGCTCACGTCGATGTTAAGGTGCACTTACGCGGACGACTCTGGACGGAGGGCGGCCCTGCAACGACGACTCGCAGTCGCAGAGACTTCGTAAATCGGCGAGGTCCTCGTCCTTTTAAACACGCGCCTGGCGAATCCCCGGGGGGGGGGGGGGGGGGGGCTGTGTGGAATGGGGTGGAACGGAGGGGAGCGGGGCTCTCTTTTCTGTCCGTGGGGTGGGTGGGTGAGCGAGTGAGTTTGTTGTTGAGGATAGAAGCTGGGCAAGCAATTGGGAGGCCACAGTGGGAGGGGTGGGTCAGGGCTTTGGGGGTTCGGGGGAGGGTGGAATAGGGTGTCTGGGTTTGAAGGAAATTGTACGCTCAAAACAGCGCGCGGACGCACGCTGAGGTTTTTCGTGCGAGGACGCGTCAGTGCCAGCGTGCGCGTCACGCGCCACTTTGCGCGCTTACGCATTTTCCTTAATTACGGTGCTGACGGTTTTCTCAGAAATCACGCCAGGTTTTCTTTGTTTTTTAAAGAAACCATTAGATGACGTTGTAACATCATTTCACGTATTTAGATCGGTCCAAATTAGACTGCTTACAAAATACGCCGAGTGGTGAAACAAATATATAAAAGTTGCGTTCTTTTTAAAAGTGTGTTTTGTGGAAATACACAAGTGTTATTCGGTTATAAGGGCTTAAAGCAACTGAAATCCTGCAGGATGAAAACATGGGTTGTTGTCTTCAGGGGAAACCCCCCACGGTGCCATGGCACGAGGCCCCTTTTGCACCACACACCTGCCGTTGGCTGTTGCACCCAAGCCAGGACTTCTAAATCCATCCACTTTTTAAAGCTGTTCAGCAGATGCGCAGGATACGGGCGAGACTCTTTATCGCCATCCAAAAGTATGCACCGCTGCAGATACAAGCAGCAGATTCGGCTGGAGGCTTGCGCTTAAGTTACATTCCGTAACGAGCCGCCAAGGTTAAAGCACGACACATTTGGCGACACGCGGCAAAATTAAAATAAAACCGTGGTGTTCGTTGTTAAAATTGTGTGCATTCCCGTATTGGTGACTTAAAACTTCAGAAAAAAAAACATAGCAATAGGTTAATGATAAACCAAATATTAAATATGCTAGTAGAAAAAACAATAATATTGTCAATGCTTTCCAACATAAAAAATGGCAAACATTTGCTCATATATTATCCAAATAGGTGACATCAGTGTTAATTGCTCCATCTAAAAAAGCTCATACGTTGATTGAATATTACAATCAAACCTAATACTGTGTAATGAAAACTACTGAAATGAATTAATGAAAGTTATATAGAATAGGGCTAGCATTAACACATGAGCATTACGTTGACTGGATTGTCACTGTTGCATCTGTAACCAAAGAATAAACTAACATTCCACTTATATTAATCAAGAGGATTAAGAAAGTCACTCAATTAAGATTTAAAAATGAAAAAATGAACACGACTGCATAATGTCATGAAAGGAATGCCTCAAAAACTTCAACACTGATGTCTTACACATTTATTTTGCAATTTAGAATACCACAATTAAAGACTATCATTCCATGATAGATTATTCTTCACAATTCAAAACAAATAACTACCAAAAAGCAGTTGCAAAATAAAATACTCTATAGCAATGAAACATCTCGAATGCTGCATTTACAGTCTGTAGACCCTTAGAAACCACAGCAAATTGAGCCATACAGCTGTCGAAATATAACAAAAAATAACAACTCGGATTTAAAGCACATTGCAAAATGCTGATAACACAAACGTACGGAACCTGATACAGATCTTGCATTAACAATGTCAATAATAATTGGTTGGCTAGTACTGTGAAAAAGAAGTTCAACACGCATACAAATAAAATCCTAGCCTAAGTGGCTTGATAATCTTTCATTTTACGATGCATTTAATTACAATCCTTATTTCGTGACCTTGAAATAAACCTGAAAGTTCTTTTGTTTGTTATATACTGCTACCAGCAACGACTAGAGAAGAGACAGGACACAGCTCGTGCCAGGGTATTCGGGGAGGGTGAGGTTGTACTTCCTAGCCAGATCGGGCGGGACGAAGCGGCCGCCCAAGAAGTGGTATTTCCCATGGAAATGCCGTGCGGCTCGCTTGGGTGCCGTCAGTGAGATGAGCATCTGCGGTTGAATTCCGTCCGGATTACCCGCCTCCACGTCCCAGCCTTCAGCATGAAAGATAAAACAAAGCAGACAGATTACATTGCAGGAGGGCTTGGGCAGTTTTCATTTGGCAGCCTGAATGTTTACGGAATATGTCGAGTACGAATTATATTTAAGTAAAATACAAAACTCTTTTATGAGACCTCCTTTTGCCAGTAACAAGATTTAGGAATAGGTTTTTGCCCTTTTAACTGGCACAAAAACTGACACCTTTATTCAAGGCATCATGTTTGCAATAACCACAACACAAGCGTACGCCTTTTGGCGTCTTCTGGTCCAACACCAATGGAGACTAGGCTCTAAGAAAAGCCGTCTCGGGTGTGGACCAATAAAATTCAAGGACAGTGCATATTATTATCAGAGTTGTCCTTTTTGTTTGCATTTTGACTGCTTGTGTTGTGGTTATTGCAAACATGATGCCTTGAATAAAGGTGTCAGTTTTTGTGCCAGTTAAAAGGGTAAAACCTATTCCTATACAAAACTCTTGTTATTTAAATGGCGACCATATCGAAGGAAAACGCCACATCCATGTCCGCAACTAAATAATAACATTTAGCACGAGAGCAGATTCAATCGGCTTTTGGCTGGACATCGAACAAAGACGGTCACCGCATCGCACACTTTCAGATGCGCTTCTGTGGCCGTCTGGAATGCTCTTCCTTCAAATATTAGGAAGCCACTGGAGCTATACATTTTTAAATTTAGATTAAAAACGAATGTCTTTAGAACTGATTAGCACAGTTGGCAATGTATGGTGCGAAAGACGTTTAACATACATACAGTCACGGGCGTTTTTAAGATACTCAGACACGTGTTTATATTAGATTAGTGAGACAACTTTGAAAAGCGATGGTACCTGAAGGCACGTCAATGCTGATAATGGGCATGTTGACCTGCTTGAGCGTGGTCAGAATGGTCCCAAACGGTTCGCGTACCTCCCCAGAGAAACTGAACCCAAAAATAGCATCCACCACCAAGCTGTAAGCATCATTCAGCAGCTGCACCTGCAAAATAATAAGTTCGATCACAGCCTCCACAAGCATGGTTTTTTTATGTGTAGCACGATGTCATTTGTCACGTGCTGACCAAGCCATTCAAACTAATCCTTGGGGATCGAGTCTCTGTGCATGTTAAATGTGTCACACTTGTCCATGATCATGTGGAAGACCTAACTAGGTTCACCAAGCACTTACAAGTGTGCTTATTAGTGTGATGACATACTTCAGCCGGTATGTCTATTGGTGTAAACATTCATTAAAATGACAGCAGCGATGACTGAAGCGTGCAAGGGTAAAGCCATGCTTGTGCTCTTTAGCCCAGCGCAATGTGGGGAAGCTTTCTGGTGTATTCATGTGAAACACCCCACCTGTGTTGGCAGGTATGAGAGAAATGGGATGTCCATCCGCTCGCATTGTGTTGTTAAAGCTTGGAAGAGAGGCTTGTTGGGACGTTTAGGATAGAAAATTGTTGGTTCATATCCCTGACACAGAGTAACACATGCATTCTTTGAAAAAACAGGTCTAATGAAATTAAACAATTCTCATATGCTACTGTGATTTATAACAAACCAAACCTTGCTTGTGTGGTTTTTTAAAATATAGAAAATGTACGATTAACGGCAATATTTTTCCACATTTTATTATTTGACTTGAAATAAAGTCAAGTGTGGCTTTACTCCCAGGATAATTGTTGCAACAGTGCAGTTCAAGGCCATGTTTTTTAATTCATAAGAGGATTAACAAAGAGATCTGATATGCTCGACTAGTGCCAGCGACGTCTGGTTTTGAAGCGGGCCTCTATAAATGACTTCTAGACTTTGGCAACGCAGCCACACAGTGAAAAAACCATACGCCAATTACTCTGCAGCATGTGCAGTGTTCTAGGGTATCCTGAAGTGCACCCATTGATAACTCCTCATCGATGGATGTTAAAACAAAAAAAATATATGATCCCGATGCAAGGTTCTTGTGTTTTTCCTTTTTAAAATCTTAGATCATAGTTTTTAGAAGACAAGTCACTTAGGTGGCGAAAGATACATCGAAACAACATGCTGCAGATTGCGTGAACGATCACCAAAATAAACAACAGCTGCTTGGTGTTGTCTTTCCTGCTACTACTCTGTCCAAGCCATCTAAACTAAAGGAAGAGTATACAGACATTTTTCACATTTCTTGGTGATGTCAAAACGCTGAATGGAAAACTAAAGTTGGGCTCTATATGTTTAATTTTCGAAACTTTTTGACTACCCCCTCGTGTACTCTATATCCCAATTTACAAAAATACAATGGATGTATTCTTCTAACATCTTGAGCATGCAGCATATGGGAATACGCAACATGTATTCACCATTATATTAATACACTTATTATTTTGAACGTTAAGCTACAATTTTGAGTGGTAAAGTAGGTTTCTGATGAGTCTGTCCCTTTTGAGTGTTGTAAACTAAAGTTTATGCTCATACTGGAGATAATTCAAAGTATGACGAAAATGACAAATAACTGTATACACAAGGAATGTCTTTCATGTTTTACTCCGGTATTTTATCCCAGTACTTTGCAAAATATATGCAAATTAATCAAATGATTCATACTTGACCTTTTTCTAAAGTAAACTGTCACATGGAATTTACCTTCATATTAATCCAACATAATTGGTGCATTAAATGCATGTATAAGAGGCATTTTAATTTGCTTGCCTATACCAGGTAATAGAGAAAATTATCGACACAAAGTTGGCCCAATAATTTCGCGGCCTAACCCAAAAACCAACTACTGCAAACATCTGCATTTTGTTTTAACTTCCACCAAAAGTAGCTCTTTGGGGAACAAATGTTCAGCCTATACAAATACTGCAATTGGATGATTAATATAATTGGATGCAAAGCACATTATATGTTACATCTCATGTGGACTGTCCTGAAATTCCTGGAATGGATCATTGTGCTAAACTTTGTTCAACTGATACCAGCTTAATAACCATTGCTACAGTCTGCATTATAGACTACCAGTACAATCACCAAACTTAATAGCCAGGCTACAGTCTACATTATAGACTGCCAGTACACTCACTCCGATTAAGAACCAGGCTACAGTATTCTTTTTAGCTTTTTATTCACTTTAGATTTTTTTTCTATATACGTGGCTGTACTGAAAGAACCAAAGAATATGATATCAAACATTGCATTTCGCATGAAATCAAAAAAATACTTACAAAGAGCTTGAGATGTCGGGCACATACCAGCCCATCTCCACCATTATTTCCTGGACCGCAGATGATGAGCAGTGTATGTTTCTTGGCAGGAAAGGTTTCCAGAGGGTATGCCTGTATGTAGCAACCATTATAGGACAACAATGTTAAACAATAAGAAAAATATTTAAAGAAATTGGAGAGATACAAAATCATGTAGCAGTATGTTCCAAAATATCATTAATATTGCGAATATATTTTAATTGCAGTCTTTACACTTATTTTGGGGGGTTTTATATTTGATAACTGACAAAAATGTACATTGGTTAAAATAAAAGATCATAATGTAAGGTTTAATTTCTGACGTACGTACTATACCATTTACATTAAATGCGTATGCAATGGCAAACATCTATGAACTTGGGTGTAGACTACAGGAATCAATGTATTCATACCGCAGGTGACCCCTGAATTACGACGGCTCTACTTGTACGACCTTTCTTATAAGACCCCCACAGTAACGAACAAAACTGTATCTACAACAGCCTAACGACTGCTACCGACGCCGAGTCGCCTGATGGCGCTGCTTTGCTCTTCCGCAGTATGCATATGTAGAGTATATCCCGACAGTCTGCAGCTGCGCCTAGAGCGAACGCATCTCTTTCACAACGCTCTTCACTTTTTTGTAAACTTTCTTCAACTTTTTAAAAAAGAAATCGCCTTTTGCTATGTATGAGAAGACATAGCACGTGCAGAAAAGTACTCAAGAATTTTCAAATGTTTGTTTTTACTTAACAAATGCTTGTAAAAGTTACGTTAAGTTGCAGTAAATATTTGTTAGGATTATCTTCATTTATTTTAGTGGTCAATTTTGGTATTTTAATGGTATATATTTTGGGTTTCCAGGAACGGAACCCCAATGTATAACCTTGCACCTATGGGAGACGAGGGTTCGACTTACAACGGCTCCACACGTGACCGTCGTTCAGGACCAATGAGGTCGCAGGTGCGGGAGTCGCCTGTATCTTAGAAAAAGAAGTGTTTCTGGCTTGCTGGCTGCCTGCCTGGTGCTGGGTGGTGACGTCACCACTCACAGCTGCATAATGACGTCACTGTGCCAGGAACATAATATGACAAGGTATCACAGCGTCATTTTATACCGCATGTATCTGACGCATGCAAAACTAGTTCGTACCTGTTACCAAGAGAAATACAACAGTATGGAGTTGAGATAAACACGTTGTTCCTTTGTGCTTTCAACAGCAGTCTTACACACTGGCTGCATGAACCCTATTGATAAAAAGTGCACAATTATTAAATAGGAAGGAACATATGGGCCAACGATTCATAATGTTTTGAAAGTCTGAGAAAAACAAAAGCACATGAAGAACAATAACCGCTAAAAAGCTTAAAAAATAATTTTAATTAAAAGCAGAAATACTGTTGATAGCTAATCATGAACAATTAATTAAGACTCAACAATTTGTAGTGCACTGGAGATTTCCGGCTCGATAATGCACGTGACCAATCTGAATCAAATGAAAGTTAAGGTCCAAAAATATCAAATATACTAATTATTACCAAACTTGTATATGTTTCCTGCATACCATGACATTTTTTTATAAAATGGATTTCAAATGCAGCTAAAATTCGAAATTTTTAGTGTTCTAATTTGTCTTATACATATTCTTTGGGCCTTTCGGTAAAGCCATGTAGACAGAACAACTAATAAAAATAATAACAATATGACGACGTTTCGATTCCAACACAAGCAATCGTCATCAGGTGAAAAATATAGCGGGAGAGCTGCTGAGAATATATGGTGGGAGCGCTGCTAAGGCAGGGAGTTATAAAGGTTTGAGATGGGTGTAGCCCAAGGGTCAGTGGGCGGGGCTAGAGATGAAATTTGCATGTAAATGTAAGATCGGAGAAATCTTGACAAACGAAGCGGTGGGGGTGGCCATTGTATTGTGAGAGATTAGCATGTAAATGTAAGAAATTTGCTTGTAAATGTAAGCTAGAGAGAGCTAAAAAAGGAACATCGCCACATGGAGGTGGAAAAGGATGGCAAGCCGCCATTTACTAATATAGCTAACGGTGGCTGTGTTAGTGAAAGTAACTCAGAGAGTCGAAAATAACTGCTAACATAGGTAGGTAGGGAGGGAACATCACAGCCAGTAATGACCTAAACTGGTTAATAGCGTCCTTCCAGTGATTGCTGAGTTTGTACCCATCTTCTCGGTTGAAATTGTGTCTGTGTTTATATATCTGGATGGCTTCATGAACGAATAATTGCTTATAGCCAGTGGGCTTGCAGAGTACCCTCGTCTTCCTTAAATAATTATCAAATAGAGCAAGTCAAGATCTATAAGTATCTTGGGGTCATCCTGGATTCAAAACTGAATTTTGAAGATCACATTGATTATATTGGTAAAAAGACAAATATAAAAAAATTGGTTTTCTGTATCGACACAAGCACTGCTTCCCCCCAATGTTCCGTTTGGAATTGATAAAAGCTACCATACTGCCTCTACTTGACTACTGTGAAATCGTGAATAAATCAGCCCCAAGTACTGTACTGAAGAAGCTTGATTCCATCTATCACTCGGCCTTAAGATTTACATTGAACTGCCCATATAGGACTCACCACTCTGATCTCTACATTGCATCAAACTTAACATCTCTTAATGTTCGACGGCTTGTGTACCAGACCTTATTTATTCACGATGTACTTACAAAAAAATCCGCAGACTACCTGCTGGATCTCCTCTCTGTTTCAAAGAACAAATTTGACCTCATGTCTTCGCTCATTTACCAGCTTCACATTCCCTATTACCGTACAAAAACTGGAGGAAGGGCCTTTGCTATTGATGCCCCCAGGGTCTGGAATGCTATTGCCAATAAACTGCAACTTGAATCGCTACCAATGAGATCTTCTCTCAAAACTGCTCTAGAGGAGTTGTACACCCCTAGCTGCCACTGCTATTCATTGGCGTAAAATAAAATGTTTAGCTCCGGATGACACTGCAAAGTATTATCTGTATTTTGATTTAGCGTGCTGATCTTAAAGGTGCATTGAAAAATTTGATACTCTGACTGATGGTTCTGTTGTTGTGGAGTAACTCATGCAGCCAGCTATGGCTCTAGGATTTGGTGTTACATGTTATTTATGTAGTTTATTGTAAAAATTCGGTCACAGTCCCTATGATCACTGTTACGTTGCAATTATGGCGTTATTTTTTGGTGATTTCAAAACGTTTATTGGCTTAAACATGTTTGTTTTGTTGTAGAACGGAATTAGATTGATGGCCTTAATCTTAGTTTTCTTGTGGTTGTTGTTGTTGTTTGACTTGCATCCCACTGGGATTTTTTGCACACAGCGTCGGTGCTTTTTTTCAGGAATATTTTTGCTGTTTATTTCATAGATTTTCTGTTTGCACAGTTACATAGTCACTTTAAGATGTTTTCTTGTTCGTGTTTTTGTTTTTTGTTTGTTGTGGTTGCACCCGATTCAAGAGCCGAATGGCTCACAGGGCGATACCAAAATAAATAAACTGAAAAATAAATTAACTGAACTGTCTTGGCAAAATCAATTTCGTGTGTGCCCACAACGTTAAAACAATGATCAGCGATGGCTGAGGTATTGGTCCTACCGTGTTTCAGATCTGCCTTCTGTTCACGAACCCGGTCCGAGACATGTCGCTTAGTTTCCCCAATGTAACTGCTGCCGCAGACACAGCTTAGTTTGTAGACACCGGGGTATTGCATGTCGGGGATGACATCCTTCACAGATGGGATAAAATCACAAATTTTATGTACTGTGTTGAATCGTACCTGGATCTTGTGTTTGCTCATGATTTTGGAAATATTTTTGGTGACCCCTGCTATGTATGGCAAGGTGATGGTTTTGATTGGGTCCTCAGATGGTTCTTTCCCAACGGTTGGGGTTATAGCTTTACGGATTGTGTAGTCTGAAAATCTATTCTTCTTCAGGGCTTGGTGTACGTGTTCCAGTTCACTGGCTAGGTGGTGATGGTCGGAAATACATCGAGCTCTATGGTGTAGAGTTTTGATGAGGGAATTATTCTGGGATGGATGGCGGGAGTCAGGTTTTAGGTAGGCATCCGTATGGGTGGCTTTCCTGTAGACAGTGTCCCATTGAGCCATCAGGTCTCTTTTAGATTAAAACATCCAAGAATGATAATTTTGCCATCTTTTTCCAACTCCATGGTGAATTTGATGGCTGTATGTATGGAATTGATGTGGTTGAAGAATTGGTCCAGAGCTAATAGGCCATGTGGCCAGATAACTAACGTATCATCTATGTACGTATCTCTCCGTGCCTCTCTCATCTCCTTCCTTTGTCCCCTCTCGCCCTCTTCGTTCCCAATATTCAGTCTCTTTCTCCGTCCCTCATTCCATGTGTCAAATCCTGTTTTCAGTCCTTCTCCTTCCTTGCACCACTCCACACTGGAATACACTTCCCTTGTAGCAGTCCCCCTCCTTAACCTTCTTCCATTCCTCTCTTAAAGCCTCACCTTTTTCTCTATTGCCCATTCTCTTCCTCTTCCCTCCCCTCGCCACTCCACTCCTTCCCATCGCTCCCTTACCCTTTCGTGATCACTAAGCACCCTCTATCGCTGTCACTCATGCCTCAATCCATATACGCTGCCGTCAACGACATCATTCCAATCTGTCATTATTTTGTAAGCTATGAATGAAGGTCCCCTATAAATTAGATTATATGTATTTGCTTTATATTTTCCTCTGTAAGTTATATGGTAAGGGGAACACTTTCCCACAAGTTATGAGAGGAGATGATCATATTACAGCCAAATGCTTACTTTCAGTTGGAATTTATCCAAATTAAGTAAAAAACGATTTAGGTGTTTTGTGCAGTCATTTTTTTCACTGGAATTAGACCATCAACTCAATACACTTGAGAACCCGGTTAAATGATGGGTGGCTTCCCAGAAGATTCAAACCCAGGATCTCAGCAATGTTGGGTAGCACTCTGACCTCCGAACCATCTATTTGGCAGCCTCATGAATGTAAGTTTAAAGTGTTTTGTTCGTATTGTTTTTCAATCAATGTGTGGGATTGACAGTCTTACGGACCCATTGGGGATATACCATCCTTAGACAATGTATGGATAAATATTTTTCCATTGAAAACTTTCCTTCCATAATAGTTGACTTGTCCCACCTTGTGACAAGCTTCATGCGAGCATGTATTACAATTTCACATGTAGAGTACAAAGGACATAGTTTTCCCCAATCACTTAGTTTCTGTTTCCAAAACAAATAACACAATCTTTCACCACCATGAAAGCTTTTTTTAAACATAATTATAGCTGCAACTAAATTAGAATAAAATGTTTTTTTTATAAAAACACTATATGAATTAAATGTCAACGAGCGAAGGGTGTTTTTGTTTAAAATCATACGCAGCACAAACAAGTTTCACAAGCTTAGGGGGAACAAAAACAAAATGAAAGAATCTGCATGTTCTGTTTTTTTCACGATGCGTCGACAAAACTTAGACAGATGTGTAGTCATGTGCATGAAGGATGGAGACATACAGCGCTTAGCGGAAACACATGCTTGTGCCATCATTCGGTGAAGCCCAAAAAAAAAACACGTTCTACGGAAACATGGGTTTATCCTGAGAAATGAATCTGAAAATACCATGAAATATTACTGTGGACAAATAGCATGTTTATAAATACATACATTCACATCATTTCATGATCAGACATATTGACAACTGATGTCAAAAAGTCATACATAAAAAAAACATAACTATCACTTTCAGAAGGAAACTCAATGTCATTGGAACAGATTCCAGAAAGGAAACATGTCCACAGTCATTCATTCTCACAACACTGTGTTCTGCACTAAATCAATAAAAGAGTAACATTTTGTCACAGGTTGCACACTTGAAAAATGTGTTTAGCCAAAGAGAAAAGGAGCTGTGACAAAGCACATGAAGATACCACACTTCCCCATGTGTGCTCCCCCCCCCCCAACCTTAACCTCAAGTTCACCGTCATCACGTAAAAAACCCTCTGTTCTTGTTTTTATCGGCGAAAGTGCAGCTGCCTGAATGTCACTCACAGGGAACACCCAGATAAGCCATTAAAATGACCTGCAGAACCTTTAACTAGAACCCTACATGCCATAATGTTTAGAAACTTTCTGCAGTCACTGATATGTATGTGTATGTATAGCAAAAACAAATATCCCCTGTATAGTATAGCCTTTTACAGCAAGTGATGTGAGCTGCACGATTGGGCCGATGGCTAACACCATGCCCGGCCGCCTTTGTCTCCCCAGTGCTGATGTGTAAGCACCACACCAGGTACCCATTAAAGGGTGAGTCCACCTAGGGGAGGCCCAGGATTGTTTCAAATATTCTCCAGTTATTAGTCGTCAATCGAACTTGGGTCACCGAGTTCTTACAGTAGTGCACTAACCACTATGCTTCCGGTCTCCGTAGATGTGTTTACACATACACAAGAGGAGCTGCCAAAAAGGTTTGAGGACGTTTAAATAGATCTAACTGACTATGACAGGTACTATATATGTATGTGTAATGATCCAGCTATTCAGCGGAAAATATTTCATTATGTATACGATATACATATTCAATTGTGTGCGTGAAAACCGCTGTGTTCAATTTCACATATGATGCATGTAATGACAAAAATGTGACCCTTACAACCATTAGTGCTAAAATGCACCACAATGTTGAAAAACACTTAGATTTTTAAAAAAACAAATTACTACCCAAAATTGTAACCATTTGTTGAATTACGAGGTATGAAAATCGCTACGAAACGATTGTTAAGCTTTTTTCAAGAGACATGTCTTAGTTTAAATAAAGAGGGGGAGTGAAGGGAGGGAAATTACTTGATGGCTCCTTACATGAAGTGGGAAATGTGAATGATGAATTTTAAACTCCCCAGTGTCAGTCCATCATCACCGAGTATGTGATGCATGGTGAGTGGAAAGTGGTGAATGCCAGTGTCTGGTGAGTGTCAATTAAGTGGTGTCTGCCAAGTGTTAGGTGGTTGTCAGGTGAGTATATATATACAATTGTGAGTGATAGGTGAGTGCCATGTGAGTGGTATGTGTCAGATAAAGGTGAGTGTCTGGAAAGTGGTGTCTGGTGAGTGGTGTCGGTGAGGAGTACATGTAAAACAGAGACAAGTAAAGAAACGTGCATTAATGTTAGTGATTGTTATAATACTGTGTGTGAGTACGTTTCTGATATTCTGAATAGATTCTCACAACATTTAAACTATCCATCAAGGTATATGAAGGATGGCAAGAACACATTATACACTGAACCATAAAGCTAAAAACGAGAAAGACATTCAACACATAAATACATCACCGGCCTTTCCTGGTTTGTTTTAGATGTAGGCTGTTAGACAATTGTGAATTTAATGTAATTATTTTTAAATAAGCAAATAAACACTACAATTAGTCTATCTTACACATACAATGTAATGCAGGTGTTTGTTTCAGCCTTTAGTAAATCCGAGGAGCAGCTCTAGATGTGTGTGCAATCATAGGATGCAGAGCTTTACCTGAATACTCGCTATATATGTGAACAAAACTGGCAGTGATTTTCTATTGAGCTATAGTGTCATAAGGTGCATGAACACAATTCATAAACCCTAACCATATACACAAATAATATATTTTTTAAACCTATTATAATACTGAAAGACTCTCAGTAAACAATGTTTCTGATTTTCAAATAAACCCTAATATGGTGTTGGTTTCATCACAAAACAATTTCCTTGTAATGCAGCACATAAGAGACGGTCAACATCCAATAATTTCCCTCTTTCTCTAATTTACAATTGCGTCAGACTGGTTATTAGAGTACAGCCAAGTGAGAACATCTGCAAATGCGCTAATGCCTTCGTACGCAGTCATCACATTTTTTTGTATCACATCTGTTTGTAGCCTGCAGATACTATTGTCTGCAAAGTATTTGGCAAAATTTTAACTACGTCACATTTGCTACAAACACCTAACCACAAATCTGTTAATGGACTACTAGACTATCAGCTAGAACCATAGCCCGATTGGACTGACGTACTAAATATGGCACATGCCTCCCATTACATCCGCAAACACGCACAGATTTACGCACACGTATTCACGCACACACCGAAGACAAACACACATTTAGCTATATCTATTTCAATCAAGCATGGCATTGTGGAATATTTTACAATAAAACCAGTGGGATGGAGTGTTAGATCAGTCGTCTTGCGCACTGTCATACGAACCTGGAAACCTAAGTTCAATTCCTGGCCATGGCTCGCACCAATTGCAAGGAATATCTGAACCAGTCCCAGAACCCCCTGCACCAACCTGCACTAACCAGCCTGGTAAAGTATGGTCAAACAACCAGTCTGGTAAAGTATGGTCTAATTTGGCTAACAAAGTCTAAAATGAAAAACTATAGACACTTAATTAAAACAAATGTATTAATAATTGAAAAATGGAAAGTCAGACACACAATTACCTCCTCTATACTGAAGGTCAGTACAGAATTGGATGGCTGCTTCTCGGTTTACAAGTCCCTTATTGCTTATTTGAAAGTCAACCACTGGAGAAAAGCCATTAAAAGCATTGCAAACAGAATTAGCAGCATGGCTACTTGATACGATGTCAGGGTGGTCATGGACAAAGGAAATATTAACTATAATTGACCTTGACGATGGCAGTGGCACAGCTGAGACCGGCAAGTTCCATGAGCTGGTCTACGCTGAAGCGATACTCGTTGAAGAGCTCTTGATCAATGGCTTGGGCCTCCTCTTGGCTAATGATGGGGATAAAAATGGACATGTAGAAACAAATTCTTAAATCAGTAAAACATGCACAACAAGTGAAACATTTTAAGTGTACCTTTTGTAATGGCACTTTAAACGAAGTATAACATTCTAGATTTGAAGCTTTCGTGACTGCAAGGATTCATACTCTTTGGTTTTATTCGGTAAAGTCACGTAGATAAAATAAAACAAAATAAAACAATGAAATCACGACGTTTCGGAGGCAACACAAGCTTCCGTCTTCAGGTGGAAAAGTCAACGCAGAATATCTGTGTTGGGAGCACAGTTCAGAGACGACCTTGGATTATATAAAGGTTAAGGGAGGGGGGAGGAGTCAGTAAGGGGGCGTGGGTGGGTGGGAGGGCTGGGCTAAGCAGCCTTTTGATAGAATTCTGCGGGTAACACCCACTTCTCAAAGCTCACATCAAAGGGCCACCCCGATGTGGGCTCACATCAAAGGGTACCCCGGTGCGAGCTCACATCAAAGGGCTCACATCAAAGGGCTCCCCGATGCGAGCTCTCTGTTAACGCGATCAAAGGGCACTATGATATACAACCACTGAGGAATGGCTGTACAAAAATTGAAAGGCAGCTAACGTTTGACTTGATTTAAAACATCTTTCCAGTGATTACTCAATTTGAAACCATCCTCTCGGTTGAAGTTGTGTCTATGAGCTCGCACCGGGGGACCCTTTGGTGTGAGCTTACATCGAGGGGCCCTTTGATGTGAGCCCTTTGATGTGAGCCCACATCGGGGGGCCCTTTGATGTGAGCTTTGAGAAGTGGGTGTTACCCGCAGAATTCTATCAAAAGGCTGCTTAGCCCAACCCTCCCACCCACCCACGCCCCCTTACTGACTCCTCCCCCCTCCCTTAACTTGTATATAATCCAAGGTCGTCTCTGAACTGTGCTCCCAACACAGATATTCTGCATTGACTTTTCCACCTGAAGACGGAAGCTTGTGATGCCTCCGAAACGTCGTGATTTCATTGTTTTATTTTGTTTTATTTTATCTACGTGACTTTACCGAATAAAACCAAAGAGTATGAAGTACAATATTGTTTATTTTATTTTAAGCAATTCGTCAATCTACTGCTGGATAAATCCCTCCCGATGCCATGGTCATCGGGGTTATTTAACCATACTTCACCATTATGATCAATGCGTGTTGGTGAAGGGAGGAAGCAGGATTGGTTTATATATCAGTCACCACTGATGTCAGGTGTGGTTGGGAATTAAACTCTCGTTGGTGAGAAATAGCGCAGTGTGCCCAGCAATGAGCCACTGTTCCACCCCAAAACTGTGCAACTATTTAAAAGTTATTCTCAAAAAATGTTGCTATATATTCAAACATTACATTTTATGCTTAAAAATCATATAACTACGTCTATTGAAATAATTTTATATTCGAGATTGAAGTACATATAAATTAACTGAAATGTTTTTTCATAATAGTGTAAGCACATTTTAAAGAGACTTAGGAGTCTCTTGTAATAATGCTGGGCTACATATTTAGAGAATGACTCATTTGGAGCATAGAAGTCTGAACAAGCATGGAAGCTGATATGACAAAAACGACAGCTGGCAATACCATTCGCTGAACACAAACTACGGTAGTATATTGTTAATACATTCCTACTACAGGGCAAATAATCTTTTCCGATTTGATGATGCTATTATAGGTGTTTTTTTCCGCACAAATCACTCCTTTTTATCCGGAGCGGGTAATCGAAGTTAAACATGAATAGGATGAAATTGCCTCCATTTCTGGGTCACTCTACTTGCCTCACGAACAAAAGGCTGAATTTAGCACTTCCAAGAGACCACTTGTGGGTGACTTTTATCCATGCATAGGCGTGAAATTTAATGTCATGGTTCTTATCCGAGAATAGGCTCGAATAGGAATAACTGTTATGCGAATCATACGATTTTGCATGGATCGATTTGGAGGCATGGATATGATTATAGGGTAATAGGTATACAGAGGTCTCACTGTACTTTAATGTTAATTCGATGTAGGCCTTTCTATACTATATAGGTTGTGAGCCTTATTTGACCATACCTCACCGCACTGGGTCAGTGCTGGTTGGTAAAGGCAGGCAGCATAGATGGTGGAGCATAGAAGTCTAGTATAACAGAAATAATCTGCCCCCTGTTGCCCCCTACCTAACCCTGCAAGCCTTGTGACAACCTGCTTGTGTATGGTGGCTATTCTTCCAGGTACTAACCTGTAGCTTCTGAAAACTGACAAAATCGGGCACATTATGGGTGCTTTGGTAATACCTCATTACGTCTTCAATATTCAGCCAAACAGTAAAAGGTGCTGCTCTGTGCACATCTAATTATATACCATTGAATGCAAAAAAAATCTCAAGCATACCACCAAGACATTGAATATCAAAACACTGAAAGTTGTGGAGATGTGTTCATCCAGCAGTGGATTAACAAAGGGGATAAAGATTTAAACTATCATCTTTAAAATTTTACAATTCATACAACATTAATGATCATTTCTGATTACTGAACCCATTTTTATTGAATTCCAAGAGTCCCAAAGCTATAAGAGATATTTTTTTACAAGAGAACTATTCACAAGAGTCACGTTGAAGGGAAACAATAAAATAATAAAATATATATAAAACAATAAAAATTCTCACGACGTTTCGACCATAACACAAACGGTCGTCATCGGGTGTGAGAATTTGTATTGTTTATAAATATTTTATTATTTTATTGTTATATATTATTATTTTATTGTTTCCCTTCAACGTGACTTTACCGAAAGAGCTAAGAATATTCATAAGAGACATACATGAAAGAACATAAAGCTCCAGGTGTGTGTTATCTTCAAAGGTTTTTTCATCAGTCACTGACAAACAGCAATCGCAAAATATACAATAAGCTTTATTTGTGAACAAGGACGACATCGCTCTTTTCATATAATGTGCTATACTGTTTATGACAAATTACTCACAATATGAAAATGTTATATCATTTTCAGGAAGGTTAAAGCAATCTTCATCAAGATTGTATTTAAAGTATTATTTTTATTTCATACACAAGCCATCAGTAGTTATTAAAAAGCTCAAACTGTATTAGCATGACTTTACGTAATAAAATAAACATTCATTTTTATATTTCATTACACAATCTTTTACGATAAAATCTACCTTTATTAACTAGGACATTTATTTTTTGGGAAACTGTCATGGTTAGTAATTTCCTTACCTGATATACGTCACCTCAGGAGCCATTTCCTCCTCGGTGCGAGAAAACTTGGACGAAAACTGTTTCATGCCGGTGAAACGTGTACGTCTCCTATCAGCCGACGAAGATGTTCAAGTAAGACTATCTCTCAGAGAGATGCTGGCTATGTCTGGCGAACGATTATCTGGCTATCCTGACGCAGCAAGAAGCAAAACCAAAAATAACCCAACAACACCTGCGCACACTCTCACACCTCTCAAAAATATCAGTGTACAATATACAGCCAATTTTGTGTAGCATTAACCAACGTGTGGATTACCTCGGCACCTCAAAACACACACGGAGCAGCCTATATGTTTTATGAATTCGTGGGAAAAAACATTAATGAATGTTTCGTGGAAAATTACAACTGATAATCGAGTGCACAATTTTAATGCTTAAAAATGAAGCGTACCTGCTAACATTGCAAGTCATGTGGTACCATCCAAGATGCAATTATGGCATGTAAAGCATAACAATTAGACTACATCCCACTTGTGATCTAAAAGGTTGCAGCCAAGGGCCCCATTGTTCGTTTCACTTTAATTAGCACTCGTTCAGTTCAAGCCACGAGTCGCAGCTTATTAGCTGCTGGAGTAAAGTGCCCCGCAAAAATGTTATCCTTTACAAGCTACACTGACCCGTAACCTGGGAAACATCCATTAGGAGCAATTTTCTCACACATATCTGACCTTGTCAGAGGTAAAAAAAAAAATCCATTTGCTTGAACATCGTCTATGCATTTACCAAGGCAACAGGTATTTGTTGATATTCTTGGTTCTTTCGGTAAAGTCACGTAGGTAGAAAATAAAATAAACAGATAATAAAAAAAATTGAAAATAATAAAAGCAAAAAACCCACGACGTTTCGATCGCAAACACAAGCAGTCTTCATCAGGCAGAGAGAAAAAAAAATACTTGGACAGTTATCTGATGTCCTGTCTACTTGTGGTCATACAGTATTTCAATTTCCTCACAGTAACATTGAAAATATTCTGAAATATGTAAGCAAAAATTGTAATTATTTTAAGAGAAAATTGGAAGGTTCCTCAAACCGAAGACGGTTTATTCTCATAATTTTAGTTGAACTGGATTACACTGATAGCTGCAGAAACAGCAACTTCACTGCCAATATTTACTATAATAGTACAACATAAATTGTATTAATACTAAATTTAATTAATGTTTTTTTATGCATTTGAATTGCACACATCAATATACAAAATAAAACCCATCATCATGACTGCTCACGAGGGAGACTGAAACATAAAAACGCATCACAACATTATAAACAGTGTTACAATGAAAATGACTACTATTATAAAAGACGAATCAGTCTACAAATTGGCCTGGTTGTATCTGCGTTATTGAAATACAGTATTATACTGGACAACAAAATACTCTACACATTCATCAATAACACTGCTTTAAAATAACAAAATATACCATAGGTGATATTTTGAGCAATGGCTCTTTAAGGCAGTGTGATTGACGAATATGTTGAGTTTCTGGTGTTTATACTTGTGCACCAGAGCCACTGCTGAATCACCAAATAATTTGTTACACTGAGTGGTGGAATGACACTGGCTCCCATCTTCCTCACTATATCATTAACATAAAGAGTCCTCTGCAGCCCCCTGAAAATCCAAAAAGGCAACCACTGCATCTGTGCCTACCGATGGATTTCTGGCAAAGGAAGGGCTCCAGTAAATGGCTATAAAAAGCACAATCCTGACATCCTCCATTGCTTAGATTGTGTACTCAATGAGAGACCCCTTCAGGCCAACTACATTTGAAATAAGTACCTGATTCTACCAATCTCTGGACAGAGTATTGAGGCAGAAGTAGTAGTGCATGACTGGCAGCCACAAAATACAGCACTAAAGCAAACAAGAGCCAGGACACAAGTGTGCTTTAGAACAGCTTGGCAATAGTGGCTTCAAGACTTTTAATGCAGGTTTTAAAAAAATGTATATGATTTTATGCATGCCAGGGCCTTACATGTTTGACAAACACATTAAATACTGTATGTCCTCAGCTATTTTAGATTACTCATAAAACTGTACATGGTATATGGGCCACGAACTTGTTACAGAAATAAAACACACGGAAATAAACTTCGTTCCCCAGGCATAATGTGAGGTGTTCTAGTTCTGCTTTAGAAACAACCACCTAACATTCTCTATTGGGAAACCTTTAGTCAGCTCTCTGGACAAAACTGCTGCCTTGTGGTGCAATTTACAAGGTAAGTGTTTGCAGTTGTACTGCTGGCAATATGTTTTATTGGAAGTATTTATTTTTGTGCAGCTGCTGAAATATAGTTTGGAAACAATTATTTCAGCAATGACAGAGTACAATTCTCACACATGGATGGGAAATGCAATTTGCCCTGGTCAAACATTTCATGGGTATGAGACCATCTATCATAAACTACATCCTAACATTATGTTTTCACTAAATGTAAGTAAATGTTCACAAACACCAAAATGAATCCTTTTGAGCAACCCACTGCTGGATGAGTGAAGGCCTACCCATGCTGTGCAGGTAATGGGAGTTACTTGACTGTACTTCATACCATGCTGGTTATTGCAAGTTGGAAACATTAAAATAGATGTAGAAACGTAAGAAATAACTAATATTTCACATCTATATAAATTACAAAAGCAAAGAACTGGATGAAACAGATTGTTAAAGCCCACCCGAGGACATTTTTAAGAATAAGAAACGTATGAACTTGGGACAGGCATCAGAACATAAATAAATAATGGCCAGCTGTAATGTTAAGGGCTACATAATTTAAAATAAAATATGCCTCCAACATAACAGGCTATTTTAAAAGAAAAGTATGCATGGATAATTACCATATACAGCTTCCAATGTCAATTGTAACTGTGCAAAGATACAACCAACTACTGTTGCATGTGGCAGCAATTATGTGTACAATTTGTATAATAACAAAGTGTAGAATTCTCTATATGTATGGTCACCACGCTGAAATGTACAATTACCATATCCTACATTTTAGTTTTAATGTACATTAGTTATACTCCAAATTAAATAAAGGCAATACAAGCTTAACATTTTTTTGGCAAACTTATTAAAATATGGTAATCACTCCCATACTTTCATTAAAAAAATGAAGAACTTCAGTTTGCAGTGTAAGACTGTAGCAGCAGTACATTTGGATTCTAATTAAAAGAGGTTGTTATTAATGAGCGGAAAAAATGGAAGGGGAAACTATCATTTGATTTCCAAAAATTGAAAAAAAACATACAGCGCATTAATATTTTATGAAAAATCCTCTCGATAACTATACTAAATGTATTTATTTTGTGTATATAATATCCATAATTGTTTAAATACAAAAATGTAAGTACTTTGTTGCTAACAAAATGTGGTTATTGTGTAAAAGTTTATGTTAAGAATGTACGTATATGACAAAGTATTTTAAATATTTTAAGTATGGATTCTGAGCAAGCCTCTCATGTCAGTTGAGAGATCCAGTAAGCCAAAAAAATACAATATAAAAAAACGCGTTTTAAACCACATAATAAAAAAGTGTCAATATAAATTGAGATTTATAGTGCATTTTTGCACCGTGAGCCTGAACAAAAATGTTATATTGATGAAGTGCAGCATTGTTATTAATTTGTAACAAGCTGTAGGACCATTTCATGGGTTCTTTGATCTTCACTTGATGGCGTAAAATTATTTTCACCCTCATTTTCAAAGTGACATTGTGATGTATTAGCAGTGCTATAGTGATGTCATGCGCTTTGGAATAAAAAAAAGGAAAATTGGTATACTGTTCATGTCAGCTGATTCTTTGTAGCCAGGCATATAAAGCATGAGTACAATTACGACATAGCAATGTTATGGTTAAACAGCTGTGCTACCACTGATATTAATGTGGGGTTGTCACACGAGGAATGCAAGTTATAAATTATTGTACAGTACTGCAATTAAAAATCCTTTCCTTTCGGTTGAACTCACCCTAAATACTTTATCGTTTTGTCTGGAGTCTCACGCATGGTACCCTCGTCAGCCATGCTGCGTGCTTGTTCTGTCCACCACAGGTGCTGTCTGACGCATACAGGTAACTGGACCCTGGATTTAAACATAAGAATAACAAACCACAACAGCTGTGAGTAAAAATACAGCAAACACACCAAATTTAAATGGTGTGAATGCCGTGCAGTAAAACAGAAGTATCTTTAGCATATTTTTATTTTATACACACACAACAACATTTTCCACTATAAACATACACTTTTTTACAATCCAAAATAAGCACCAGTAAAATATTTCACGATCCCTAATAATAGTCTTTGGTTGTTTCGGTAAAGTCACGTAGATAGAAAACAACAAGATAAAAAACCAAAAACTCACGACGTTTCAATCGCAACACCAGCAGTCGTCACCAGGGGGAGAGATAATAAATCCACTGCTGCGTGTCAATGATGGGGATTTGACCATACTTCATCATGCTCATCAAGACAGGTTGGTGAAGGGAGAGGGGCCCAGAAACAGTTAAAATATTACTTGCCACTGATGTTAGTTGTGGCTGTGAATCAAATCCAGGTCACCTCACCAGGATCATAGCAAAGTACGTGAACCACTGCGGGACTGTCCCCCCCCCCTCCAAACATCAATGGGCTGGGATAAAAAAGTGCATATTTTAAAAATTAAGTGCCATTCATAATAAAGGTTTTTGGGTTAAATCACGTAAGTATAAATGTGTCATAACCCTCCACCACCCGACACAGCATTAAGTGAGGCTGTGCCTTCCTGGCTGTGCCGAGTGGTGGAGGGTTATGGCACATTTATACTTACGAGATCTAATCCAAAAAACCTTTATTATGAATAATACTGATTTAAAGCTTTCGTGACCGCAGGAATTCATACTCTTTGGGTCTTTCGATAAAGTCACGTAAATAGAAAAATAATAGATCACGACGTTTCGATCGCAACACAGGCAATCGTCTTCAGGTGACTTTACCGAAAGACCCAAAGAGTATGACTAATACTGGTCGCGAAAGCCTATGCGTTAAATTAAGTGCCACCTTGGTGAACTTGGAAAATCACAATAGCAACCTAATACTGTAGCATTTTAAAGTCACGTCATATCATTGCACCTCGTCGAGTGTCTGATGGCGAGAGGGTGTGTGGCAGTTCGCCCAGCCACCAGCAAGCCGAGACTCAGAAGGCTTCGAACAGCCAGCATGTGGCGGGCAGGCACGGCACCAGAAAACTCACACAGCCTCTACCATTGCAACAAATACAAAAATACTTCAGATTAAATGGTGTGCACAGTGCAGCATCACTGCACATAACTGCTAGGTCTCCCATAAGTGTATTTATTAGCATTTTGGGAATTAGTACCAAAGGGCTTCCTATAAAATGTGAAATTTTAAGTAAAACGTGATGCAAATAAACATTTTGGAAAAGGATACATTTTCGTGGATCTCATTAATTTAAATGCACTGTACTCAATCATATTAGCCAAAACCATCAGGTTCCTATAAATTATATATAATGTATTTCATGTCCAGATGTGCATATTTTACGACACAACAAATATAAGTTTTATTTATTTTGAGATTGATAAGCTGCCATTTGAAACTAACAAAAGTGCATTGTTATTAAAGTAATAAGTGCTGAATAAGATTTGCATTTATTGGGTGCTTAAAAGGCCCAGCATTTCAAACCGTTGTTCATCACATCTCATTTCAATAATTGCAATATCCAGCCGTAGTTTTCTTTTCATTCTGATGGGCCCTCTCGTGACAGCTGTCCCTGTGTGGTACAAAGTGACGCAATACCTGACTGCAAGCGGGCATTCGTCTGTCAGTGGCTGGGCGATGTTGCAAGTATTTTTTTTTAAGTTTGGACCATAATGCTTTGCACGCATGGTCTCCTCCTTTTCTGTCACGGGATTCTTGACGTCCACAGTGATATACGACGTGTATTGGTGGTTAATACAGCTGCGGTATTAACCAGGGCGGCCGGAGGTTTGAACCGCAAAACCTCAGAAACAAGCGGAGAATGTGCTACCGCTCGACTATGTCACTGCATCACATCCAATCAAAAGATTGCATCATCCATCCATAGAGCTAATCTGTGTTCAAAAGAGGATGTCTTAAAGATGTTAAAAATGTATAATAGCAGAAAACGACAATCTGCAGGCATCTAGATTTTACGTGATATCCCCAGAGAAACCATACTGGTTTGCACAATGTTTTGACATGCGTTGTCTGGAGTTGTTTTTTTTTTAAACTCACACACAATAGGATTCACCAACAGGTAGATTTGCACTACGGTAATTAACACAGGTTTCCTTCGAAAAATAAGACTTTTAATTCTCAAGGATACCTCCCGAATGTAACGAGTTGCCAATTGCGCTTTGTTGCACCACTGCCAACGCAGGCATCCCACCCCCAAAAAATATATAAATAATAATTCTCAATTTATTATGAATGAAGAAGTTTCGTGCACAATGCACCGTTGTTATTTTTATTGACTCTTCACAAACAAACGCGGAGACCGCCGTGAGCGAGTCGATGCTGCCCTCTCGTGGAATTGAAAGCGGCAAAGCTCATCAGCCACGACCGCGGCATTCCCCAACAACAACAACCACCACCATCACCAGCATCATCATCATCACCACCATCATCATCACCACCATCATTATCACCACCATCCATCATCATCATCACCACCATCATCACCACCATCATCATCATCACCACCACCATCATCACCACCACCACCATCATCATCACCACCATCATCACCACCACCATCATCACCATCATCATCACCACCATCATCATCATCACCATCATCATCACCACCATCATCATCACCATCACCACCATCATCACCACCACCATCACCACCACCATCATCATCATCACCACCATCATCATCATCATCACCACCATCATCATCACCATCATCACCACCACCATCATCACCACCACCACCATCATCATCACCACCATCATCACCATCATCACCACCACCACCATCATCACCACCACCACCATCATCACCACCACCATCATCATCACCACCACCATCATCATCACCACCACCACCACCATCATCACCACCATCATCACCACCACCATCATCATCACCACCATCATCATCATCACCATCATCACCACCACCACCATCATCATCACCACCACCATCATCATCACTACCACCATCATCATCATCACCACCACCATCATCATCACCACCATCATCACCACCACCACTATCATCATCACCACCACCATCATCATCACTACCACCATCATCATCATCACCACCACCATCATCATCACCATCATCATCACCACCACCACCATCATCATCACCACCATCATCACCACCACCACCACCATCATCACCACCACCATCATCATCACCACCATCATCATCACCACCACCATCATCACCACCACCATCATCATCATCACCACCACCATCATCACCACCACCACCACCATCACCACCACCACCACCATCATCATCATCACCATCATCATCATCACCACCATCATCACCACCATCATCATCACCATCATCATCACCATCATCACCATCATCACCACCACCATCACCACCATCATCACCACCACCACTACCATCACCACCACCACCATCATCATCACCACCATCATCATCACCACCACCACCACCATCATCATCACCACCATCATCATCACCACCACCATCATCACCACCACCACCATCATCATCACCACCACCATCATCATCACCACCATCATCACCACCATCATCATCATCACCATCATCATCACCACCATCATCACCATCATCATCACCACCACCATCACCACCATCATCATCATCACCACCACCATCACCACCACCACCATCATCACCACCACCACCATCATCTCTCTCGGGTCAACGTGCAAAGCGCCCTGCCCAATACGTACTTAAAAAGACAACCCACCCGCTCGCACCTTTCTCGTCGAGCGCGCTGAACGTCTGTGTTTTGTTTTTAACAAGAATGACAAAGTTTAAAACGCCGCTGTTGCCTTTGCCGTAGTACCGCAACGCGCTACTGTAGTAAATGTCACAGACGAGGTGGGGGGTGGGTTGGCTACTACTACAGTATCCACGGCTTCACTCGCGCTAACGCTAAAGCAGCAGGCCTTGTGTACAATTAGAACCTTAAAGGGGTACTAACAGTTAAAAGGCGAACGCGTTTTACGCACGTTGGGGTCCACTTCGCTAAAGGCGTTCACTTTGAGACGTGCAGCGACGGATACATTCACAACCTCAGCTTCGAAGGGCACCCACCGACCACATTAGACACGAGGGCCTTTACGTGTAAGTTAATAGTAGGGGACGGCACGAATTCACCAACGATTCCGCGTTAAACTTTCGTGTGTTTTTTATATCTATCTGTGTGTGTGTAAGGAATAGTCAACTTGCGACTGTAATGTCGCAAATGCGTTGGTAAGGTGAGGTTGCCCGCCCCAACTAAACTCACCGTCACTCTCTCTCTCTCTCTGGCTGGATGTCTGTGTGAAGCGCAGTCACTTGCTCGGTATTTTCACCGTGGCCGGTTGCAGCGCACCGACACTAGATGGCGAAAGACATTCCAGAAGTTGATGCTGATATTCTTCAGCGCGTTTTAAGACGACGCTTTTTGGTGGTGGTGGTGGTTGTTGTTGAGTTAACAATTTGGACACGGAGTCCCTCCAGCATTTCGTACGACGGCTTGTGCCGTTCCGTCTCGTGTGAGTGGCATGCAGTGGGGGAAAAAAACCGGAGTAGCCTTGTGGAAAAAAAAAGCCAATCTATAGGGGATAACACTCAAAAGGTTCGCACAGATGAATTCGATTAGCCCCTTTGCGTAGTGCGATATTTTCTAGGCACCTTGAACAAAAGTTTGATGTGAGATCCACAAAACTTTTCCCCTGTATGGAAGGCATTACAGTATTAATATCGAGGCTTGATTCAGATGTAAGATGTATGGCCTGATTTTAATATTAGTGGAAATGCAGCTTTGTTTCCTTTCACTTGAGCTGGTTTTTTTTTGACTGCCATCAATGCATGGCTTAGGCCAATACATTGCTGGAGTTTTTTAAACTATCGCTGCAGAAATATTTTGTAATGTTAACTATTTAAAGTCTCCAATACCGTATGAGCAAAACAAGCGATGTACAAGCTTCCTAAATAATTGAAAATATCTTTCTAGGGTGACACAAATCGAAAACACATCCGACTGTACCTAAATTGAATGCAAGCTGGAAAGTGCAACAACAAAAAAGAGAGTGCCGAGTTGCACGATTGTATTTACACTGAAAGAGCAACACGTGGATTTGAGAATGAATGCAAGTCGGGAGACATTCGCTGTTAAGAAGAGTGGACTTTGACAAGACATTTCACGAGAAGGGATAAATGGTCTGTGGTCGAGACTAACGATAGTGGTAGCCGAAAGGAGGGAACCTGCATCAGAGGACATCCACAATTAGACACAGCGGCGTTGAAATTAGTGCATGTGCAGCAGCAGTGGATTGTTGCATAACGAGACGGTGATGAATGGGGACAGTTTGGGAAGAACTCCATCCATCAGTGGATAGAGCACAGCTGTTGATGTCCCATAAGGGGCCGTCCATAAATGACATCACGCACCTGGGAGGGGGGGGAGGTCAGACATTTGTGACGATGTGTGACGGGGGGGGGGGTGAAAAATGTGACGTCACATCAAAATTCGCAGCTTTAAATAAATATATAATTGCTATAACACTAATTGTTATAACACTCCTACAACATCAGAGCGCAGCGCCACATTAAAGACGCACTGCAATGACAATAGTTTAAAGCGATTTGAAGCATGGTTTATTTTTATAATGTTAACGTGGTTTTTTGGGGGGGGTGGGGGGGCAGAGCTTTGTGACGTCATATTTGAGGGGTCTGACTTTTTGTGACGCCGTGTGACGAGGGGGGGGGGTCAAAAATCGTCCAAAATCGCGTGACGTCATTTATGGGCGGCCCCCTAAGTAACCTCATCTAACTGGTATTTTATGACATGTAGAAACCATGCATGAAAAGTGCCATTTTTACATTTTCTAAACACATTAAGTCAAACTGTTAACATCTGGATTGTTATTGGGTTTGTTTCAGATCATTTTCATTGAGCAGTGATTTCTAAATTTTTCTCACGGACCATGCTGTATAATATAGTGTTTGGAGGAAAGAAATCGTATTGACAACTGTTCTACGGACCACTTCCTCTAGTCTTGCAGATAATACGTTTGTAACGGCTGGTAAAGAGGTTTGTATTGATTGAATGCCTCGATCACAATTACATATTGTACATGCAAGCATATGCACGTGCAAGTCCCATTATAAAACTAGTTTGTATTAATTCTTTTATTGGAGGGTTGAGGGACAAGAGACAGGTTTTGTGATGTGCAAAGGTTAGGAAAATTTTAATCAGCAGAAAAGCATTGCAATTTCATTTCTCTGTCACATCTAACCTTCCCCATCTCAAGAATCAGAGCAGCTCCTCACTGACTTATGAAATACATTCATTCCATTTACAGAACCTTAGTGCTGCACTGATTAAACAGGGAGAATTCCTGTTTTATATACGGAGTATTAAAATGTGGCATGATGCAGTATTTCCCTTTGAAAATAAGCATCTGATAAAATATGTAAGTACACAACACAGCTTAAGAACAAGAGAACTGTGCAGAACGGCATGGGGTGGTTTTTTTCCCCCTGAAATCTTAGGATATTCGATAAGTTGCTTTCATTTGGCCGTTAGAGCCCTTTGGCATTCACACTGGGTTGTAATCATCCTAAATGTGGTCTGGTGTGACTTATGTAATTTGCAGCAAGCTGTAGCTCTTAAACACTAGTTGTGAAGGTATTTGCTTATTTTTTTATTAAACTGCTTAACAGGTCCCTGCAGGGTGGGCTGGTAGGACAAGTCTCTGCGCTGTCTATTGCTGATTTTACACCCAACAGCACGAGATTTCACTTCGTTAAAGTATTGAAAGGGGACGGACGGACGGATACATTAATCTATTGCAGGCTGGTACACTCAGTTTACAACTTCGTTCCTACCAGTATTATCACATGCTTGTGTTAGCAGGTGTTGGCTTTCTTCTCGATGTATTTCGAGTTAAGCTCTATCTAGATGGCAAAATCTGGCCTTTTTGCCGTGTAAATGTTTTATTTCTAAATTGCTAGCTTGTAAAAAATACATGCTAGCGTTTTGAATTTCCATAACAACTAAAGGTCTAGCTTCTGTGTGAAATGAGCCTTAAGAGTTGTCGAAAATGCGTGCAGATGAGTTAGGGATACAATATATATTTCCCTGAGTAAATATCTATAGGAGAAACAAAAAACGTATCCATGTAATATATAAATAATCCACAGAGGTGGTTGAAGTTTAAGTGTTGATTTATAAAACCAGAGCACGTAATTTTTGGTACTTTAACGTACTTTATTTGTCATCAATATTTTGCATGATCATTTTACATATTTACAAAAATATACGCTCAGACACACAACCCAGATATATATTTTTTTTTATTCCAAAGCAGCATAATGAATTATTAATCTTGAAAATGAGATTTTTTCTCAATGCTGCCATTGCAACCTATGACAGATGCAGGCGTATGAAAGCTACCAGGACAGTTTGCAGCTCGTTCAGGCTCCTCGCCTGGTTGTGTGCTCTGACCAACAGTGCTTTCTGTGTGATGTCCTTCTTGGAAAAAAGAGTGCAAGTAGCCATTGTAGAAGTCACTTGCAGAGAGTTTCTTCTTCAGCACAAGTGTCCGGAAGCCAACCCAGCCATCCTATGGGAACATCACATCAGAGTTTTACGCATGGGACCCAACCTGTCAAAGATATTTCATAAAGATGACATTGTTTTATATTTGTTTAAACACTTGCTGCCAACAAGTGGCTTTTTTTCTCAGCTGCTAAAAGATTAAATGTTTCAATTGGACAAAGAGAACAATCATACCTGACACCTCACACACAGTATGTTGGAGTGCTTGCAAAAGTATAAATCTCCAGGATGTGCATTTGGCCTCTTTTGGGCTGCTGCACACACTAAGATTGGAAGGAAAAAAAAACATGAACAAGGCAGGAAATATACTTTTTGTCACCTCAGCAACCACATCAAAAACCATTCAGGTGCAATATGTACCCAATAATCCATGATGCATTGTAAAAATCCCGTTTGTTGCATAAAACTAGCTTTTATTCTGCAAAACTAAAGCCATGCAATCATGCATTATACTCATTTGAAATGCAAATTTCAAATATATCTGAATATATAACAAGGATAATAAGCATTAACAGACATCCTGGACATATGACTATCATTACTTAACTTACTTCTGTTTATATACAAAGCAATTTACAGCTATATGAGAACAACAATAAATACAAACATTTGTACACTGTTTTTATTACAGCTACACTTTATATATAAATAAAAATTAAGGTCAGGATAATAACCACCATACCCATTAAGAAATACTGTTCATTGCATTTTACTTCATTTTCATTAATTACAATGCCATTATAATGTGCACACTATTTCACAGACATAAATAACCATGAGGCATGGAGCCATGAACAAAGGCCAGGCAAAATAGATGGGGGCCTTTTCTTGTCTCTTAAAAATAGGTGAAGATTGAATTCCGCAAATGTGCAGCGTGATGGCTTTCCAGATGGCAGGACTGTCAGGGAGATTGAAAGCTAAAATCATAGTACCTTAATCTCACCATCAACCAGACAACCAACAGATAACTAATCCTTCCCATTACTGGATTATGAACAGGTTAAATGTGTTTTGCAAAACAAAACTTGTAAATATACCTAGACTTGTTGACATATCTTCAATGTCCACCATGTTCATCAGTTTTATTGGTCTGCTCATCCACTGTGTCCTGAGCGGAAGCTAAAAGAAACATTCATGCTCAATGACAGGTTTACTTTATATATTTACACATAAAATATTTATACAATTAAAAACCCACACATATTTAAATACACGTAAGACAAATTTTAATAAAAAGCATTAAAGTTTTGTTTTGTAATGACAGAAATTTACCTGTGTCCCAATAGCACGGTACAGCCTGTCAATGTAATCTGTCGTTTGTTGGTCCCATCTCACCCAACACATGGACGTATTCACCTTTGGAGCTGAGTGAAATACATTTAAATTAATATCATGGTAATATTAACAATACATAAAATTTATAGTATACCTTTTGTCAAAGGATTACTCCAAAACACATTATATTTTTTGTATACATTTTTTTTGTTAGATTGCATTGTAGAAATGTTTATGCTCAATATGAGCACAGAATGTCACAGACAACAGAAGTATTGTTCTCTATAAGGTCATTTTAGGCAAACTGGTCAATGTTCATAGCAAGATTGAGGTCTCATGTATGTATGTTGAACTTATTTCGCACCGTACACAGCCAACCATGCTAATCGGAGATGCAAATGGGAGGTACGTGCAGTGAGTCATAAAATGGGATTCACAGATTCAACTGTTGCAAGTAAAAGTATTTGTCAAAATGACAAGGTAAGTATTTCTGTCAGTTATATAAATACCTCCTGAAGCAACAGCCATCCCTCATGGTCTCACAATAGAACAATCCATCCAGCTCCTGCATAGGAGCTGATTTCACCTCTCCATGACCACTCTGTGTACATCCTGTCAATGTTATCTCCTTTGTCCTCCACTCCATCGTTAGTCACGACCACCGGCCATCATCCATTCTAGTGATGTGTTCTGCCCAAGGCCATGTATGTTTCTGAACCATCAAAGTTTCATAATTTGCATATATTCTCTAATCCATGTGTTTCTATTTCTCAGTTTGATAACAAGCAAGTACTTATCCATGCCTCAATGCACACCTTTCATCTTTTTGTTCCTTTTTCTTTGTCAGTGTTCATGTTTCTGATCCATGTCATGGCAATTAAAATATACGGATTAAAAAGACATACAGTACTTGTTTTGAAAAGCATAAAATGGCATTTAATGTAACACACCCAATGTTAATCCCTCTTTAGGTTGCTCTGTGCTCTTCTCAGTGTATCCTGGGAGATCAGACAGTGTCTTGATGAGCTGTAATACAAAACAGTACAACCATCCATTGTACATGACATAGATCAACATCCACAAAATACTTTACAGCATATGATTAGCTAACCAAATGTCAAGCACAAAAAATGAAAGTGTAATCTGACCAGCTCTGCTCCTACACGGGACAGCATTTGCCGCAATTCCACAGCCGTGCATCTGTGTGGGACAGAATGCTTTTCCTGTAGCAAAATATTTCCTACATCAAACCTGACCAAAGAAAAACACGTACACATAATAGTAAATGGTCTTCACATACTGTGTTAAAGCAAGATATAAGATTACTAGATATGTAAATGACACCACTGTGACACGTGTACAATCTGAAATAAAAAAAAAGTAATTTTGACTGAAAGTAGCCAAGTGGTGGTTGTGACAGAACAGAGGCGTGTGCTGTTCATTTGCTCAATGTGTCACCTCTGTGGGCGGATCTTCATGACCGTGACGCCAGTGACAGTGTCTCCATGCAGCACCGTGTGAATAAGTGGTGAAGAGCCCCTCCAGCGAGGCAGCAGACTTGGGTGAACATTCAGTATTCCGCTGAAAATGTAATAATATGACAAAATCTTTAAGTTTGACAATATCCACAACTTGTTGCTACAAGTAAGGATTTTGGCCACTCATAAATGTAAAGTTTTCTTTATAAATTGTTAAGGTTATTCTAAATAATACTAGGATATAATAATGCCTTTAAGCTGGCTGAAATCCCACGAAGACACATCTAGAAAGAGAGACCTAAGAATAATAATGTAGCTACTGTTGGATGAAGGCATCCCCATATACTGCCATTCCTCTGCCCCACAAACGAATTATCTCCTATACATGAGTTTTGTCATCACTCCATCAAAACAAGAACCTCACAAATGTGAAGGATTAAATCAGCCTTCATAAATTTACCAGGCGGTTGTTGTTAACATCAAAATGGTACTCACTATGGGAAAGAAGAGATGAGATCTTGACTGAGAAGACACCCAAAAGATACAACAACACCAACATGGAACCCTCCACTGGTTGGTCCACCAGGCAAAGACCATGATGGAGATGGTGGTACATATGGCCAGTCATGCACCACCAGTCCCAGCTCTGAAGCAAGGCTCCGTACTGGTATTGTTTGTTTTGGAAGGGTCACAACTTCCAATGTCTCCAACAATCCACTGTTACTGAAACCCCACAAAGCAACATAGATAAGTCACGCATCTGTAAAAATATACTGCACGTCCTTTAAATAAATCAAGTTATATATAACCAGGCTAAGGCTCAATGCAACACATATTTTAGGGATAACCTGAGTAATATGCAAGTAGAAAGTCATAATTGCAGAGGTACAAGCAAGAGTCACCATGTAACAAAACGTATAACATTTTAAAACACCATTGTACTCAAATGTCTGAACATATATATATTTTGATTTAAAGCTTTCGTGACTGCAGGGATTCATATTCTTGGTTCTTTCGGTAAAGTCACGTAGAAGGGAAACAATAAAATAATAAAAATATAAAACAATGTTTTAAATAATAAAAATATAAAACAATGTTTTATATTTTTATTTTATTGTTTCCCTTCTATGTGACTTTACCGAAAGAACCAAGAATATGAACCTATATATATGAACGTTCATCTACAATATAAGACAGCTTTTTTTAAAAATAAGTGGGTTTATGCAATATACATATTGGAGGCATGTCCTCTAAGTGAAACATTTATAAATAAAAACTTACCATGCACTCTTCAAAGCTTGCAAAGATTCCAATGCAAAATTGTCAGAGCCAAAGAAAAGAACACGCCACGGTGGCTCTTTTCTAACTTCTGAATGTTTATTATCCAACACATTGGCATCATCGCTGTTTAATGCCTTAGCTGACATGTGGTAGCCCACTGCAGAATTCTGTGAACCCACACACTTTTGTATTCTATTCCTGAACTTTTCACACAGGTCCAATGACGTTGATTTTAATAAGCTGCAGCGTTTACTTGCTGAAACAGAGACTTCTGGCCAACAGCTGCTATGCACAGAAAGTGAATGTGTTTTGTTCATCGAGTTGACAAATATGGTTGGGCTTAACCCAGATTCTTTTTTGGAAAATATCGTTCTTGAAAATGAATCTCGGCCACAGAATTCAGCAGCCACAGGGCCAGAGGGCGTTGTTGAATTGTGGACATGTTCCGTGGCATTTGAGCAGCCACATCTCTTCACCAAGTTCAAGACAGTACCACTCTTTGGTTGTTGGCTGCTTGTAGGTCCACAATGCATGCGTCCCATGCTTCTGAGGACTGGCTGAGCCCATCTCAATTGGCCGAAGTACATTTTAAGTTTAAGGCCAGCAAATTCAGCATAAAAGTGCTTTCATGCTATTCATGTAGTCCCATCAGTGCACCACTACGCACGGTGACTACATTCCGCTCCACGCGCTGCGTCCTGTAGTCGGAGTGAGTGATCCTTGTTGTGACGGCACATGTCCTGCAAGTACAAAATGTATTTATGAAACAATTAGTGAAGGAAAATGCGAGGTATTTTAATCTGGAACACATTTTGCATTTCCATTCCTTCCGATTACTGGCTGCAATGTTTTTGTTAATTTCGATTTGCTCACGGAAAGAACTGGAAGACATTAAGTTTGCTGGGTAACCAAGGGGTCAGTGCTTTTTTCCCTTTGGCCATTTTGCATGCAAATAAATTATCCCTTTGAAAGCTACAAGAGCATGTCCCATTCATCAATGAACAGTCCCAAAGGCCCAAACATCACGGGCAGATTCTGACATTACCGAACATGGGGAAAACTACGCGTAAATGCATTGTCTTGATCGGTGTATTATTATTAAACTGACACAAACTGGGGACTTCTAATGTCCTGGGAAGACTCAGGACAGGTTCCTCAAAAGTAAAATTCCATCGGAAATCCAGGACAGGTGGCAACTATAACTATAAAGTGGATTTTAATGAACCCCATGACAATTCATACCTGTCAACCCGTTACGGTTCACCCGTATTCTTCTGCAGGGAAATTTAGATTTCAGGTCCACACGGCGTACAGCCGTTTCAATACGGGCAAAACATGTTATGTCTATTTGTTTGTGTTTCTCCCTTGCGATGGGGGACTTTATAGGATGAACGTTGAGATTTATAAGGACACGGGGGTGACCAATAAGGTCTGAATAGGTCTGCAATAAGGTAGGGCACTGATAAGGGGTTGACAGGTATGTGATATAATTCTCAAGATGTTGTAACGGTCTCTACGTAATGTGCATAGTAATAATGTTTTTTTTGTATCTTGTAAGGCGAAAATGTATCTGCACAATACTGTATTGTAGATTTTAACTTCGTTACCGCGCAGGGCACCTCGTACAGACCATTACAGTACAGTGTACTCTGGCCGGACAACGTGCTTAGAGTTGCTCTCCTTGGCTTACAATGTCCTTCCTAGTTCTCCATTTGTAAACAGGGACACATGTTCCGACATAAAACGCTCTTACCTTGGTCGAAAATAATGGTTAAATCTCAAGCATAACCTCAAACGCCACCAGCCAATGCCGTCACGACCCAACACGTGCTGCATGCACATAGAGGGGGAAGTACAGTATACAGCACTGTACCGCTTATCGCTCTGTCACCAAATGCACAGCGGAGGCTTGGGACAAAAGACAAAGATCCCCCATATAGCCTTAACACACACGTGTGTTGCAGGTAACACCGCTGACTTCATAACCTTTCATTAAATTCACAAACAACGCAGACAAGACGAGAACATTTCGCCCTTAACGCGAGAGGAGGCGCTTCCGAAAACGTTGGCACCCAACAACCCTCGTGACCTTCTTGCCAGAGCTGAATGCGGCGAACGAGCGTAAAGAAGTCGGTATTTTCCACTTATTTTTTTTGTAAACGAAACCAAAAAAAGAAGTAATCAACATTAATAACGTTCACTGGTGCGGTAAACTTACCACGAACGGGATCATCGATTGCTTTTTGGCTGGCTGGGTCTCTCTGCTGCGCCGATCTGTGCCTCGCGCGGAGCTAGGCCTCTTAAGGCGGGCTCCTCTTAAGGCACTCACACACACTCACTCGTACAGCTATAAAGTAAAAACAAACATCTGAATATTTGTTTATACTGAGGGGTGGGGAGGGTTAATAAAGCTGGAGTTTTGCTCGTGTCGAACAAGCCCCGCACACGCGGGAGAATTTGTCTCCTTATTTAGTTACGAGTGATGTATAAATCTCTACAACGGTAATGTGCACTGCATCAGGTAATTCGCATTTTATTACTTTAAAAAAAAATCTCACATAGCAGTACTTTATTATGTTTAATTGCAGTGAAGCGTTTACTTTTAAAAAAATATACATAAATCACCACACTGCGTTGAGAAAGCACTGCATCTCAATTCGCAACCTATTCATTCATGCGGGGTTATTGACATGGCGGGCGGGCGGGGGGGGTCAAGCGGGCGGTAGGTAAGGCGGTGCAAGCCCCATGGGCCTCCCTGGTTAATACTGTTGGTGTACGACCCGGTGTGCGTGCGAAGTCCGCTTCGCGGGTGGAATTTTAAAGATCCAGCGATGTAATGTGAATAGTTAGGCCACTGCGTGCCCACATTTGAAAAAAAGTACGTGTACATGTAATTGGGGAAACAGCAATTGTCGCCCTCGACTGAATACGAACCCCCTCCTGTAAGTTGTGACACACTGGTTTCTTTAATAAATACGTGTAATATAGGAGTTAAAAGAGTATTGCAGTACGTAACTGTATTTTCAAATACAGGACTGCATCTGTTTTAGTGTTAATTTTGAATCTCATGTACTCTTTGAAGGACCTGCTTTGGTATGGTTGGCCAATTCCATTTGTAGAATGAAACCCAGAGACAACCCACAAGTATGAGATGTCACTCAAAAGGTCTGTAAAAGTTGGTTCACAACCCAATTTCTGTTCTGCCATCTGGCCACCTCGCAACCCCCATCGAAGTGCCCTTATGAGTCACAAGCATTTGGTGGTTGTATGGTTGCTCAAGGAGGAAAGCATCTGCACAGCCGTTATCTACAGTAGTCATACAGCCTCATTAAAATGATTACCATCAGACTACATGACACATTTTGTTGCATAATGTACATTGTACTTTGTAAACAGGGACACGTTCCGGCTTAATATGCTCTTACCTTGGTATAAAATAAGGGTCAAATAAGCATTATCTCAAACACCTCCGATGAGCACGGTCGACTATGTACAATGTGAGCGATAGAAGTTCAACATACACTCAAAAAAATAAAGTTGTATTTATGAAATGTCATGTTATGCGCAGTTTCTGGCTCTATATATTATATATTTCGCGTAAAGTAGCAGCAATTGCTTTAGCACAAATGAAAACCCAAAACACCACTGCTGTAGATATAAACTGCATGTTTTTTTTATTTCCACGTGAAAAGAGCACAAAGAACGTTGCCATTTCGGTTTCAATACTGCAAAATGAGCACCAACAATGTAAGCTACCAATACCGTGCGAGTATGTACTCTGTACCCATCGCATAAACAATGAGTTGCAAGCTCTCTGTGCAAGTACTGGTGTGTCATTGGGGTATACAAGAGATCGTGGGTTCCATCCCAAGTCCGACGCATGTACATGTGGAGTTTGCATGTTATCCCCCGTGGTCGTGTGGATTTTTCTCCGAGTCCTACGGTTTTTCCCTCCACATTTAGAATCAACATGCGTTTATGGTGTTTGGCTGCTGTAAATGTACACATAAGCCACTTCATTGAGCTGTCATTTGTGGCCAGGTCGCTTCTGAATCACAGCCAAATAGCTCAGTGGGCCTTACCTGGTAAAATATAATTCGTGTATTTATTTTAGTTAGAGACATAACGGTTGTAGTATTCCATCACTGCCTTCTCTCGAGCTGTCTGTAATGGTCACACACCCAGCAATTGCAATGCTAACCTCACTGTACAATGACCAAAGTTGTTATAAGAGTCCAGGAAATGATAACGGTACTCTACTCACTTCCGTTTCATTTTGAAAACTAAAGATGCATTTAATAGTGGCACACTACAGTACGAGTACTGTGGAGCATTTTGGTTAAGAATTGGATGTTTTGAATCAACACTTCATAACCATTTACAGTCCTGCGTTGTAGTTAAACCACGTGTATTTACTATCCTGAAAATAAACTTTCGTCTTGCTTTATCATTACGGTAATTGAGCAAATTTTACATATTTTGAACTTCAATTTCGAGAGCAATTTTGTTAAGCCGTGTTTAATGTGAAGCATGCAAAGAGTACTGTATTTCAGTGCTATATGCTTATAACATTTTCTACAAATGAAGTTTTAATTGTATGCGGTTTGCACTGAAAATTGAAAATACAGCCCTTATAAACAGAACGAAATGCAGCTACGGTAACTAAAAATCGTAAGATTTTTGCACAAATATAAATCTGTGTTCAATGTAATAGGCACTATTTGAAAAAAAAGGCAATGGTTTGTCAAAAGCTGTTGAAAATTGGTTCTGGTATGTGACAACTGCTCCATATAAAAAGATTAGGTATATGGTGATACATACATTCAATTACGACCGATTTTTATGCAGTTAAGCAAAGAAAATCCACCATACAGACGAGAAGTAGAAATGAGTCACGACCCCATATCGTGACAATTGTTCAAATTGACGGCAGTGAATAGGCCGATTAACAAAAATATACATGTATTCAAGATTCACTATATGTCTAAAAGTATTGCAGTAATACTGTACTTTTTATTCAATGTAAAACTGCATAACTGTAGTAAACACTTCTCAATTTCAGTTTGTGATGTGTTTCATAAAAGGTTATATACAGTGAAAATAACTAATTCATATTTGACCCTATTACCCATAACTCCTATTATCTGTGGCAGCAGTAGGGTGTGTGAAAACTATTGTGACCCTAATCTTCCAATTGTCCCAAAGATCATTGCGGAATTATTTCCTATTGTCCGCAAATGTTCTTGACTAATGGGATGTGGGTGAAAAATCACTGATTATCCACGGTTATCTGTACATTTTTCCTGTGGATAAAGGGAGTAAATTCAGAGATAATTTTGCAGATAACAAGATCCGCAATTTTTGGTTCCTCACAAGTTGAGGTCTATACAGTATTTTGAAAAAAAAGGTGTAATTACGTGGCACTTGGCAATGTGTGCATAGTTACTGGAACTTTTGTTTAAGCATTTCCAAGTTCTTCTGTCTTTGCTTGTAAAGATAATGGGAATTGACGATAAACCCTGAAAATAGAAATATGAGTTAGAAAAATTTAAATGTCTACACATTTTGACGAACATCATTTAAAATGTACATATATTAAGTTACAAACATGATACACAATTATACAATGTCCTTGCCTATTAGAGGCAAACCATGAATGCATAAATGCAGTTTGCTGTAAATGACAAAAGAGGAGAAAAAAACTATCAGTCTTACTGAGTGGCAATATTAGTAGCAAATAAGTGTAGAGTACGTAAGGAAACAGTGCTGATATGTTAAGTGGCTCCTGGAAATTCAGGAAAACCTCTCCCGAGTGCTCAAAATGTTCAAGGGACTGCAGGACGCAAATCACTGTAAAGAGAAAAAAACACGAAGATCCAAATTAAAATTATTCACAGCACAGACAGTCCCACTTTTTCCAAGGCATCTGGCCAGTGTGGAATAGTGGGCCAAATATCCTCTAGAGAGCATGTCAAGAGCTCCCTCTTTTGGAGGTCTTTCTGCCAGCAGTGGCATGAGTGAGCAATTTCAGGGCTGCAGTTTGACCTTCTGTAAGCAATGAAAGGAACATTTTAAATACAGTACAGGAACTATATAAAATGTGGAGTAATTCTTTATATTAGTGTATACAACATAAACAAGTTTCCTATCTATTTTCTATGAGGCACTGTGTGGATTTCGGCATACAGGATAAGGGTGTTGCTCTTCAGAAGCGTTTAGCTTTGCTGGTCAAACAGGTTTGAAGAAGTGCAGCTATCCACAATTTACTTCCCGACAAGCAGTTTAGCAGCGACTTTCAGTGCATTTATTTAGCTGTTTGTTGGGGAGAGGCAACAAAGCCTAAAAACAAAACTTTACCATAATTTTTATACCAACTACTATCCTGTATTAATGGATTTAAAACGAAAACTCAGAAGATTAATTTTTCAACAAGATGAGAGCTGGATACCATACCTATGTTGCGACACATTTTTATATTTGCCATTCAGGAGTTATCGTTATACGGAAAAATGCAAAACTGTACTGAATTTATTGCAAGCAATCTGTTTGCTCAAACCTTCAGCAAACAAGACCAGCGGGCAGAGTGGAAGCCAGAAGGAGTAGCGAAGCCATGTAAGGAGCTCCCACTCCATGCTCAGGCTGGCAAGCATGTAATATGGGTACCTACGTGAAACACATCCATCGAAAATTTATTACTGTACTACACTTCTTCAGATAAGAATAACTAAATTTCTTACATCAATATCTTGCCATCTGAAATAGTGACATTTATACTTGAATGTGGTTTTAATTCAGTTTGGGGGGATGATCTAGTGGAGGTCGTGTGTCTACGGTGCAGCAGATGTGGATTCTGGTAGAGGGTAGAAAGCATTGGCGAGGTGTGGGTGGAATCAATGGCTTTGTCTATGACATCTTAAATACAGTAACATGTGTTTGTAATGACTCAAGTTTCACTTTAGTTTTAAACCATAAACATCAATGTGAATACCAATCCGGTTCTGCATGCACACTCAACCGTACACGATGTGGAATGCACACCGGCAACAAACGCCCGTCAGTCTACGCACATTGATGCATGTATTTTCGGCCATGTGAATTGACTCTCCTGCAAAAGTTAAAGTGAAGTTTTTGTTGCATTGTTGCTATAAATGTTATCATTACAGATTGGCCTCATTTTGAAGGTGGACACACTTAAGGAAGCACTGCTGATATCAAACCAAAAACCATTACTGTAGTGGAAACGTTATGCTTTACTGTATTATATTATATACGTAGCAGTGTCTAATTATGACAACATATCATATTCGCCCAATAAGTATATGTGGATGTCAAGCCACACGTTGCAATAAACCAGTTCCAAATGCTACTTTGTATACAACAATGTACAGTGTACAATGTTTTCAGCACTTTTTCACCTGAATATTTCAATGGAGCTCCACAAGTAGAACACCGCAAACACCACCACTGTGTTTTGAAGCTCCTCTTGGTTCCAGATTACGACAAACAGCAGAAGGTTTCTACTGAGCACCTAATCCAAAGACACAAGAAATACAGTAAAAGAAAAATCAACGGAAAGTACAATAATATGACCAATTCGCCAAGAATGCACCCGATCCCGTCAGACCACAGAAGCCAAGCAACGGTTGAGTCTGGATATTGCACGGATGGGCAACCACCACCATGCACAATAAAGAGGTGTACACAGAATAGGCATTGTGGGCAGCAAAGAGTGACCAACGTAGAAGTAAGAAAAAGGTTTCATATAGAAGACATGATGCAGGCAGTGATGGGATAGAAACTGGTACTAGTTGGGACACATATGTAGGATGGACAACAACAGGAACATTAAAAGTGTAAAAGTGTGTTGTTGAAATTGAAGGAACCGGAAAAAGAGGAAGACCGAACAGAGAATGGCTTGGCGAGATAAGGGATTGGTGCCATAAAGATGCCCACTACTTGAGAATACTGGCACAAGAAAGACGAACGTGCAAATAAATGACGAAATGTGCAGTGGACACCTACGGGCTATCTGTCCATGGAACGTGATGATGATGATGGTGACTCCCCCCATCCTCACCAACCCGCACTGACCAGCAGTGAAGTACTGCATGGTAAAATACAAGTGCAGCCCTGAAATGTCTTGCTCACGCCATAGAAATAAAATAAGCAAATATCTGGGTCATTCAGCTACAGCATTCCAAATGCATATTGTAAGAGTATTGTGTCTCCATCTCACCTGTAAAATCGTGGGGATGAGAGCACTTTTCGAGAGGCCCAGTAGCGAATTGATTACCTCCAGAAGCGACAAAGCTTGACAGTAACTCATCACTTCGCCGATTGCGTAAAAAGTATCTATCATTGAGTCTGCAGAGTAAAATAGACTCCAATTAATAACGGTTATGGACAACATTTTAAAAAGTAGTGTATTGCGAGTTGTAAATAAAACAATATACATGTACACTGTGGTTTACTTGTATTCGTACCTTCTCCAAAATGAAGCATGCGAACGGTCATGTTGACAAATACCCAAGAATGTCCAAGGAACTGCATGAGGGAGTAAATAAATAAGTAGTACTTCCTTGCTGGTTCAAAATCTGCCACAAGAAAAGGGTGGTTATGCTTTAGACTTTTGCTTACTTACTCTGATGTATCTGTCCTTTTAAACTGGAAAAATATTAGTGTTACATAAGGGAATTTTGCGTCATTGAGTCTAGGTTAAATTGACGTTTTAATTTCTCCGGCAACAATGAAGATGTATCACATGTACACTGTAGTATGATTACTACATTTTATATTTTGAGTACTGTACCAAAAACAGTAGTAATACTGTAATTCTTACATAAATAAAATGAGGACCCTTTTGTCGACACTTAACACCGGTGGCACTTTCACGCCGAATAATAATGCAATGGAATAAAAATCTAGTGTTGAACCTTTACGGATGGATTAAAACAGCAACATCAGTGTGATAGATTTTATTAAAAATCATTAAGCTTTAAAACAATGACTATACCAAGAGTAAGTGTCACTTGGGTAGTGTGTGGTGTCCACCTTATGTAGTGTAATGCTGGGAACATGAATGAGTGTGCCACTCACATGAACTACTGCCATCGAATGAAGATTCGCTGCTTCCTTGTGAATTCTTCATCCGTGGGCGAAAAAAGTAAACAAAAAGTTAAGAAAGAGCAAAACGCCATAGCATTTAATACTAGAGTAGGGAGTTAATGATTAAAAGGGTTCACTTTTATTATACGTCAGAACACTAGTGTTGATAGTGCAACAATTTCAATCGCCTCTGTTTTCTCTTGACAATTCTATAACATTAGTATTCTTTCACATCTGCTTGGCATTTCGACTCATAATTTTCAGTCATCGTTAAGAAATCTGTACACATCACAACATTACATGGGACTTGAGACACTAGATATTGAAATGTTAAAGGCTTTTTAATGTTTTTTATAGTTGTACTGTAAAATTAAATGGCACACTGTCAGTGTATTTAAGGAGTATAAGTCAGGATGCATGTTTAGTGTTTACATTTCAGTCACTGATACAAGTATTCTTTGGTTCTTTCGGTAAAGTCACGTAGATGGAAAAAAAAATCATTAAAACCAAAAACTCACACGACGTTTCGATCGCAACACAAGCGGTCGTCATCATCTACGTGACTTTACCGAAAGAACCAAAGAATATGAATTCCTGCAGTCAACGAAAGTTTGAAGTCACTGATACAAGTGTTTGTTTGATGTACGTATGTGCTCAGAATCACCAGTCGTACTTGACTGTTATAGAGCACAATACTGTCATTACCCGCTAGATGGCAGTCAGATAAGCCATGAAGTACACACTTCGTATATACAGTACTGGATTATCCTGCAACATTACAGTACTCTGTTCTAGAGCACACTGCATTACTTAAGGCTAATATATACACATTGCACTTAATAAAGTACAGACAGTAACTAGAATATGAATTCCACTTAGGAAGAACAGTATTTAAAATAAGTACAGCCGAGAGCACATTCAGGTATGGATGTTCATCACCGATGAAAACACTGTCACCTGGAATTTGATGTTAGTTTAATGTTGTTCGCGAAGCAGTATACATAACTTTAAAAGCACATCATCAAGGTGGTCTTTAATGTGAGTTGCTGCCGGAATGTCACCGTTGACTTCCTATGTATTTATTCCAGAAGGTTGAGTTGGCCCCAACTGGAGTGAAATCGAGTAATTGTTGCCAAGAGAATCCCATAGCTGCCATGAAAGGTCCATACGGGCTACAGGAGTCTCACATCACATCATTTAAATACAAGTACGTTGTACTTGAAACATAAACAAAGACACGCCGCTTCTCCCAAGCTGAAGCAATATAAAGCTCAAACCTTGACTGAAAGCTTTCGTGACTGCAGGAATTCATATTCTTTGGGTCTTTCGGTAAAGTCACGTAGATAGGTACAAATGAATTAAAATAAGAAATGTAAAATAAAACTACGTTTCTTGTTTATCTTTTTTATTTATTAATTTCTACCTATCTACATGACTTTACCTAAAGACCCAAAGAATATAAAGTTAAAACCATTCAGTATGCAGCAGTGAACTAGATGTAGCCTTACGGTTTACATTTTAAAGAAACCGTGCACCGTCACCCTAAACAAATAACATTTTAAACATAATTCGATGGTACTACTCAACGGCTATACTCTGGTGTTCATACATTAGATTCAAGAACAGCCAAGCGACCGTATCAAATACGGAACCATACAATTAAGTAAACGCATTCGGCGGAGAGTTTAGACTATACAGTGACATGCATTTGGAGAGGATCTCTGCATTATCTAAACTTCCAAAACTCACTTTTACACTCACCTTTCTGTCCAATGCTTGCGCTCTGCCCACTCCTGTTGGCCTGAACCTAGTAGTTTTCATAGCCATTATGCTTGTTCTGAGGATATATTTATAGCACGGTTACATTTCGTTATACATAAACGTTTCGGTGCCCGAAATGCTCGCAAGCTCCCTTTGGGGATGGGCATGCCAGTGCTCTGTGCGTTAACTCGTTGTAAGAGAACCCTGCCCCAAAGGGATGCATGTGTGTCTTAAGAAAACGTTAAACACTTACGTTATAAACCAGAAGTAATGCCAGCGCCCGGCAGCTGTTACTGAAAAATGCAGTTTGCTTGGCTGAAAAGGTTTTGTTTTTGTGTCTCTCTCGCTTTTCGGGGGTGGGAAAGATTGACCAAATCCGGTCTTGGCAAAAAGGGGGCTGGGTTTTGTGGCCTGCGGAAGCAAAACGAAGCAGGCCAGGACGGGGGAACGTCGTGTTTTGAATGCTGCCCACCAGCAGCCAGACGTGTAAAAGAATGCACCGCTTTAAAAACAAATTAACCCCCCCCCCCCCATAAATCCTTCTTCAGCTTCATTTGTGCAACGGTCAGTTCGCTCAAAACTTTAATTACCGTGCGAATTCGTTTTACACGTTGTTCTGCGTGTAGTGGCCACTTATTTTGGATAACTTATACAAAGTATTGGCACTGCTTTAAACTCCATGGATGTACATTTTTTTTAAAAAGACAGGATGCGTGCATATATCCTGTCGCGCTGAACTACTACGGATAAAACCGGAGTACTAAAGAAAATACCGTTATTGTGTGTGTTCCTCTGACACTTTATTTGGGGTGATAGACAACTTGGTAAACATAACACGTTCGGACTGTTCTGCTGGTAACGTTGAAACGGCCAGGTGGGAGAAAACTACATGTACTTGAACCTTAATTATAACATGGCATATTTCTTAAAATAGCCAGCTCTTGTATTTTTTAAGAAATATTACTCAACGGAAATATTGTTCCTTAATTTTTTTATATTTTCAAGTGAAACCCAAGTCAGATGTTATACGTTGCGGTGTTCCCTATCATACATTTTTATTGTATACCCTTGTGAAAATATTTTGAGAGCCTAACAGCTGCACAACTTACACGTATGCCACAAATGTACTATGCAAATTGAAAAACTGAGGCATAGTCCAGTGAAAAGGAAGATAATGTTTATACATCACAATTTTATATAATTTACATTTTATTTTGTGCCATTCGCTGCTTTCCCAAATTTCACCCATTCATGTCTATACTGAAGCATGTTTTAATACACTTTTTTTACAAACCCGAGTAATTTTGGGAGCTTATCTTTAAATTTTAACTACATTTTCACAATCTCAAACATGTTTGGGCGCTGGTCCCCATTTGTGGTCTTTTCACATTATCGTGTGTTACACATTTTCGTCTCATTGTACATCATTGTTATGCACCCGCACAGAATGTATTCGTATGAAGTGCGATTTATAACTACTTTAACACTTAGCTACGGCAGATAAACTGCATAATGAAGCTTTCAGAGTACAGTGTACACTTTATTTAAAGAGAAATTACATTAACAAAAGTGGTAACACTACATGAATGAATGGGGATAAAGTAAACAGACTCATAAAAGAAATACGCAGTCATACAATCAATTCCAATCCCCTGGAATATGTGCAGTCACTTAATACAACAAATCACATCACATCAGATTATCAGTCTATCCGAATTTAGGACACTAACAAAACCACAGGAATTTAAGTATTTAACTGTAATTATACCAATTAAAATTAAACGTAACACTCATCAGAACATGACTTTGCTGTACATTTTAAGTGTATTGTTTGTAAAAACCCACATAATTTGCAACAAAAATCTGTTATAAAACTTTTACATTATGTTTTTTAGATGCATTTTCTACACTACATTTATTTGCAAATACACAAACATGGATATAAAACTTGTTTTGAAACATTTATAAAGCAGATCAAAAGTAAAACTATATTTTCACAACTAATATGCATTACATGTACATTGAAAGGCAATTTAGATATGCAACACAAAAGAGCTATTACAACGCAAACCAGCAAAGCCTAAGGTAATACAAAACAAAGCACAGTAAAACACTGAAAACTGGTATTCCGTGAGATAATACCACATGATTCTGGACAATACATAAGCAGTTTAAAATTGGCATACTGGTGCACAAAGGAAATGTTCACTTGAAGGTGGCATACCAGAATAATTAATGTATAATTTGACTTCTGGTTGACAGAATTAAGTCTGAAAAGAAAAAAAGGAAAACAAGTTGAATGAGTGTTCAGCATATTTGTATACTCTGTATATGCCATCGGTTGTTGGTGATATTTAAAACAATTACAATAGATATTTAATGTTTTTTTTTATGCAAACACATTTGATATAAAAATATGCCATTGAAATTATGGTCACGTTCTTACATGGTAAGAAAAATACATGAGGCATGATGATTGCAAATCAAATGTTATTGAGGTGTCCTTCAAAGCATGCCAATGATTTTTTTTATCGCAACAGAAGTCACCTCATCGCGGGGTTTTTCTGGAGAGTTTGCAACCTGCTCCGTGTTTTGCTCGTGCTCCGAATTACTGTCTTGATCCTCTTTATTTTCCTGGTCGTCTGACCGTGTCCGCTTCCCTGACTTGAGAAAGAAAAAATATAACATACATTTTGTTTACCTTAATTTTAAATGCATGATCATAGATGTAACAAGACAAGCTCTGTGCTTTCCTTTTCCATGCCTTTGTTAGTAAAGTTTTTTCCCTTAAAGCTTGATTGCAGATACATTCAACGACTCGTAAAGCGGGATGGAATGCTCAGCTAATGGATCAAAAGATTAAATACATATACAAGTGCTGCCAAGACATTTCTGAAATAAAATGCCCACCAAAATATTTTTCACATGTAATGTATTGCTCTATACTGTATAATACTCCCGAGGTATTTTCATTCTCAAGGGCCAGGCAAAAGTTGTTACCTATGAGCCTGGTAACGAGAGTAAAAGTGTCAACTCGGCCTGATAGTTATACCAACTAATTAACTGTAACAAGGTATAATTGGATTTTTTTAAAATCTTAAAATAAATTTAATTGAGAAAGATACAGCCTTCTTATGCAAGCAGTAAGAGAACATGAAATACAAGAAATTAAATCGTAATTGTTGAGTTTTTACACGACTAAGCGGCTAATTTCATTTACTGTTACCAGACTGTGAAGGCAGGTAATCAACCTTATTGGTGTCTATGTGGAAAGTGTGCTAGTTTTGTACACTGTTAATTATCAATATCACAAGTTATGTAATTTACATAAATATAACTATAATGGTCAAAATAACTATATAAATTGTAAGTGTATTAAAACTAACATCTTCAGGATTAAACACTTCAATAAAACAAAATCCATTAATTTGTGCATCAATAAAAACCTAAAGCAATCTGTATCTGGAAAGTAACATCAACTTAAAATAAAAACCTCTTCATTTGGAGACTTCTTCCGTTTTACAGCAAGCTTGTGTCCCTTATCTTTCTCCTTCTCTTTCTCCTTTTCTTTTTCCTTCTCCTTTTCCTTCTCTTTCTCCTTCCCATGCTCATCAATTATCAACTTGCCCTCCTCATCACTGCTCTCCTCCACCTTCTCGCCCTTCTGATCCTGCTCCGTTTCAGAAGAACCCGACTGCTCCTAATGCAAAGAATCAGTGCACAATTAAACAAAAAACACAAAAGCAGGAGAAAACATTTTTTCAAAGTGCATTTACATCCACGAAAGCAAAGAGCAAAACATTGTGCTTGATGTTACGTCCTCTGGCCCCCTCTACTGTATTTAAATATTGCTTGCATTTATTCCAAGGACCTTTCACCCCAAGTAATCACTTACTTCATTTCCTCTGAACTTTACTGTGGGATTGTTTTCTATTTCCCATAGTCCTTCGTTGAATCCTTTCCTCTTCCCTGGCTTTCCAAACTTGTCCTTGTATTCTTTGTATGGAAAGATATCTTTTGCGTTGATAAAGGCACTAATGAAACATATGCAATAAGTTATTGACTTGTACACCGTGGCCAGAAATTCAATCCCTTACAGTCAGTAAGGAAGCAACTTATTTTACAATGATAGCAACACAAACATGTAGCTGTTGTACACATATATGCAGCATATATACGGTGTATTTATTTACTGTGTGCGTTATAATATAGAGTAGTCTATATGATTAGCACAATGTTTTTTTGGCTTACGTTTCATGGGTGCCAAAGAAAAATATGGGATATTTGTTTGGCGGTTTTACGGCTCCATCGGAAAGTTCATCGATCTGCACACACCACACAATTCAACAGTGAAAATACGGTGTGTTGTTTTAAACAGATAAAGCCACTGTGTTGCGCATGTGCAATACTTACTGAGCTGTTAATGTGCAACACTGTACGCATGTGCTGCAATGAATGCAGTCTCAAGTCACAATCTGTGAAATCAAATTGCACATTTACTAGACACTATTGCATCATTTTATATTTTGGTGGACCTTGTGCGTTTTGTTTATACAGTGCAACCAATAATGAAATTGGGCTCCATGCATACCGCCAGTGGGAATGTACATCACCATAATTCATGTATTTTATCCAGGAAAGTATCACTGAATTTCAGCACAATATTTTCCAAAGGATGAATAGACATCAATTTTAAGGAATGTTTTGAGTGCGAGGTTCATGAGCCAATAGCTGTATTATCTGCTGGTCACATTGCAGTCCAGTCGTATTGGGAGTTCATATATCTGTGATTCGCCGTTGGATTATATGCATGCATCATGGTGAGGGAGGAGGGAATTGGAAGTTTAACTGACAAACGTATGCACTAATTTCAAATTTGCAATATCCTGAGTAAAATAATTACAATTTTAAGCCTACATGAACACAAAAACGCAAACTATATTTGAATATATATTAATCCATATTGCACTTGAAAATAGTTTCAAGTTTGCTGCTACAAAATTGATAAAGGGCTTGCGACATTTATGCAAGTAGAAGTTTTCCAAGATTCAGAAAGGACCCTTGCACCAAACACGTGCCGTTTTGCCTGTGCAGTATTAAGATGCTTCCTGTAATAAATGGAAACAACTTTTGTCTGTACTTGCACTCAGGTACAAAACATTAACACAATTGAGAATAGGTTTTCCCCTTTTTTCTGGCAACAAAACACAATGTGCCAATACACGATGTTTGTGTATACATTTATCTAATGTCATTACAAAAAAAAGTTTTCCCGCAGCGGTATTTAGAAGCAACGATACGAACACATCGGTGCAAATGCCTGTAACTATTCAGATTCATCACCGCACAAGTGCACGAGGTTTGCCTTTACAGCTGTTTACAGATGCCTCCTGGCACGAGGTTTGTCCGTACCCGCATTTAGGTATAAACGCATTCGTGCGCATCAATTCAAATGCACGACGTTTGCATCAATTCAAATGCATGACGTTTGCCTGTAACCGAATTCTGATTTGTGTAGACGCACATAAATCATCAGCGCATGAAATTTGCCTTTACGGCCACGGTATTAAAGACATCCCCTGGCAGTGCGAGCCTTTTTCCCGTACCTGTACGTTTCAGGTGCAAAACGCATCATTGCACATCAGTGCAAAAATGCACGAGCTTTGCACCGTAGGTGTAATCCAGGTGCAAACGATTAATAATAATTAGAAACCACATCGGTGCAAACCCAGCGCGCACCGAGCCGGGCCCCGGCCGAAAAAGCCCGCGCCAGGCCGCGGACAACTTTTAAAGCCGATCTGCCTCTACCGCCACGAGCAGCGGGCGTATTGCATGCACGCAGGCAGGAGGACGACTAACTTTGTTCCCCTTCACTTATGCGATCATCACCTTCTCAAGCGCATCTTCCCTTACCGCCACGGAGAATCGTCAGACGGCGCAAAAGACCGGAGGAGGGTAGGGGGGGAGCAGACAAGCCGCGCGATTTTGGCGGCCACAGCGCTTACCCTGGCAGGCCAGTGCGGGTAGCCCTTCATCTTAGCGAAAACCAAGTCACCCGGCTGAAACGTTCGGGCCATGGTTAGAGCATAGACGAAGGCCTGGGGGGTTGTGCTGTTTGCGTTTGTTGTTGTTGATGTTTGTTGTTTATAATTGATTAAGAGGCATTAACAATGCGCGCCTTTACGCCGCGGAGCCTCGCTTCGGGCGAATCCAACTGCGCGGCACAACGTTGGGGGGAGGGCGAGGAGAAAGGTGGATTTGATGGTGCTCGTCGGTAAACCATTGTCACCAACGCTACAATTATATTTTAAATGTGTGAACACACGACATTTTATTGAAATGCGCAACGGCCGTAAATGAATAACATAGCGTTACATAGTTATCGTGATGTTCGGTTAATGGGCGTACGACGCAACGAATGGTGGAGTTCTTTAAAATGAAAATTTCTGAACCCCCCCCCCCCACTATGAAATGCGCTCACCCGTAACGATCTGGAATGGGTTACGGCGGCCGAGAGTGGTCAAAGAGTGATTTTTTTTATTTAATCGAGGCTTTGAAGATTAAGATTGACAACGTTCGAGGAAACTTATTGCAAAACATGAATGCTCTTCAGCTTTTAAGAATTCAAAATAATAAATGGTTGCTGCAACAGCAGCAGCAGCGATTTAGTTGTCTTATTTTATACAGTTCCAAGGCATGCCTGTAAACCCCTTTATCAGAGCCTTTATTATTTTACAGACCCATTCAGACCTTATTTGTCACCCTGTGCCCTTATAAATCTCAACGTTCATCCTACAACGTCCCAGCACGAGGGAAAAACACAAACAAATAGATAAACACATTTTCTTGTTGCCCGTATTGAAACGGCTGTGCGCCATGTGGATCTGAAAACTCAAATTTTCCTGTACAACAACTATACGTGTAAAACGTATGGGTTGACAAATATGCAGTTTTTGTTAATGCATTGCAACCTGAAATCGTTAATGATGGGATATATGTAAAGTAAAAAAAAAAAATCGATATCCATTATCGAAAACATCGATGGTTTTTTTCCGATGTTCGATTTAAAAAAAAAAATGTGCAGGCAAGAGTGAACTAAATATTCAAAAGGGGTTGTTTATTGTTTAGAGAAAACTAAATGGGTTACAAAATAGCTTAAATTGGCGCGCACCGCGGACATTGCTCCGAATAATTCGCGATATTTCGCTCCGGCGCCGTACGCTCATGATTACTGCAAGAATTCGCCAAAGAGATCCATAAATCCGCGGATTTTAAGATCAATGATCTCCGCCGATATCGAGAGGAGCAGCAAACCACGTGTAATACCCGAATTACATGAAGTTTTCCCCGAATTACATGACGTTTTCGGATTATTGGAGTCTGGGTCATTCGAGTCCCCCATGTAATAAAACGTGAGAGGGCTGTGATTCAGGATCAACGAGAAATAAAACACCCAATACGTTACTTTTCCATGATATATCGGAAGACAAATTAATAATCATTTCGTAGGAAAAATACAGTGTCACAAGGCTGTTGTTGAAGGATCAAAACATCCATATACATCGGAGCCAAAACATTAGTGTCACCGATGTATCAATGTTTTTTTTTGGCCCATCGCAAGTTAAAGCCATTGCTTTTTGATACATTTAAGATGCAAATAAACGAATGCACAGAACTGGTTAAAATTCTGAAATGATTTTCAGCCTGTGTTGCTTCATAATCAATTCAACAGTAATTCATAATTTTCCCATTTAGCTGACCATTTAATGGATTGAATTTTCATTATAGAATTAGTCATGGATGACTAAATTAGAATCGACTCAAGGTTGTCGTACTTCCTACTTTCCTGCAATACAATACAGTACATATAAAAACAAAAATATTTTCATCTTTATAATTTTTTAGCAATGTTATTGAATATAAGTCTCCACTACATTCAGGATGCTCGTGTATTATGTAACCGGTATATATCTATATTGTATTTATACAGCACTATACTAAAGTATTACGTAAAAGTTAAAAAAAACAGTTCGAATTGGTTAAATACTGTTCATTGAAAGTTATTTCAATGTATGGTAGAATGGCGATGCTTACACAACGCACCAGGTACTCATTTGAGGCTGAGTCAACCGAGGGGAGCAGACCACTGACCGCTTACACTACCGCTCTCCCTTCCCACACACAGTCACAGACACGTGCACACGCATTCTCCATCAAGAAACAACTGGGCTTGATGATCAGTGGTGAAGAATAGTGATGGAGTGGCAGACAACGAATAGAATCTGTTCCAGAAAACGTCCACCAAGAAGATGGAGCGTAGAAATCAGATCGTGCACGAGTGCGAGGTGGATTAGCACATCGCAGGATTGTGAGAGATGGTGGCAGCTTGCGGATGCATTCGTCCAGCCCGGTGGTGGATTCATCTTGGATGATGATAATGATTACAAGAATACAATGATGTATATTATCCAGGTATTCTGCATAGCCCAACGAGCAGTCAGCTGTGTCATTGCAAACATCAGCACCGAGTTGTGATGTGGTCTCTATGTGAGGTGAGGGTTCAACTCTCAGGGTCATTTCTTTCCGATGTCAAAGACTAAAGTCAATATCTCTATAAATTCTAACAATTCATAAAACCTAAGCTCTTTTTAAACATTGCCTCCGGGGAAAGAAGATGAAATCACAGAGCCCCATTCCAAGTGAGGGTAATTTCCAAGCCATGTGAAAGCAATATGAGGCTATTTTATGTGTCCACTTGGTCCCTGTTGTAACACTGAAGCTGCTATGTCATGCAGTACAGTACATTAATTGAGGAGCACCACAATTTCTTACATTTATTAAATCAATGCATGGGTATTCTGCGTAGTTCTTTTCAATGCCACACTCATTTTCAGACCCTCAGCAATGCCACCATTTGCCTCCAATGACTTACAATACTCTACGTATATCTCCATTAATAATGTGGAATTTAATGATAATTTCATCATAGTTGTTAATTACTGCAGTTAATAATTTGGTGTAAAACTTCCTTTAAATATTCGTAGTCTTTAAACCGTCAATGGGCTCGTTTAGAATGTTCCTCCAGGTTTCATGATTCATCGCCCTTCGCCATGCAGGTATCCTGGATAGGCATGGTCCCCATCATCGAGCCCGCGATCCGTGAGCATCAGGTTGAGCGTGGGCATCCCCGAGGCCGAAGCCCACGTACGGTCGGGGTTTTTCTTCCGAATCTGATTTAGACACTCAGCCGCAGGGCAAGGTAAGCTGGAACTTACCAATGTCAGTACGAGATCGATGATAAAATGTTGAGTTACAGTCCAGTACTAAACCTTATCTCACCACGAGTGCCCTGAAAAGATAACTCATGTTGGTTTCACAAATTTATTGGCAAAACCGTGATGTCAAATTGGCTCGTCAAATTGTGAGCACATACAATAACTTATCAAATTCTGGCCGACACAATGAAGATTGTGCTGGTGGCCTCATGTAAAAAAATACACTAAATTTGATGTGGTTCGCGTAAAAAAGTGGATAACATTCACACGAAGTTTGGGATTAGGGTTATTGTCACAAAGGACATAAAATGCACTATAACGCTATGGGGTTCTATTGATTGCAGTAAAATATTATGGGAGGTGAGAGTTCGTGTTAAATAGAGCTCAGGAAAAGTGAGTAATGGTGGCTTTAACGGTCTGTCAAAGAAAGTGAAAGGCTGTTGGTTGACATGTCAAATTTAGCTTTTCAGCAGATTTTTCAATGTTAGTCCTCACATTGCTCACTTGGGAAACCTACGGGTGGTTGTAGTTAAAACCGGAAGGGAATCAATCCTCTTAAAGCAAGAAAAACACCCCAGCGAATAAACTCACTCTGTTGGTCACTGCACGTGTACCGCCTCTGTGTTAATCTACGACTGGATGAGGGCCTACTGAACGATGTTGATCATGAGGGTTGTTTGACCATACTTCACCACGCCGGTCAATGCAGGTTGGTGAAGGGTGGGGGCCCATGTCACTGTAGGGAGCTCTAGAAGATAGTGCGCTAACCGTTGCGCCACCGCTCCCCACTGCAGTATTTCAATGAAACACATTATTTGATGGTACCGTACTGCGTAACCAGCGGTACACAAGCACAAATAACAAAACAACTCAACAGATTTGTCAATAAGGGGCCGTCCATAAATGACGTCACCCACCTAGGGGGGGGGGTCAGACATTTGTGACGATGTGTGACGAGGGGGGGGAGGTGTTTGAGAAATGTGACGTCACATCAAACTAAGCAACTTTAAATAAATATAGAATTGTTATCAGAATCATCAGATTCGGAATCATCAGAAAGGGGTTTTCGCCATGAGAGTTCACACAGACACGGAATTTACTTTGGCAGGATGGTGCATACATTCAACATATAGGAATCTAAATAAGTGGTAAACAAATCTTACTATAGTAAGGGTTCAAAGTCTAACTAACATCAAGGGGCTAAAGTATATAAAATTGAATACATATCGAATATAAAATAGCTATAAGATACAATCTAAAAATAAAAAAAATACAAATAGGGTAACATAGTTAATATTGGCAAGGTGTCATTTTGTAGATAAAATGTTAAAGTCAGTGTAAGCACTTGGCCTTGTTTAAGAGGCCAGTAGTGGATGGGAAGAAACTGTTTTTGTGGCGTGAGGTTTTGGTCCTGATGGACCGCAGCCTTCTGCCGGAGGGGAGTAGCTGAAACAGAGAGTGTCCAGGGTGGGAGGAATCGGCCACAATCTTCCTCGCTCGCCTCATGGTCCTCGTGGTGTGCAGGTCCTCGAGGGTTGGTAGATTGCAATCACCTTCTCAGCAGTGTGGATGATGCGCTGCAGTCTGCTCTTGTCCTTGGCAGTGGCACAGCGTACCAGACGGTTATGGAGGAGGTGAGGATGGATTCAGTGATTGCTGTATAGAATTGCACCATCATTGTCTTTGGCAGGTTGAATTTCTTCAGCTGCCGAAGGAAGTACATCCTCTGTTGTGCTCTCTTGGTGAGGGAGCTGATGTTCAGTTCCCACTTGAGGTCCCGGGAGAGAATAGTGCCCAGGAAGCGGAAGGACTCGACAATTTTGACTAGGAAGTCGCACAGGGTGATCGGGGTGAGTGGGGCTGTATTCTTCCTGAAGTCCACAACCATCTCAACTGTCTTTAGAGCATTTAGCTCTAAGTTGTTCTAGCTACACCAGGTCACCAAGTTGTCAGCTTCCCACCTATAGTCAGACTCATCCAACACTAATTGTTATAACAACACTCCTACAACATCAGAGTGCAGCGCCACATTAAATACGCACTACAATGACAATAGTTTAAAGCGATTTGAAGCATGTTTTATTTTCAAAATGGAAATATGGTTTGGGGGGGGGGGGATCAGAGCTTTGTGACGTCATATTTGAGGGGGGGGTCTGACTTTTTGTGACGCCGTGTGACGAGGGGGGGGTCAAAATCGTCCAAAATCGAGTGACGTAATTTATGGACGGCCCCTTATTGACAAATATGTCGAGTTGAGCTATCATTTGTGGCCAGGTCGCTTCTGAAAAAGAAGCAAACAGCTCAATGGGCGTTACTTCGAAAGATTAAAACAAAATAGCATACATATTGACTTAAAGCTTTCGTGACTGCAGGAATTCATATTTTTATAGCATATGTTTGTATATTTTTGTTAAGTTATTTATTTACATTTCTTATACTTTGCACTCCTATCGTGATTGTGTATTGTTTGCCTTCGTAACGTTCTGACACGCCCCCCTACTAGACAGCTGCAAAAAAGAGCTTCACGGCTCATCGGATTCCTCCTGCAGTACAGAATGGAGAACAGCTGTTTGTGTGGGGGGCGGGGCGGGATTCCATGTGACGCCCCCCCCCCCACCGCGTGTGTCACTCATCCCACCGGCCAATCAGCGCGCGTCACTCATCCCACCGGCCAATCAGCGCGCGTAATTCATCCCACCGGCCAATAAGCGCGCTGCCGGAAGTGGCGATTGCAGCCAACGGGAGAAAATGGCGTCCGATTCAAGCGTGCGCTCCGTCGACTGCTGGCGGTGAAGAGAACAGCTGAGGGGCTGGTGGTGCTGGTGGTAGTGGTAGTGGTGAAGTCAGACCGGCGCCTGTCCGTCGCCTCACTCTGTCAACGTCCCTGCGCGACCTCGGGTCGAGAGAATAGAGAGAGAGAGAGTCCGTGAGAAGGTGAGGTAATAATTAAGAGGACGCCGCGACCTCATAGTGTTCCCGCTGAGGTCGCCGCGTTTTTTTCTTGGCGGCGCCCGGCAAGCCTCGGGCGAGCGGCGTCTCCCATCGCCGTGGCAACGCAAGGAAAGGAGCTTACGCCGCCGTGTTGTCGTAGTTTTGTGGTTGATGAACATTTTTTTTGTTTGTTTGATGAAACTGCGTTGGCAGTGGTGCATGGTATAAGCGACGATAACCAAACGGTCAACGACGCCGGTTTAACACGTAGGCTTTCGCGACACTATCATCCAGAATACAGGTTTGTTTTGGGTTAGATCGCGTAAGTATATCAAAGTGTCCTTAAACCCGCCACCACCCGACACAGCCGATTAGCAAGGGCTGTCACGTAAATAGAACATGGCAATTCGTTACTAGTACAGCAACACCGGTATGTTGCAGAGCAAAGCCGCATCATTTACAAACTGGAGTACGACGTTTCGCCGGTAATTACAACAAGTTTCATCGGGCGACAGACAAGAGAGACGGGGTGGCCAGTGCTGGGGTACATTGTTGAGTGACATTTAAGACAAATACAATCGTTATTAATGTGACCGATACTTTTGTATACAATTCTTGCAATCAGTTGTGTTGGTGCGGTTGCTGTCCTTTCAAACGAGACAATGTACTTATTGTAGAGTGCAGTGCTCTGGTTAACATCGTAGCATCCCGAGTTATGGTTATAACACTACACAGGTACCTGTAATGGCACATTTACAAACGGGGTCCGTAAAATTTTGATTTAAAGCTTTCGTGACTGCAGTGATTCATATTCTTGGTTCTTTCGGTAAAGTCACGTTGAAGGGAAACAATAAAATAATAAAATATATATAAAAAACAATACAATTTTCACGACGTTTCGACTGTAACACAAACAGTCATCATCAGGTGTGAAAACCAACGGCAAGAAACATTTGAAAGCAGTGGCGGTTTGTATTGATTTATTTTTAAAACGTCAGCACCACGGATAGCGATTTGACAGTTTGTTTAGATGGACGAGTCCATCTATGTTCGGAAAAGAGGAGGGGGGAGACGAAAAATTAATGTATGCTGTCTGAAAGCCACCGTAAGCGTGAACAATCAATTAAGACCCGAAATGGTTTATCAAATCCTTCCAATGATTGCTAAGTCAGAATCCATCTTCTCGGTCGAAATTGTCTCTGTGCTTGTATATGTGGATAGCCTCAGGAACGGAATCTCTCATGATATCCCGATGACTTGCAAAGAACCTCTGTCTTGGAGAAGTCAATGTCATGTGGTTCTTTCGTGACTTTACCGAAAGAACTAAGAATATAGGGTCCGTAAACTTAACGGCTTTTGAAACGGTGACAGTGGCCCCGGCCGCGGGAATGTGTAATTTCCAAAATGACTCTGGATCGCGGCAAGAGGTGAGCATCGCGCCACTTTTGTCGGGAGTGTGGAGACACTCCTGAGTGCCGCTGGAAACGGGAGTGAAGCAGTAGCATTGTAGTGAAACTATAGCGGATATATGGCATGAATGCAATTTTAATACAGCTAGTGTAATGTGTTTTGTTCCGTTGCTGGTAAACATTTGAAGAATATGTAATTTTCATTAATCCACAGATATGGAGGCTGTCAGCAGTGCTTTAACGCAGTCGCTGCGCCTTGACAGCAGCGATCACGACGTACACGGGTATGTGTTTTTTTTTAAACAATAGTTTTTAACTACTGTATTGCAAATGCATGGAACGGTTGGTTTAGCATGGCTTCCAATGTTGGCCAGAGTTGGTTAAAATCGAGCACTGTATGTCATCAGGGTTTCCGATGTGGTTTTCACACTATTGCCAGTTGTCTGCCAAAACATCACTTGGTAAACTTTACTCGTACTGTACTTTCCAACATTCCTCCAGTTCCTCTTCTCAAGTCTCCGCATCTCATCCCCTCCCTCTTCCATTATTTTCGCCAACCCTTGCAGCATCTCTTAGTAACCCTTTCAATTTATTTTCACGATACCTTTAACCACCCAAAACGACCACATTGTATAAGGGGCCGTCCATAAATGACGTCACGCGATTTTGGACGATTTTTGACACCCCCCTCAAATATGACGTCACAAAGTGCTGCCCCCCCCTACCCGAGAAAAATAAAACATGCTTTAAATCGCTTTAAACTATTGTCATTGTAGTGCGTATTTAATGTGGCGCTGCACTCTGATGTTGTAGGAGAAACTATGTATTAATTTTTTTATTTAATTAAGTAGAGCGTATTCTTGGTTCTTTCGGTAAAGTCACGTAAGGGAAACAATAAAATAATAAATTTTCTTGCTGTGGTTTTCACACCTGATGATGATTGCTTGTGTTGCAGTCGAAACGTCGTGAGAATTTTATTGTTTTATATTTGTATTACTTTATTGTTTCCCTTCTACGTGACTTTACCGAAAGAACCAAGAATATGAATCCCTGCAGTCACGAAAGCTTTAAATCAAAATTTAAGTAGAACGTGTTGTTCATATTTATTTAAAGTTGCGCATTTTGATGTGACGTCACATTTTTCAATCTCCCCCCCGTCACACATCGTCACAAATGTCTGACCCCCCCCCCCTCTAGGTGCGTGACGTCATTTATGGACGGCCCCTAAGGAGTTACAGTATAATGGTTGTTTTTGCTATATTCCGATGCAATGTCTAGAGGTAGTGAGTGACACATGCACATGAGCACAGAATATTGATTTGGTGAGCTTAAAAGATATCAACATTTGCATAACCAACATAAGCATCTGCAAGGGTGGTTTCCTTGCAGTTTGTCCTGACGATTGAGTCCGTTTGCAATATAGTGGCTTTTTAAGTAGCAGCTTTTGCAACTGCAGTGCCACACCCTTGGCTGACATGCTTAATGGTGACAACCGCTGGTGGATGGTCATGGATTCAAAGTCGAACACGTGTAGGATATGAATACCGTACTGCTATTTTTGTCACTCTGAAGCCGTAATACAACACTGTATGTGATGTTTTGCGGAGTAATTTTTATTTGGAAAGTTTTTATTTCGAGACTTTTGGTACTTTTATTTGTCGTGAAACTCTATTCTGCCTTTTCAGTGTTCATTAGCATTAAGTATGCATCTTACGAGGTTTCTTATCTAGTTTTCAAATATGTTATTTAATTAAATTGACCTTTTTTTACACTGCACAGTACGTATGTGCTTTTCAGTGTTTACATGTCTGCTAATTATACCTGGTTGTTTTTAGGTTGCAGGACACTGTACATCTTTTGCAGTCTCAACTAAGGCAACTACAGGCAGACAATGCAGCTGAATTTGAGACAATCACAGACGTTCGTCGGAAACTAAACCAGTCTGAGAATGAAAAGGTGGAACTTACAAGCAAACATAATCAAGAGGTAAATTCCACTTGAATATCTGTTTTACATGTTTGATTTTGTAGGTATGGAACTATTGGAGGCTTAATTTTCTTGAGGTCAGCTACGCACAGTGTTTTCCGAAGGAAATAACAATGTTCGGCAACCGGACCTTTGCCGTTGCCAGCCCATGTGCCAGGAACGATGTGCCAATCCACGTTCGAGCTGCTGAGTTGCTGCCATCATTAAAACAACTCGCTCAAAGTTACTCGCCTTGTGAATGGCATCAAGTGGCACTGCATCTACTTGTCATAATGGACTCATTAATGTTGTCGTTTGTGCAATACCCTTGAAATGGCTTGCCATGTTATGGCGCTATATAAATGATCCTTATTATTTTTAGAGTGTGTGTGTGTGTTACAAAGGAAATATTTGGCTATGGAGGTACCTTAGTTATAAAGTTATGTCATACAATGACAAACAGTAGATATTTTTTTCATCTACAGTTAGGGAAAGTATTGTTAGAAATCAAAACCATCGCATGAGTTCCAATTTGAAATTTTAATTATTGATATATTGTATTGGTATCTAATTGAGGCCTCTGTTGACTTAATCTGCAGTTGATTATCATTATCAGCAGCCTTAGACAGATTGAGATAGTTGAGCCATGTCAGATAATAAATACTTGTCAATAAAAATTGGCCCAACAGCAAAACAAAACTAAATGTGATTATTAATTGATTTTGTTAATCAGTTTCCATTTATTGTCTATTTATTTCGGTAGACACTGCACCGCCTCTCTTTTGATGTGATGTGGGGTTGCTGTGGGTTGTTCATATTCTGAGCCGGAAAGTGTGGATAAACAAATAGCATACATGTTTTGCCAGTCGATCCTCTTTGTGTAAAGGCTTGGAAATTCGGATGAATTTGCCACCATTTTTGCATCACCCTTTTTTCCTACGCAAAATGTCGGGTAATATGAAGAATCATTGAGAGGATAATATATGTTGTGCAGATAGATTTGGGAGTGTCAATAATATGATTATAGGATCATAGGTATTTATTTAAGAAGATTTTCGATATTATGTTAGCGTAATTTGTACCTTAGTTTACTTTTCAAAGCACGTTCTTACGTGTAACTGCACAGTTGATTGTACCTGTACGTATTTGTGTATGCATTTTCATATATTTAGGTCCTAATTTTGGACAGTCAGGTGATGAGGCTACGAGCTGAGCTGGAAAAGGGTGAGGCACTCCGACAGGATTTGGAATATGACCTGGCCCTGAGCAGGAAAGAGGCATGTGCAGAAAAACGCCTATTTGAGGAGAAAATCGTGCTTGCTGTTAAAACAAATGATGAGATGAAAGGTATGTTTTGCCTATTTTGTTTCCAAAACAATGACACAGCATGCAATTATTATGTCTGCTTTTACATTTGCTGAACAAAAAATTCCACAGAGAGTTAAAAAGCTGTAATATTTGTTGGCATAGCCAGACATTTGTAATAAATAACACACATTACAGTGAACTAAGTTTTCATACACAATTTAGATTTATATATATATAAAAGAATGTTATTTTCTTAGCAACATGTAGGGAATCAGGCATCCCATATCCATGGAGTACCTGCTGTGCTTTTCAACAGATATTTCCTTCCACAGTCGTGCAAGTGGCATAAAAAAGCACTCAATTGCCATCACACTGATAGTTTGTGCACAGCATGAGCCGTGTGAATACAGCATGAGGTACTTAAGTTTTGGTGATTCAGCAAATGGAATTATTAAAAACGATGAACCCCTCATTAAAACTACAGTGCTGTATGTTCTGCAGTGACATTTATATGCATGTGTATGACATGCGTTTACAGCGTATGCCTTAGAGTTGCAGCAGAAGGTGTCTGACCTGGAGCGAGCACTGAGGATTTGCAAACAGACGGCAGAGGAAGAGCAGTGCAGGCTTTGGCTGGATTTGGACAGCCAGAAAAAATTAAACAAAGACAGTCACTCTCAGATGAAACGCATTTCCGCTGAACGTGTCCAACTAGAGCAAGTTATAAAGGTACCAAATGTTTGAAATAATATGACTACGAAGAATGTTGTCACTTAATTCATTGAACTGGCAGTGCTATGATCAAAGCCAACACCTCTCTCCTGTGGGACAGGAACAGAAGGAGATGCTGACTAAGCTTCAGTCCACTCTGCATTTAGCGGAGGAAGAAAAATGCAAACAGAGTGAAGTCTTGCGTCGGCAAACCTGCGAACTTGAGTCTTTTTCTCAAAGGGAGGCCAAGATGAAAAAAGATTTAGAGGTAATTAGGAAATGTTGCTTGTATATCACCCATGAAATGTAAAACATGGTTGTTAGTGCCTGGGAAAAATATAGCTACTTTTACGGACATATAAATTGATGTTTGCTTTTACAGTTTATTTACGGAGTTTTTTTTTCTTCTGCAGATTGCCCAGCAGAGATTGAGGAGCTTGGAAGACAGCAATGAGGCAGAACGTGCTTCTCATCTGGAATCTAAGTTTAACTCAGAAATAGTGCAGGTAGATGTGACTGTTGTTATACAAATCAACAGCAGAGGGTGCTAAAATACCAATGTTTTGCTTGAAATAATTGCACACAATGAACGAGTTGACTTTCCGTAATACAATAAACATGGATGATTTCACACGATTATACTTGAGTCTTTTATCAGGCTTTCGTTTGCTCAGTAATTCAATGTGTTTTCTACAAAGTACCTGTTAGACCTGTAGTTCATTTGAAAGAGGTAGTTTTTAACTTGCTAAAAAATTCACATTATATTTTACTTTGTCTTTGGCCATTGCAGCTGCGCCTCAGGGACTTGGAGGCCTCGCTAGAGGTAGAGAGGTTGGCCAGAAGCAGTGCCGAGTCCAACTTGGAGATGATCCGAGACCAGTTCAGACAGCTGGAAATGGCCTATGAGAAGGAAAGGGCACAGGTGCAACAAACCGCTGAGCGTCTGCACCAGTAAGTGTGGTGTGTGCTCAAACCACAGCCGTGCTTAATATGAAGTCGGTGTGTGAAATTGGGATAGCTTCCCAGACATGGTGACTATTCCTTGGTGGCGTGGATTGTCTAAAATTCCACAGTCTAAGGTGTCTATGGATTCTAAACTTTACGAGTACAAATGCGTTTAGAAAACTCATGAACAACACACGTGGTATTTATTAATTTGGTAGATATACGTAGTTGGGAAACATTTTTGCGGATAACCCCTGAACTGATCATAGTTTAGTTCCAAAAAAATCAAAATTCTCTGGACAAGTGGAAAATCTATGTAATACTGCTTTGATTTTCGTGCCAAAATTTCCTCCAAGTTACTGTTTGAGACAACAGTTAATTTACTATACATGCAGATTTGAAAAGGAGTCAACGGCCATGGTGAAGCAGATGTCCCAGGAGATGGAAGACAAGAAGAAAAGTATCGCAGATCTCTCAATACAGCTGCAGACAAATGAGAAAATCTCAGCCAACTTCAACAAAGAGCTTAACTTGGTAAAGAAACCTGCAGTGTCATTATTATTACAATTATTGTTAGCTCTGAAAAGATCACGTATGTAAATTGAACAAATATACCCGGTAACTAGTTCACAGATACGTCATGCGTCTCCTGTGCTTAATGAAAAAAATGGTATAATCTGTATTTTGTTCATCTTATATAGATTTACCATAGGTGAATATTGATGTTATCGAAGGGTGAAGAGTGAAATATGTGCATGATGGATTTTCTGCTGTATAGGCCAAGAAAAGGCAGGCATACCTGGAAGAGACGTATGGGGGACACATCCGAGATTTGGACATGTTGCTGGAGAACTTTGGAATCGCTTCCTTGACACCTGGTCTGTTTAAGTTTGAAAGACTGCTGATGTGTCCTTTAAAATGTGCTTTTTAAAAAAAGTATTTTTAAATGTTAAATCAGTTACATTAACTTTTAAAATTAATGAAAATATTCAGTACATTTGGCACTAATTGGAGTGCGAATAAAATGTGCGAAGCAAATATTGCAAATGTGATATTGTTTTAAATTGTGAGTGCAATATTCATTGCAACAAATGTGGCATCGTTAAGTAAACTGAATAATTTAGTTTCAACGACACATCAAAAGAGTAGTGCAATTATATGCAGCATATATAAACAATGAATATGTATAATTCTAAAAAATTGTTTTATGACAATATTTAATCAAAGTTGGCAGTGCTGGGACTATTTGTCAGGGCTGAAATCTTTTGGTCCCTTGTGAAATAAAAGCACAATTTACTAAATGTTAATGTACAACAGCTGGCTGTCACAGTGCCTTGTGCACGTAAACAGCAAGTGATGTGATTTTCATCTGTGTCAAGACAGCAGGATACCCCCTGCAGCAACAAACATTGCAGAGATATCACGTCTACTGTGGGACTTAATATGTTTTGGTATGCTTGGGTAGTTTTTATTTGTGTTATTTATTATTGTTATTTTTTTATTATATTTTAATCAATTTCTAATCATGGTCATGAGTTATTATCACACTGCTTATCCATAATCATGAAAATCTTTAAACCCTCTGCATGTAAACATAACCAAGTGTTAATGTAGATATTTGTTTGGGTTTGTGGCTGAAAAACAGATGTTTATACCCTCAATAGAGGGGTGTTCTTTCCGGCCTTGGAAAGCTGCATGCTCTTACTTGCCTTAGACATCTTAGGCTTGTCATCTCTGTCTATTGCTGTAACCATTTTTATTCAATTTAATGTCTCTTGCCATGGATGTTTCATCTGTATTTTGCTTCCTCTATTTGGTATCCCATTGGCATTCTTTTGTTAAACCACATCTTCCTGTACCTGTTCTGCATATTATTTTATGTCACTGGTTTAAGCTTTGTTTTTGTTACATTTAAATGATTAAATAGTAAATCATTCATGTAGAAAGGAATGCATGTGGATAGTTTGAGAAATACATTTTCTTCATCTCAAGCTATTTCATCTTTTCTCTTGGATCATTTCCATGCTGACTGCATTTGTTTGGTTATATCTGAAGCTATAGCTTTCTACTAACTTAGCTTCACTGAAAAATACATTGATAATTAAAGACCCTTGTTCCGTGTTTTTTTTTGCCTGATCCTGAGATTTATGTTTTCTAACTGCTTGCTGTTTTTACTTTACATTCTTATTGCCTCTCCTTTCGCAAAATTCCACGGTATGAAAGTTGCAGGTTTCAAGGCACTAAATTAATCATGTCGCGGCGAGATACATGTTGCGGATCCTGCCATCGGTCCCCTCTCTGCTGTCTTTTTGCGTCCTCTCTCCATATCTTTTGCTTCCCTTTTTAACAGCGGCGCATACGGAGCAAGAGAAGGGCCAGGGTCCCTCGGCAGTGCTGCAGAGCCTGCGGCTCACCCTGACAGATTACCAGGGCCGCTTGCGAGAGAACTCTAACGAGGTAAGGGGGTGGCGGGGGGGGGGAATGGCTGCAGCGGGCGCATGACTGTAAGCAGCCCAGCAGGGGACGTACAGCCTGCGGTCATTTACCGCGAAGCGGCAGGATGCCACAGGGTGGGCACTGGGAGCAAAGGCTCCAATTGCTACGCAAACAGTTGCATTCATCAACTCGTTTTTAAGTCCCTTGCTTACAAGAGCCATTGCAGAGTAATTGCAGGTTTATGACGTAAATGAACACACACAGTTTTTATTTGTCGACCGTGTGCATTTTTTTTTCAACATCGAAGTATGAAGGTAACTAGTTTCACACTGAGGCTGGAGGAATTTAGATTCAGGGAATCTCTGTGAAGAGGCAGCATTTGACTGCAGGAGGATTGGACTGTAGGATAAAAAGAATGATAAAAATGTCATCTGCACATCTACAATCAGGTGTAGCCAGTGGCACTGCAGTACAGATTTGTTTATGATATTTACACTGCTGGCGCTACTATGTGCCACAGTCTCCAAGTAAGAAGAACACTTTGAGGAATTATTTTGTAGTTTTGAAAGAAAAAAGTTACACTTTCAAATATTTCTGAGGTATATTTTATCATGCTTCAGAGTTTGCAGTTTTTATTTTTTTATTTTATTTATTTTAAGCAATTATCGTTGTGAATTTATGTTGCAGTTTTAAGGCCAACCCTGGGTTGTTAGCCAGCCCAAGAGGGGCACTGATCAGCTCGCACCATGTCCTACCACCCCCTGCCCAGGACGGGATAATTGATGTGCTTTGGGGCCCAGGCTCCGTTTCAGCACACCTAGTTAATTTCCCTTGCCCCGCGGCCCTGCGCTGTAAATCTGTTGTTGGTGCTTTAAGTAATGACCGAGCAGATGCTTGGAGAGAGGCTGAGATTTAATAAACCTGATCTTCTCTCTCTGCATGACTTCATTACGTGCTGGATTAACTGATGGAACATCTGGAAAAAGGGGCCTTTATTGCCGCTTGCTCTGGCGGAGGTGACACGAGACGGCCTGCTCTGGGACAGCTCGGACTGCAGTTCCTGGCTCCACGCCGCAAATTATCTGCGAGCAGAGAGGCCGCCCTCCGGCAGTTAACGTGGTTCTTGAGCAGGAGAGCCAGAGAGTGCTGCTGCTGCCACAGACGGGAGAGACAAATGAGTGCGTCTCGGCATGTACTCAGCGAGGATAATTTGTGCTGTCGCGATGAGGGATGAGGGGGAAAGGGCGTCCATGCAGGCATCTGCAGAGATCCATACGGGGGTCCGTGTAGCCAGGGTCAGGCTGCGTTTCACCCAGAGAGTCTCATTACTGGCCAAGTGTGGGCCTCGGGAGACCACAACAGTGGGACTGAGGCCAAAAGCCAGCAGCACTGAGTGATCTGGTGGTCTAATTACGAGCACAGCATTGGAGTCCCTTCAGTTTTTAAGAAATCCTTGTAGCTTTTTGAGAGCGTAATTGGTAAAAAAAAATACGAGCACACCACATTTACTTTGAAACAGATGTTACCATGTTTACATGTTTGGCAACTTTTTTTTGGAGATGTTTATAACACAGGTGGATTTGAGGTAGCGAAGGTACAACATCAAAGAACACCTTGCATTACAGTATCAATTCAAGGGATATTACTTTACATTTCTTCACATGTCGGATTCTTATACCATCCAGAATTCAACTGAAATAGGTTTTAGAGTAAACCCAATCCTGGATGTGGTTTTTGTATTAGGTCATGTGTTGGTCAGCGTATTATGTTGCAATATAATAACCTATAAGATGCACAAAAATATGCGTGTAACACTTTTAAAATGTGTTCAGGTTTTAAAAGTAGGTGTAGATGATAGGACTCTGAATGCCCCTAAAGAGCCATATGCTCTACAAGACAGATGTTAACAGTGATTCTAACAGTCCTTCATATTTCAGAATAGGATTTTATGCTTGCTCTGATGCGGCACTTTGGCAGTGGCTGCTCCTCATTTGGCAGGTGGAGTGGTGGAGCCGTCTTTGTTTGCTGTGAAAATGATGATGATGCATTTACGCCAATATCAAAGCCTTTATTTCGTATTAGGGACCGTAATCCCTGGCAGTCAGAGTCATCCGGAATGTGGCATGCGCAATTGCAGGAAGCGCACTAATGTTTCTGTACAGTTGCTTACATACATACTTAATGGATAAAAAAGCGTTGCAATAAAAACTTGTGATCCTCATTGAAATTAAATTGATCCTTTAAGTAGTTAAATGCAAAAGTTCAGCACGTTGTTTCATTTTACAGTTTAAACAATGCAGTTAGGTTATTAAATGTCTGCTATTTAATGCATTTTAAGCATACATTCTTTGTTTTCAATTAATTGCAAGGTATTTTACGTCTGGTATGTGGGTAAAACATCTTGTGAGTCAATTCAAGAGCATTTTTGAACCCAAGAGGACATAATGCTGGCGAGTGTATGGTTTTGTGTGTAATAGATGAGGTGTGAGAAAAGGATCACATCCTAACAGGCCTGATAGATGCTCTGCCACCATTCTTTGCACCCATGGCACCACACATTGTCATGTTGTGGCTTCGCTGTTACATCCATACAGCTTAAATATTTAACTCTCGTCTGTTCGTATAATCATGCAAAAATGACAGTTTAAGAGGAGGAACATTCAACCTAATGGTAGTGCATCCATTTTATTCATGGAAATACTAAATTTAGTGATAGCGCATTATTCTAAGCTCTAAGCTTCTAAAACATCAAATAAATAATATTCAGAGATGTGATGCTAGTACTACGTTGCACTGCTTGTATATATGTTGTATTGCTTTGCTTAGCATTTCTATAGATTGTTGCGGCCTTTTTGATACACAACTGTCACGGAAATAGATGTCTCGTAAAAAAATAAACAAAAGTTTGTTTTGTATCAGGTATGTGTACAGAATATCATTGAGCACTGTTTGGGTGATTGGCTTTATCTCAACTGTAATATAAATTTGATGACATGTTTCAGTGCTTGTGCTCTTCTGTTTGCAGTTGGACAAGATGAAGCGACTCTGCGAACAGATGAGAGAAGAGTGCCAGTCCTCTAAAGAATTGGCTTGGACACGCAACAAAACACTGGAAGTAAGCCTAAATTACAGATAGCATTGGTTAGAGATCATTTTTTAGATAGACTGTGTTAAAAATTTATACTGCCTTCACTGAGGATGATTTTTTTTTCTCTGTAAATGTTACAGGCATCAAGAAAGGTCAATGCATCACTCTCACTGCCCAATAATAATCATGTTTCATAATGATCATTACCCGTTCTATACTTTGTTCCACTTAGATACAGCAGTGTGCAGAGGTTGGACCTTTCAAGAGGGGTTTTAAGCACTCGCAAAAAGGGGTATACTGACAAATGTTTACTCTGGCTGCGATGTGGAATTGTCCACCCTGCTCACAGTATGAGGGACTGTTTGAGTTTCCAGCCCATTCCCAGATGTACACCCCTCCATTCTTCTGGCTAAAGATGAGCCACCTGCCTCAGAGCCACTACCATAAAATAATCCTCTAAAACAAACATTTGCGATACCACAACAAAAACTATACATCAAACATTTCCTCACATGTCCCATGGTGAGTATACTAAAGCTATATACATTTACGATGGCAAATAAAATGTAGGAAAAAAAAGATATATCTCATAAAGCTCTATTTAAAAAAATATAAATGAAGGAAATTATGTTTACATGTATATTGCACATGAGGTTGGTGCAGTGGTGTAGTGGTTAGCAAACTGTTATGAAACCCATTGGTTTGAGATTGATTCCCAGCCATGGCTAAAATTGCTGTTGATTGACATCTGAACTGGTCCTGAGCCCCCTCTTTATCAACCCACACTCAAGAGTGTGGTGAAATATGGTCAAACAACTATCACTTCTCTCAGGAGTTGATGTACAAAGGGCTGAAATTAGTGTTTTCTATTTCAAACTGCATGCACATTTTTAGAATTAAACATCTGCAATGTGTTGGTATAGTGGTAACCCAACAATATTTAAATACTCACCTCATAACATTTTAAAATTGTAATTGTCATCAGGCTCCATGGTGTTAAGTGCAGTCTCAAACCTATTAACTCTACCGTTCTGGCCTCTCTATTTATGTGCTATAAAGAAGGTTCATTGCCCGAAACATCACCTATTTTATAATTTTCTTTTAAGGCAGTGTTATTAACGAATATGTTGTTTTTCCCCAAATATACTATAATTCTTTGAATTAATATGAAACCAATGTACGCACTATAAAATGTAAGAATGTAATGTTGCTTTGAAAAGAGTTCTTAAAGTATAACTGCATTCATTGCATGTCTACTTGTTAAAGTCATTGGCCACTCAATTTATTTTCTCTAAAACAATCTGGTCAAAAATGTATTCAATTGGAAACTTTGTAAGATTTTTTGGTTTCTATATAATTGCAAATAACTAGAACAGCGGCATTTGGACACACACCAGAGAATGGCAGGGCTCGAGTTCATGGCCCATTGACCTTTTAACCATGAAATCATTCCCACGTGGAATGTTGTAGTGTTGGACCACTAAACTATAAGACAACCTAACAAAAGCATCTGCACATTGACATTGAGGTGATTGATAATTTCCCTTTACCAATATGTATGGAAACTATATCAGTCATATAGTATTGTAGTGATATTTTAATACAGCATTTCGATCAATATATGTGTTTATTCTCCACTTACAGTCTTGCCAATTAAAAGATAACTAAATTGTACTCGGCATGAGTATTAAGTTGCTCACTGTGTGCAGGACTTACAAGCACAGTTGCTTGCAGCGAACACTGAAGTGGTGAACCAGCGCGCCCAGGCAGATGAACGCGTTGGGTCCATGGCATCTCTGCAAAGCGAAGTGCAGAGGCTGCAGGCCAGTTGGGATGCGGAGAAGGCCCACTCTGCTGATGCCTACACACAGCTCAATAAGCTGCGCCAGGCCTTTGAAGAGGACGTGCAGGTGGAGTGAACTTAAGAGCGCACGCTACTCTCTTTGACCGCTAAGCCACCAAAAGGTTGTCGACTAGGCCTTTCCCAAGGTCAACTCATTGAATAACCTCCACATTTTTGCAGATGCGCAATCAATTTGTAATGAATTTTTTACTTTTGATTTAAAGCTTTCGTGACTGCAGTAATTCATATTCTTAGTTGTTTCGGTAAAGTCACGTTGAAGAGAAACAACAAAATAATAAAATATATATAAAACAATAAAAAAATTCTCACGACGTTTCGACCATAACTCAAACGGTCGTCTTCAGGTGTGTTGGTTCGCATACATTTTTTATAAATAAATAAATGCGCCGTTTAAAAATAAATTTATGCGAACCAACACACCTGAAGACGACCGTTTGAGTTATGGTCGAAACGTCGTGAGAATTTTTAATTGTTTTATATATATTTTATTATTTTGTTGTTTCTCTTCAACGTGACTTTACCAAAAAAACTAAGAATATGAATTTTTTACTGTTTGCCATTGCATTTCTCACCAAAAATTACCTTTGAATGCAATTACTCTGGTATTCAAAACTATAATATGTATCATTAGGTCAACACATTAAGTCCTTTTGTTTTTTTGGTACTATAAGGAAGCATTTCTTAACTGATGTGTTTTGTTCATTCTTAAATAGATCAATATGTTATTTTCTAACGATTCCATTATAAGTACCATATAATTGTTATGCCGATTGTAAAGTTTTAATGCTGGTTATTTGACATCCTTTTTCTTACACCTTGTTGACATTTAACATGGGGTATAGCTTAGATGACAATAGATGTATTTATAGTGCCTCTAAATCAACAAAGTGTGAGCATGCCACAAATGTAATTTTACAGAATTGTGTTGGCCACTTGCTCTGTATTTATATGCACTTGCACACCTTAGTAGCAGAAAATCAAAGTCAATTAGGTTAAGCTGCCTATTTTCTGAGGGCACAAGTTCAGAGCTCACGTAGAGGTTAGATAACACACTCAAAAAGCATTTGCTCTCGGATAGCAGCAGCTGCGAGCTGAAGTAATAATTTCAGGCTATGTGGCTAGGCATGTAAAGAATGAGTGTGCTGAACAGTGGGCATTTATCTGTCGTGACCCAGGGCTTCCATCACACGCTGCTCAATCCGTTTGGGTAACACATGAAGTGTGGTCGGGCTGGCTGTTTGTCCTGCTGCCAGCTCTCCACCGGTGTTCTGGGTGATGGATGCGACATAGCGTCCCACATTGCTTACCACTGCTACATGTCTCCATTGCCATGTGCTCATCACAGCGATACAACAGAGGTCTTAAATGATGCTGAGAAGGATAAAAAGACCCCAAATGCCCACTTTAGAACTGAATAGCAGATTACTGTAGAGGCACAAGGCAGATAACTTGAAGAAAAAAGGGAGCAACCTTAATATGCATAATATTAGGTATATACATTTTTTCTAAAAATAAGTTCCTCCTAAAATAATAATATCTCAATGGGATCGTGGTGTAAAATTGAGCTCGAATTGACTATGATTTGAAAAAATGTTCAAATTATTTTTGATATACCCATGCCGTCTATATAATATTTTAAGACTTGGAATCTTACATTGCATGGAGCTGGTTACAATCTTACAATTCTGTCATCTGCAGTATCTCAGTCTAAAAAAATACCACTCCCATTACTACACTGATTAATTCTGCATTCCACAGGGCATATATAGTATTAATTAAATGGTCTAGAATTATTGCTGCCACCAATAAATAATCAAGTGCACTCAAATTTGTCTTATTCAAGTTCTAGGTGGTGAACTACTGTATTGGTATTGATTTTGTCTTTTACTGCACAGTTTCGAATAGGTTCCCAAAATTGTATGCATTGTATAATGGAATAAACAATACGCACCTCCTTTCCCTGCGTAGGAGAAGCTGACCTTCCTGCATGAGCTCTACCAGCGGCTTGTGGCAGGATGCGTGGTGATTCACCCTCCCAAAAGCATCCTGGGACAGTTTACATGGGCTGAGCTGTGTAGCATTTTGCAGGAGAATGTGGACGCTTTAACAATGGACCTCAACCGTAACCTGGAGAAGGTGACAAAAGATGAAGTACTCTGAAGGCCCAGCACCACAATCTTTCATCTCACTGGCTTTCACACGTTAAAACTACTACACTGTTAACGTTGGCAGGCGATGTGTGCTGCAATCGCAATGCGAGATGATATTGATACCGATTGTTGATGTACATTTAAGCTATGACTACAGAGTATAAGCAAAAATTGTTTAAATCCTTCATGTTATGCAAGAATAAATCTTGACTTAATGCTTTCGTGACTGCAGTAATTCATATTCTTGGGTCTTGCGGTAAAGTCACATAGATAGGTAGGAATGTACAAGATACAGCCTCAGCAGCCCTTGTACAATATGTGAGTGGTGTACCTCTCAGTGTCAAATTGTGGTGGATTTGAAACTCACGCTGGTGTGCTGTATGTGCAGCATGTGTTTTGGTGTTTTTTTCATGGTGCTGTGCTTGGTTTACTGAAATGCAAACAACCCGTTGTTAGTCAATGGTGAGCTGTTATGTGTTGCCATGTCTGAACGTTCATAGTGTGCATTCATGTCACTATTGAAATTAGGAATGTGTGCTTATACTTTCGTATTAAATAGTTCAACCTTGTAGACATGCTATTATTTTATGACGACCTCCATTGCATCAGCAGCAAAACAAATCTAAAGAAATGCTTAAAAGGTGTGATGGCACGAATAAGCAGAGCTTCTGTTTATATGTGCCATGGCTTTTGTATAGAATCAGAATGTTAGAATGGAGGAATCCGATGAGCTATGAAGATCTTTTTCACAAATATCCAGTCGGAGTGGGTCAGAAGCTTGAAGGCATGAAGCTTGAAGCTTTATTCTCAGACATGCTTTAAGTGCACAGCAATTCGTTTCATAAGCATACAAATTTTTATCTTTAAAAGTAAATTCTTAGATGGCTAAAGTGTGTGCTATCATTAGAGATAATTTAAATCCATGCAAACACCACTTAATATGTTTATTCATTTATTTTTTTCCTTACTTGATGCACAACCAAAATGTAACCTCTTTTTTTAAAGTGTGATCCTATGGCAGAATAGGGTCACATCCTTTTCCATATTCAACATTTTACATAAACATGACCTGTCATAAACAAATATTTATGCATATTTGGCAAGCAAGGTAGAATGTACATAAAAATGAAAAGCACCCCACAGGCAGGAAGCTGCATAGTCATTACAGAATAGGTAAAATATAAAATGACAAATATAATTAGTACAAGATGCTATGTGTTGTACAAAACCGTTTTTTTTCAATATTCCTTTTTCTTGTGACATGCAGCAAATATGCTAACGTGTTGTGTGGTGCACAAGAAACATCTGTATTTTTTAAATAGGACATTAATGCCTCAGCTAGGATTTGCTATTGTCCATGCAGGTGGCCCACCTTGAGAGATTGTGCAATGGCAAAGAGGAGGCCATGAAAGAGCTAAAGAAGCGGCAGGATGCTAGCGTCAATCGCTTGCTGGAAGGAATGCGGGAGAAGGAGGAGGGCTGGCACAAGGCCAAGGTGGCGCTGGAGCAGCACTACACTCGGCTGCTGGGCGAGGTGCACACGCACGCGCAGGTAGTGCCACGTCTCCTGAAGGCCACTGATTTTTGATGGGGAAAACTATTTCCCAGTATTAGCCCAAAGAAATCTTCACGGAGGGCTTGTTGCTGTATGAAAATGGTTTTCTGGCATATGAACTAATGGCCTCAATTACATCCGATTTCGCGAAGTTAATTTGTTGTGCACAAATAAAATCCCATATTTTTATTTCATATGGTATCTTGCAAGTGTTGGTCATGCAGGAAAGGGCCACATGTAGCAAGTTATTTTTCAGTTTTAAATTATAAATGTATTATACAATAAGTACAGTGCACATATCTCATCTATGGTTTAAAGTCATGCTTTCTGTATATACACTTTTATATCTGCACAGGGATGCCTGGGTTAATTGGTAGCATTGTCTGAAAACAGGTGCCAGGTATTGGAATTGGTATCTAACTTTGCCAACAGAGATAATGAGATCACATACAGAGTACTGTGAATTAATGTCTAGGGTTCAATTCTTTGGATGTTGTGTTATATAATTTGCACGTGTAATTAAACTTTTTTTAAGCTAACATATGTGCCGCAATTTTCTTGGGTCGGTAATTGGAGATTCTTTTACGGTACCTTTATTTAAAAGGAGTTGTTATCAATTGTGTAATTCAGAGAGAGATGATGGTGTTTATGTATTACATTCAGTGTAACAAGTACACACCCAATTCTTCTTAAGTATCCTAACTCTTGTAACTGAATATAGGCTTCTTGACAGTGTTAATAAATTAAACGTGCATTTATGGTGTTTTTGAACATCTGGCTTGTGTGTTTGATCTACAGAAGAGCCAAGCATCTGCAAGTGATCTCCGTGGGAAGGTGAATGAACTGACTTGCGAGCAAGAGCGCCTGATGGCAGAGCTTGTGAGCCTGCAGGAGCAGCTTTCCCGTGGCGTGGATGAGCGGGCTGCCCTGCTTACAGCCTGTGCCCTCCTGTCAGGTGCTATCATCCCATTACGTGCCCGAGCCCAGGCTCTTGCCACCCAGCGGCTCTTCCTGGCTCAGCGGGCTGATAAATGTGACCACTTTTGTAAACAGCTGGCTGCCCTAGGTAAGGCTTTGTCGCTAGAGCTTAAAGGCGTGCAGCAGAAGTCACCAGAAACAAGATTGGATGAACTGGCGTCTGCCTCAAAGGGAAAACTTGCGTCTTCTTCAAAAAGAAAGGGTCTGCTTCGATTTCGCTTGGCTGTGGTTGTTGTGCTTGGGGCCAATCGGCTGCAACGGCTGGGTGGCTCCACCCGCAGTATTTTCACGTGGACCGAGGGTACAGGGGATAATGGTGCCATGCTGGTCTGCACTGGAAAAGTCAAGCCCAGTGAAGGCCACATGAGTGAGTTATTCCATATTTTTTTCAAAATATATATATACTTTGTTCCAAATGTGAATTTATCTCAATCATATTTTTTCCCAGAGCTCAGCCCCAGACAGCTCCAACTGAAATTTACACTTGCTCACGATTGTTTTCAGAACCCTGCTATAAAGATATTCTGAGATTATGTACAATACATGTTGTTTTTGTGCTGCAGGCTCCAAACAAGCGACAAAAGACAGAGTGTTTGCTGCTTTAAGCTGGTTTTCTAGCCCTGAACTGCAAACAGCCATTATACATTCAATGAGTGAACTTCAGCAAGTCATCAAACAAACAGGTGAAGTGCACATAGCCTGAATGTCTTCATGCGTGACTGAAAGAAAATTATGAGAGTTGTACCATTTTGGGTTTTTGTATTAAACTTTCATGGACGGAAAGTGGGTTCAAGAGCAAAAAAAAAACTGCAGTCATTTTTTTATGCAGTATTTTACTGAAAAGTTTGTTTCATAACATTTTCTTTTTACAGAATTACATGGGGCCTCACTTGGACAGAGTATTGTCACAGCTGCACGGGCAGCCTTTGCTAATTTGTTGGACCATCTGAGCATTGAGATGGAGTGGTCTGTGGGTTCCAACAACCTGCACTATGAGTGGAGAGAGCCTGACTCACTTGCGTGGTTACTAAACCAGAGGTTGACCAAGATTACAGCGCGTGGTCATGGTGATGAGCAGTCGACTCAGTACACCATGCAGGTACATTTCATCATAATATATGTACATATCTTCAATTGCCAGTTTTGAAATAAAGCAAATCAATGCCAAAACATTTTTTGTTGTGTAAGGTGGGAGGGATTCATTATTAGCAATGCTGTGAACTTAGTTTTACCATTTCATATAACTGATTTCAAAACTCTGAATGTTTGATAAGTGTAGCAACTTGCATGGGTGTGACTAGCATGTATATCTTGCAGCACTGTGTGGGCTTGGTACAAAAGCAGCTGCTGGAGTTCACAGAGAGACTGCATGCGGCTGAAGTGGAGCGGAGGGCTAACCGGCTGGAGCTTGCCCAAACCCGTGACTTGAGAAGGCACGCAGATCATTCTCGCAGCCTGAAGAAGGAGCTGCAGGAGCTCAGACAAGTGGTGAGCCACGACCTGGCATTAGCTGTCACGCCCTCACATCACCTCATAACCCATTCCGAGTTTTAACTATCTCCAAGGGAAGCCCCGCACTTACAATGGCTCTTTCCCTTCGATGTTAGCTTAACCATTATCTCAACAGTTTTCCATAATTCTGATGTGGGATGGTTTTGTCGGGCAGTAGCAGTTAATTCACCTAATTGTTTTGCACTGATAAGTACCACAAGATGCACTAGAGGGAACAGAGCTTGTAGCGTTTACTATGAAAACCAACTTTATCTTTGAAAATATGTTTTTCATTAAAAACATTAAAATAAACACAACCTTTTTTTTGCTATGCTCTTGTGTAACCAAAACAGTGTGTGTTGCCTCCAACACATGTTGGCTTCTATTGTTTTGCATGGCAGCGTGTGTATTGTTTATGTGCATGTGGTGCTCGTGTACAGTTTAAATAGTGTGTTTGTGGGTTTTTTAACGATGTTTTGCCTTGTCCCTGCTGTGTCTTGTGGTTTTGTTTCTGGATATTTTTTTCCAGGCCTTTTTTTGCATTCTAACCTATGCTGTTGTCTGCAGACTCAAAACCTCGTCCCAGTGGAGCAGTTTAACGGAGTGTGTGAGGAGCTGAAGAGTGCACTGGCCAGGGAGCAGCTGGCTCAGCACCTCCTCAGGGATCAGGCCCACCAGCTGCAGGAGCTTGGGGATCGCCTGCAACAGCATGCCAGCCAGGACACGGAAAAGGAGCAGACTCTCGCCGAAGCCGTCAAGGTGCCGTTAAAGAGAACATAATATGGCAGCAGTGACTTTGGTTCTGTTATTTTTTGCCAACTGTAACAAAAGCCATAATGCTGTGTTTTTAATGGTACGTAGCTAACCGCGAAAGGTATGTTGTGTACGTCTATACATATGGTTAATTTATTTTAAACTGTTTGTGAATGTGGCAAAAATGTAGTCGTAACATAAGTCACATGTGAATGCAGTAAGTTTAGAGTAAGTAGGTGGTGGAAAATGTGAAAGCATATGCCCGTGTGATGTAACTACGATATGACTGAATGCAACTTGTTTTTGAATTAGGGCTTATCGGAGGCCAAGCTGGAGGTGCGGAGAAAGGAGCATGCCGTGCAGCAGCTCAATCGTCGTTTGGCCCAAATGGAGAATGAGCGACGGCGGTTGTACGATGCCATTAAGGGCACTGAAGATGTTCTGCGCAGCAGTACCAGGTGAGCAAAGGACTGTTCCAACAGGCACCTATTGTCAACGGCTCCACAGTGACGAGCGAAATTGATTGTCTTGTGCCGCATTTTACGCAGTACAGTAGTGGTATCCTTTATGCAACCAGGAGATGAAAATAAAGGTCCAGTGAGACGTGTGATGCATTTCCTTTTTTTGCAAGGGTAACTTGGGCTACATGAAGTCAGTTATATTTCAGCAGAATAATGGAAAACATTTTACATTTAACAAATCCAAATTATATTTTACAATGGTTTGTATAGTCATAACGGCTCCTGCATGCAGAAAGGATTAGCTGATTTCTGTAAACCTAGAACATAAAAAAATTATCAGTATTGTAATTGTCGTATTTAATTGTCTTTCTTTCTGACAATAAAATGTGCACACTGTTTCATTTAATATTTATGTATACTCATTAAAACAACGATATATATCTTTAACCAGGAGTAAGGAAAATGTGACAAATTACATGAAATGTCTGGACCAAAGTCTTCAGCAGGTAAGGCATGATTTTTGTACTTTTTTGTCTTGTTCAGTCACATGTTTTACATGTAAACTAAATAATCGACTTTTTATGTTCACATTAGTATTATTATTGCTACTACATAATACAGTGTAGTTGGTTACTGTGTGGTGTATTTTTGCTATACGTTTGCCAGGATGTAAGCTCTCTCCCAGCAGGTAACTTGCTGACATCCGGTGGTTTTATGTAAGTCAGCATCAACACTGCTGAGCGGCTGAAAGTTTTGACCCCATGGCTGCTTACTTTGCGGACGTAAACAACCTCGGTTTGCACCTTGCGTCATGCAAGTGACAACTGGTCACTTGGGTTTCATCACTTTGCTAGCTCTATTGCCATTTCAAACACTCGTAACTTGCAATACAAATTGGCCAAAATATAGACCCTTTTTTTACCCAAATTTTTTTTCATGACATGTCAAGCTACTGCTGTATGAGGGCCTCTCCACGCCATACGGGTTGTAGGGTCTTCTTCTTGCATTAGGTATCAAAGCTCACTTTGATCACAACTTCATCCAGATCGATTTGCCTTTATCTGTTGTAAAAGACGGTCCTCAACAATGTGGACGGTTGTTCATTGGGCAGCTCCACAGTCACATACAGTGAGGGAAAAAAGTATTTGATCCCCTGCTGATTTTGTACGTTTGCCCACTGACAAAGAAATGTTCAGTCTATAATTTTAATGGTAGATTTATTTGAACAGTGAGAGACGGAATAACAACAAAAAAATCCGGAAAAACGCATGTCAAAAATGTTATAAATTGATTTGCATTTTAATGAGGGAAATAAGTATTTGACCCCTCTGCAAAACATGACTTAGTACTTGGTGGCAAAACCCTTGTTGGCAATCACAGAGGTCAGACGTTTCTTGTAGTTGGCCACCAGGTTTGCACACATCTCAGGAGGGATTTTGTCCCACTCCTCTTTGCAGATCTTCTCCAAGTCATTAAGGTTTCGAGGTTGACGTTTGGCAACTCGAACCCTCAGCTCCCTCCACAGATTTTCTCTGGGATTAAGGTCTGGAGACTGGCTAGGCCACTCCAGAACCTTAATGTGCTTCTTCTTGAGCCACTCCTTTGTTGCCTTGGCCGTGTGTTTTGGGTCATTGTCATGCTGGAATACCCATCCACGACCCATTTTCAATGCCCTGGCTGAGGGAAGCAGGTTCTCACCCAAGATTTGACGGTACATGGCCCCGTCCATCGTCCCTTTGATGCGGTGAAGTTGTCCTGTCCCCTTAGCAGAAAAACACCCCCAAAGCATAATGTTTCCACCTCCATTCTAGATTTGAAGCTTTCGTGACTGCAAGGATCCATACTCTTTGGTTCTATTCGGTAAAGTCACGTAGGTAAAAAAAGAAAACAACAAAAATCACGACGTTTCGGCCACAACACAAGCGGCCTTCATCAGGTGGAGGGACCAGCCTGCCTCGAAGACTGCGCTGGAGTGAAACAGAGCCAAGCTCAGACTACGACCTTTAAGCTGTGTGAGAGGGATTAAGGTGCCTCGACAAAGGAATTAGCATAAAAATTAGCATTTGATTGGCGGACTTAGCATGATGAAAGGTGTAGCACGCGGCAGTGCACCTTTAGGCTGTGTGAGAGGGATTAAGGTGCCTTGACAAAGGAATTAGCGTAAAAATTACCATTTGATTGGCGGACTTATCATGATGAAAGGTGTAGCACAGTGATCGGCACTGGCAGTGCACCCGCCTGTGCTGCGAAAGTTTGGGGTATCACTATTTGAAAAAATATACTGTACCAATGAAAATTAGTTTAATGTTTGGTTCGATTTAGAACATCTTTCCAATGGTTGCTTAATTTGAAACCATCTTCTCGGTTGAAATTGTGTCTGTGTTTGTAGATCTGAATTGCTTCGTGAACAAATCTCTGATAAAAACATGTGGGTTTGCAAAGAACTTTGGTATCGGAGAAAATTATATCGTGATCACCCACAGCGTTGTAACAGTGATCAGCAACGGCAGAAGAATTCGTTCTGCCGTGTTTCAAATCTGATTTGTGCTCGCGAATTCGGTCAGAGACATGTCGCTTCGTCTCCCCGATATTGCAATCACCGCAAGTACAAATCAATTTGTAAACCCCGGGGTACTGTAAGTCAGGAATGACATCCTTCACGGATGGGATCAGATCACGAATTTTATGTACTTTATTGAACCGGACCTGGATCTTGTGTTTGTTTAGAATTTTGGAAATCTTTTTAGTAACGCCTGCTATATATGGTAGTGTGATGGTTTTGACCGGAGTATCAAGTGGTTGTTTCTGTATGGAGGGAGAAACAGCTTGGCGGATGGTACGGTCAGAGTATCCATTCCTTTTGAGGGCCAGGTGTACATGTTTTAATTCACTGGTCAGGTGGCGTTGGTCCGAAATGCAATGAGCCCTATGGTATAAAGTTTTGATGAGAGAATTATTTTGGGCTGGGTGGTGGTGGGAATCAGGCTTCAAGTAGGAATCTGTGTGGGTGGGTTTCCTGTAGACAGAATGCCCCAATGAGCCATCAGGTCTCCTCTCAAACAGAACATCCAAGAATCGTAGCTTGCCATTTTTCTCCACTTCCATGGTGAATTTGATGGCGGGATGTCTGGAATTGATGTGGTGTAGGAAAAGGTTCATAGCCAAATGACGAAAGTGTCATCCACATATCTCTTCCACAGGGAAGGTCTGAGGGTGGAAGTCTGGATGGCGTCCGATTCAAATTTCTCCATGAAAACATTGGCTATCACTGGTGATAAGGGGGAACCCATGGGAGTACCCACATTTTGCTTGTAGAAGGAACCATTCCAAGTGAAGCAGGTGAGGCAGTGCCTGACCAGCGTAGGTACCTCGGGGTTTAGTCCATGTTGTACCAAATTTTCAATTATATCAATGACGGTGGGGATGGTGTTCTTGGGGTCATACGCAGCATTCCTCCTCCTCCAAACACGGCGAGTTGAGTTGATGCCAAAGAGCTCCATTTTGGTCTCATCTGACCACAACACTTTCACCCAGTTGTCCTCTGAATCATTCAGATGTTCATTGGCAAAACTTCAGACGGGCATGTATATGTGCTTTCTTAAGTAGGGGGACCTTGCGGGCGCTGCAGGATTTCAGTCCTTCACGGTGTAGTGTGTTACCAATTGTTTTCTTGGTGACTATGGTCCCAGCTGCCTTGAGATCATTGACAAGATCCTCCCGTGTAGTTCTGGGCTGATTCCTCACCGTTCTCATGATCATTGCAACTCCACGAGGTGATATTTTGCATGGAGCCCCAGGCCGAGGGAGATTGACAGTTCTTTTGTGTTTCTTCCATTTGCGAATAATTTCACCAACTGTTGTCACCTCGTCACCAAGCTGCTTGGCAAAGGTCTTGCAGCCCATTGCAGCCTTGTGTAGGTCTACAATCTTGTCCCTGACATCCTTGGAGAGCTCTTTGGTCTTGGCCATGGTGGAGAGTTTGGAATCTGATTGATTGATTGCTTCTGTGGACAGGTGTCTTTTATACAGGTAACAAGCTGAGATTAGGAGCACTCCCTTTAAGAGTGTGCTCCTAATCTCAGCTCGTTACTTGTATAAAAGACACCTGGGAGCCAGAAATCTTTCTGATTGAGAGGGAGTCAAATACTTATTTCCCTCATTAAAATGCAAATCAATTTATAACATTTTTGACATGCGTTTTTCTGGATATTCGCGTTGTTATTCTCTCACTGTTCAAATAAACCTACCGTTAAAATGATAAACTGAACATTTCTTTGTCAGTGGGCAAACGTACAAAATCAGCAGGGGATCAAATACTTTTTTTCCCTCACTGTATTAGAGTAGCTCACAAATCAAGACGTGGCACCAGGGTGCCAAAATACTCATCGCCACACACAAGTCTATTGAGCCTGGTCCAAAACAGTCTGGATAGCTGGGGGTTATTTGACCATACGTCACCATGCCGATCATTGCGGGTTGGTGAAGGTGCAGAGCATAGACGTTGGAGTACACTACAGCAATGGCATTTGTTGCAGTGCTCTCGGCTGTCTACTGCCCAGGCCCCACATTCCTGTGACATCCTGTTTATGCATGGCGGTTACTCTTAAAAGCACTAGATACACTCACCTGTATAGCATGGAAAATCTGACGAGATCAAGTACATTCTGGGTGATTTAGTCAAAGGGTTTTCACATCACACTTCGCTTAAAACAATATCAACAATTGCCTTATATATTTTTTGAAAGATTTGTTTTAATCGTTTAATCATAGTGTACGTAGTAAAGCACTTGTTTAATTTAACACCATGAAGGAACATTTTATCTGGCAATAATGTAATTGCATTTCTCTCCCTGTACACTGCACAAGCACTTCCACTATTTCAAATGGAGTGCTGTCAAGTACCAGCCTTCACATTAGCTTCCCAGCCACAGTGTCCGATTGGAGCCACTGCTCACGGCTGAATTAATTTTGGGTGAGAGAAGAGAGTCCGTCTGCCGCTATTACTTCAGGGGGCCGTAAACCCAGCGCAGATGTTACCCTGGAAAGTCATTACCTCACTGTTTAATAATTACAGGGCATCTGTGCATCATTCGCTGATGATACATAAACTTCGCACCAGAAAACAACCTCAGCACTTCTGTGAATTTGATGTTAACCCTTTAAACCATTTAAAACTGTCCACTACAGCGGAGCCTAATGAGGTATGGTGACCAAAATATATTGAGTAGTGCTCACTTCTGATTTTAGGAACTATTAGTTGTTGCAATGAACAAACTTGGAAAGCCTTGTCACAGTTGTGAGAGATGGAGTAATGCATTTCAGTTAATATCGTCAATATGAATAAGTTCACAAGATGAGGTTGCATACAAATAAGAATGGGTTTTCAGGGGGGGGGCTATGGGGTGTAAAAAATAGTTCAATCTGACATTCAAGTCGCATCATTGAAAATAATCTTAGTTGGTCAACAAGTATCAATGGGAATATTTCAGAAGCTGAAGCAGTTTGAGGACTGTTTAATACCAACATTTTTTACGTTAATCATTGCTTACAAATATAACATGGTAAATTATTATTAGAGCCAGGATGCTAAATGCCCATTTCCACGTATCGTAATTGCCAACTAAATGTCCAATGCATAGAGTTTATAACATACATTTAAATTAATATGTTCGTGTAATAAAAAAAACAATTGCTTCATAAATAATTTTTATATAAATAAACGTACTGGATATGGGTTTCCCTAATGTTTTTATACAAACAATCTGTTTTGGGAAAGACAGATGCTGTGTAGGGGAACAAATCTCAGCAGACTTGCATAACATGGTCCCAACATGTGCCTGCAGTTCACAAAACACTCTAATCCCGATTACATTCTCCTCTCTTGGGTTCACAAACATTCTCTCTGTAGTGGCATCTGAATAACTGGTATCTAGCGATCCAACTCGAATTAAAAAAAAAACTTATACGCTATCCTGCATCACCATTCCCTCAACACCTGCCACAACATTAACCCGTGCAATATTTGGAAAGGGTGCTTCTTTAAAACACATTCATTACGATGCATTTCATTGCAATAGTTTTATCATATATTGTGCAACAAAGGTGCAAATACTCCGAAAACAATCATAAAAAGGTTGTATAGCTTTTGGAACTGGATAGGAAACATTTTAGACAATACTGACAATAGTACCATAATGGGAAAATGCCACTTGGAGCAAAAGTTACCCAACTGTTTTCAAGTACCTTTAAGATACCCATCATTGATAATTTGTCTGGCAATCTTGAAAACCCAATTGCAGAACATATTGCTTTCTTTGGTATAGGGGCAAGGGGCACTGCGGGGGGGAGGTGGGGGGGTAAATTCCTGCATATGTGTTTTTGAGCTCTGTCACATGCATGTCCCTTATTCTTTAAAGTGGCACATTTAAAACAGTTAAAGAGCTATTAAGGATGATATAGCATTTTATCGAGAGGCGTGCATCAACAGGCGGGCTGTAAATTGTTTGGTTGTTGTGTTTTATTGACTGTGACATTTTATGAAGCGGCTGGAAAATCCAGCCCCCAAGAGGGGGCCCCCTTGGTAACATGTGGCAGTTTAATGCCCCATGTGACTGGCCTCATTTTTATGATGCTGTGATTTATTCTTGTGGTGTCATTGAGTTTGTCGACAACAACGTCAAAACCACCTATCGGTGTCTGTCCAGCTCACACATTTGTTTATCAGGCGAGTTTAAAAATGCATTGTGTGTGCGGTATTTATTTCTAGACTGTAAAACTCATTTGCAAATAATATGCAAAGTATTTGATAAATAAGCAGGCAGCCTAAGGGAGACAGTGTTGATTATAGATCTGGAAAGTTAATCAATGGGACCTTTACTAAGTGGCAGTAATTTAACATTGAAAGACTGACATTATGATGCAGGCTTCATATTAACTTGCCTCTTTCTAAACTGAGGAACCAATTGCATTAATGGCAAATTGAAATAGATTTGGCGGAGAAATCCCGTTCGTTACGTCTGCTGAACGGCAGGGAAGAGCTATCGTCTTTTCTCCAAAGCCTTCCTCAAGGTCTAATGGTTGCAGTTCCCAGCTACCAATTTTAATTGAGGTCCTCCATAATCAGGCGGGATGCATTGCAAAATCGATCCCCTTTAAATTTATTCATAGATACATTTTCCATTTCCACAGCGCAAGATCGATGGTAGGTCACTTGCATGTCTCTCTGCCTGCAGTGACTTCATCCTGTCTGTGTCCCATGGGGAGTGGTACTGGTGTACCTTTTGGTGGGGTGTAAATCAACAGCCATTTGCATACATAGATTCAGTAACTCGCAAGATCAGTTTCTTTACTTGCTGAGCATTCCAGAAACTTTTGTTTTAATCAGTATATTGCTTCGTGGCTTTGGCATTAATCTTGCTAAAATGGAGTGAATTGGCCTTTAATGTTGCCAAACTCGTGAATCCTGTGGAATAGTTATTTACAGAACTTTGTATCATTATTTCAGGTACTTCAGATTTGTGGTCCGGTAAATGTAAAACGATTATTGTTCGTATGCATTGTGTATTTATTTTGTGTCTGAAGAGAGATATTTAAAGAAAATGAATTACAGTTCCGTTATGGAATTCAAAGTCTATATTATGTCAGCGTCGTATATCTAAACTGCGAAAGACATTCTTGATTAAGACTGTTTGGAAATATATGTCCGGGATGTCATGATTTGTACTGTCACGTTTTACGAGCTGTAAATAATGTAGACTACAGTATAATGATGTGATGGCCCCACTTGTTTAAAAAAATAGTAACAATAAAAATGTTAAATAATATTGATGAATGTTTGTTTTTATATGTGGTTACACTAAATTTGGACACAGCACAGGCTTTCTAGAATCATTGCAGTCTGGGTTATGAGGTTTAGAACAGTCTAAATCATCTTGAGGAAATTGTATTGGGTAATTTTCAATTATCTTTACAAGGATATGTCAGCAGAAGTATTGAAACAAAGGCTCATAATATCTCACCACCATTGTCATGAACACTGGCTTACAACAAAAATACAATTAGCCAATGTTTATGGCCATTACCTTACTGTACGGCAGCGAGTGAAGGAAAGTGTGAGGTCATGACATCATTTATACTGAAAACGAATGTGATGTTTTGCAAAGACTTAAATATTTTAAACAAACAGTATCTTTGGACAGTTTTTAATTTTCTGATTTTGGGTATCAAACAAACCTCAATTGCGAAAGCACATGTATTCTTTCACAAAACATAATGTTACTATTTTAAACAAAGCTCTTTTAAGAGAGATTTCAATTGTTATCCACCATGATTATGTATGTTGAACTTCTTTCGCACCATTCATAGCCAACCGTGCCAATCAGTGGTGTGGGCGGGGGGGCAACAAATTAAAAACAAAAAGTAGCTCTAAATAAATAATATAATGTAAGTGAAGAAGCGCATACTCGTCGGTGCAATCTGACCTTTGGCACTGCAGGTGAGGGAGCAGCTATCCCTGTCGTGGGCCACGGGCGAACTGGCACTGCAGCCCGCCACACTGGTCCTGGAGAAGGCCATTGCAGATGGGGCCTGCCTGGGCGTGGAGGCCGGCATCTGTCAAGTACGACATGACACCCTTGGACATAGCCGCACTGGTTACTTGTATACGTCTGACTCCATAATAGAGGTTTTTTGTTGGGTTAGATAATGTAAATCTAAATGTGTCGTTAAACCCGCCACCACCTGAAACAGCCAATTAGTAAGGTTTGTCACGTAAACAAAACATGCCAATTAGTTACTCGTTCAGCACAGCGGTGTGTTGGAGAGTTTACCCACAACATTTACAATTCGATTATGACGTTTCACTGGTAATTACAACCCAAAAAACCCTCTTATGGCTAATATTGGTCGCATAAGCCGATGTGTTAAACATACATTTAACTTTTGATTTAAAGCTTTTGTGATTGCAGGGATTCATATTATTTAAATTATTTAATTGTTTCCCTTCTACGTAACTTTACCGAAAGAACCAAGAATATACATTTGACTGTTGGCTATTTACGTGTGCAATTATTCTTTGGCACAAGTCATAATTTTAAGTAATTTTTTTGGAGATTATTGCACTGATGGTAAAAAGTTACGTGTTACAAGTTGAAATGTGTTGCCATCAGTAGGCTGGGAATCAGTGAACTAAATAACTGTTTTGCCATAGATATTTCACTAAAATGTGTAATTGTTCATAAAATAAGCAATGGTTAATAACCTCTATCTTTCCTTCTACAGTAACGAGTTTAAGATTGTGAGTAGACAAGTTTTTGAGTCCAGACAAGGCATCCCTGAGCACCACCTGACAGAACGAGTGTTTTTGCCTCCCTGTAGAGCGTTGTGCGAAGCGTGTCGGACGTGCTGCAGGCTGCCTGGCTCAGGATATCGGCCCTAGAAAAAGAGATCGCCTCTCACAGACAGCACATCACTATGCTCAAGGGCGAGTTGCACACTGCCTGCCTCAGGGCAGAAGGCCAGGTAAGGGTTAAAGTAACCGTTGTGTAGTGAGCGGCTTCTGAGACGCGTCGTGTAGAAGGCTTCTTATTTATTAGGAACGCACTGGGCGATACATTTGTGTAACGCAGCTACACATAGCCGACCCTATCACACAACCCCATCGTCGGCGTCCAACTACGCAGCTGTTCGACTAGCGCAGTGACGGCGACGGTGAGAGCCTTGCAGGAGATCGGCCACGTGGTTGGACGACGAAGAGAGATGACGGCGAGCAGTGACGCAGCCAGGACCCAGGACCCGCAACAGCACCGAACCTCTGGTTCAGTCCCCCTTACATACACCATAGCGCAGCCAAGCCCCACCTCCGGCCACGCCCCGCCTCCAGCCACGCCCCCTTCCAGAACCTTCGAGCGGGTTCCCGGAGCTTTTCGACCGACTCCACCTTTCACCTTTAGCCCAGATACGCCCTCCTCATAATTAGACATTACGTAACTTGCCCATAACTATGATTACCCCTTCAGGCCGACAGGTGACATCCTGCCATTACATCACCCCCCCCCCCATGTTTAAAATATAGCCGTCCCGGCTAACAATGATAACAAAAACACGTGAGGCAGAAAAAGTTCCGCCATAAACTGTAATAAAAAACCCAACAAAATGTTTTTTTTTTAAATAAGGCAGAACGATCCGCAATGACAAGAGAAGGACCCAAGCAGCAACTTAGGAAGGTAAGAGAAGAGGCAAGGTGAGGAACAGAGAGGTAGAGTAAAAAAAAAATTCCCCTCCGTACTACACGAGAACGCAACCCCCCAATTTCCCTCATACACACACAACGGAATGTTCTTGTCAACGAGTCCTCGACGCCAGTCCATCCATGAGGACAATGTTCACCTTCACCGAAGATGTGGGTTCTGCCCGATAACTCGAAGGCGGTTCCACTCCCGGCTTCGCAGGCATTGTGGACCCAGTCGCAGTCAGCGATATCACGGGCCCCGCCGACCTTTAGGGGTTCGGAAGCTGTGGGCGGCACAATACAATCCTCCTGACGCACACTCTCCATCGGCGTTTCCCCCGGCTCGTCCGACATAACAGACATCGTCCGTACACAATTTGGAGATGAGGTGTCAGTTCGAGGAGGAATATAAGGCTTCAACCGCGACGGATGAACAAACCAACGGCGACGGCCCACTCGTATACGCACGCACTGCGGCCGCTTGACTTCGACCACTTCCACGGGACCTTGCCATGGCCGATGCAGCTTAGGGGACGTTCCCAATGGCATTTGCGGGCCATGCAACCATGCCAGATCCCCCACAACCCACTGAAACAAATTGCCCCGCCGCTCCGCATTCCGTTCCTTAGCCGCCTGTGCTTTGGTGGTGTTTAATTTTGCCAATTGACAAGCTGCCGAAAAACGTTCTAGGCGCAGGCAAATTAGATTTTCCCTTTTTTTCAGACAAACCCAATGGAACCTCCAAAGGAGGTTCACTCTCCCTCCCGTACATGAGAAAAAAAGGCGAAAACCCCGTGTAAGTGTGAGGCGCCACCCTGTATGCGGCCAACACTCCTGGAACATGCAGATCCCAATTAGTTTGGGCTGCGCTGACTGCCTGACTGAGCATAGATGTCAAGGTCCTATGCAGCCGTTCCACCATCCCATCCGTCTGGGGGTGGACGTCCGAATTTTCCTAGTACCTAGCGCATCACAAATTTCCTGTAGTAGCTTGGAAGAGAAATTCCGTCCCTGATCCGTGAGAAGCTGCTCGGGGGCACCTTTATCCAATACGTATCCATGCAAAAACGCCTCGGCAATAGAGGCTGCCGACTGGTCAGGCAGCGGCTAGGCCATAGGCCATCGTGAAAAATACTCAAGGCCTACTTAGAGAAACTTGTTGCCCCTGTGCGTGGCAGGAAGGAGCCCGAGGATGTCGAGCACGACCAACTAATTAATTTGCAAAACCGAGATAGACTGCAGCAGAGGCTGGGACTTTCTCAGCGGCGGTTTCCTACGCGCGCATTCCATGCAACCTTGAATGAAGTGGTACACGTCGCTCGACATCCCCGGCCAATAATAATCGCGTTGCAATGTTAGCAACATTTTCCGCACTCCGAGATGTAACAACATATCCTCGTGCACAACCCGAGTCAACTTGCCTCGGAGGGCAGTAGGAACCACAACGCGATGACGGTGCAACCCATACTCGTACAGCATCAAAAGACCCTCCCTTAGGACCGGTCGCGGGCCGTCAGAGGGAGCAGACTTCTTGCGTCCAGCTTCCGCTTGACGCCGCAAGGTCATAAGGGACACGTCTTCCATTTGCAATCTTCCCCACTCGGCACGCGTAAGGTGCAAAACACTGTCCCCTGGCACGACCTCCTCGGCGGGCTCTCCTCCCTCGAGCACCGCCATGACAACTGCGGGTTTTCTCGACACAACGCCTTCGTCCATATCCCATCCAATGTAACATTTTTATCCACCGCGCCAACAATCCCGTCGCATGCAATTCCATCACCCTCGTGAAACGCGGCTGTCGCGTGAGCCAACACCGTCCCCGCCTGAACCACAGCCGTCTCCGGGCCCGCATTGCGCACCTGCAAGAACGGTTCTTGGTTTAGGCGGACGACTGTCTGTGCGCCAAGCAGCGCCAACCTCCGAGTCGCCGGATTAGACGGAGTCAACAAGACGCCCGATTCTGAATCCGCTACCTGTAACCGCTTACGATAGCGCAGCGGCACCAACATCTGCAATCCTGGCAGGATTTGCACCGAGTCCCTGGCAAGGGCCTGGACTGTAACATTCGCAACCGTACTTTTGTGTGGGGACGACGGCATCTCCACATAGCCCTGATTGATGAGGATCTCAAGGGGCATTTTACTAAAACAATCTCTGCTCAAAAGGCATGGCACCGCCAGCGTCCTCGAGATCGGTACCAGCCCAACAACTGCGATCTCGCCAATCTTGACGCAGGCCTCCACTTGCTCTATAATCCCTATACTACCACCATTCGCTGCGACGCACACGTTTACTACCAGCCTAACAAGCTGGTTCCTCATCGGCAACAGATCCAAAATTACATCCGATATAATTGTGGCGGAAGCACCCGTGTCTACCAGGACACGCACCTCAATTCCCTGGATCGAACCCGACACCGTCGAGGTCCCCGCAGCGGCCGCGATCACCCGACGCGCCAACTTCCTCCACTGTGTCCCCGAGCTAGGCCACCCCTGTGTAACAAGGCCCTGCCACGCGGCGGCAATGTGAGTGCCATGCGGGGTAGAGATGACTTTCGGAAGCCTAGAAGCCTGAGTTTGCAACATGGGCCGAGTGTCTGATTGTCACGACTCGCCCGTTGGGGATGGGGTGCAGCCATCGATCGAGCCGGGGGCACCGGAGACGTCGTCGGGGCTCGATGCAGGCTCTGGCATCCCCGCGCGAAGTGCCCTGGCTGACCGCAGCGGAAGCAGGTAAGTGTGGCCCTCCGCAGCAGGCGATCCTCCTCCCTGTCTGCGACTCCACGCTGGGATGGCGGCTGCTACGTCACTGTTCGGCAGCAAGTTCACGGCTGGCTGAACTGCAACACTCCGTGGCGACCACCTCTACCGACTCGACACTGCGGCATTCTCCCCTCCACACCACCATCTAGGACCACCGGTGCAAGTTCTCGTGGGCCTGCAGACATTGGGCGGCCCATCGGGACGTCAGTTCGTCTTCGTCAGTTACCGGCAAGACGACCCCCATCTCTCTAGCCAGTCCCAACATCCTCTGCATTACCAGAGAGTCGAGGGCCTTCGGGTCCACTGCGGGGTACGCCGCCTCTCCCAGTGCCAATAGCGCGCTGCGGTAGGCGAGGAGTGTCTCGGCCTCCCCTCGTCTCCGCTGCAGAAACTTCTTACGCGTGTCGGAAGGTGGTTTGTATACTTAAGCCATCTCAGCGTATGCCCCATGGAGTATAGTTTTCTTCCCGGCGGGTATGGTTCGGAAAACAGCGAGGGCGTCGTCGTCTAACACCGTTGGCAGAACTCTCAGGACCTCCTCCTCCTCGGTCCAATTCACCAATCCGTAAGCCGCTTATAAGCGGCAGATAAAGGCGTTCCAATCTCCCCCTGCCGCAACGAATTCTCTGACAGGAGGCAGTCGGCGGGTTTGTTCAGTTCCTCTTCCACCGTCAACAACAGCAGGCGTCGATTCCGGCGAATCACGCCCGAGTCCTAAAATGGTGGCCTCCGACCACGCTTCTCCCACAACGCGCGTAATGGCGGCCTCCGGCCTCGTGGTCTCTGCATCACGCGTCATGGCGGTCGCCCCGCCCGCGGACGTTCCCGTCAGTGCGTCGTTCTCCGGCGCCTGATCTCCTCTCTCTGGCGAGATCTGTGTGGTCCGCCCCGCCATCGTAGTCGCCGTCATGAACTCCACCAACTGTGAGACAGTCGTCCGCAGGAGCTCCAGTTGCGCCAACACCACGCGCCAGCCCTCTTCAGGCTGTTGCTGCGGAGAGGCCGCCCCCAGTTCCGCCGTCTCTGGTGCAGCCAACTCTCCCACCGCGGCTTCAATAACTGGGACCGTGGTTGCCGGTGCTGTCATGAGGTCCTGTGTCTCGTTTTCATCGTCATCGAAAGATGCCACAGGTGGGTTTTGCTTCTTTTGGTACTTCGACATTCTTCCATTTATTAAAATTTTCTTCTCAACCACTTCTGACTCCAAATGTAGTGAGCGGCTTCCAAGACACGTCGTGTAGAAGGCTTCTTATTTATTAGGAACACAACCCCATCGTCGGCATCCAACTACGCAGCTGTCCGACTAGTGCAGTGACGGCGACGATGAGAGCCTTGTAGAAGATCGACCACGTGGTCGGACGATGAAGAGAGATAACGACGAGCAGCGCCGCAGCCAGGACCCGCAAAAGCACCGAACCTCTGGGACTAAACCTCTGGTTCGGTCTCTCTGGTTCGGTCCCCCTTACATACACCCCGGCGCGGCCAAGCCCCGCCTCCGGCCAAGCCCTGCCTCCGGCCACACCCCACCTCCGGCCAAGCCCCGCCTCTGGTCACACCTCGCCTCCGGCCACACCCCTTCCAGAACCTTCGAGCAGGTTCCCGGAGCTTCCCGACTGCCTCCGCCTTTCACCTTTACCCCAGATACGCCCCCCTCATAATTAGACATTACATAACTTGCCCATAACTGCGATTCACCCTTCAGGCCGATAGGTGACACCCTGTCATTACATATGTATTAAAAAGCACGAGTGCTAGAGGTACAAAAGTTGCACAAGCGGTAACACTGCATGGTTCTGTGTTTCTGTTTTCACAAACATTGGGTTGCTCATGCAAGCTTGTGAACTTGAAATGATACATTTCCTATTGTGAAGTGAAACACCGTAAATGGTAAGTAAAGGAGGGGATTATGTTTTTGATTATTCATGATAATGGCCAGCTCAGAAATACTCTGTTTCATAAAGAGCACAAGCAGTCGCTCTTATTCGCATTTGTTGAATATTGCGGTATACCAGCATGGATATTGTGCATCATTTCTTTTTGGAGGATGCCTAATTAATAAAAATACCTTGAAATGTCTGAGCATAAATGTGGGCGTTTGTAATTGACATGTATATGAGTATTCAAATTTAAGTTGTATAAATGTGTATGGCAAAATGTAAAAAAAAATGAATGAGACAAAAAAAATATCTGAAAAATAACAACGTGGAAGCTGAATTTTTTTTTGCTTGAGTAGGGAGTTGAGGAGGGGATTGAGTACAGCTGAAGCTGGGACATGGCAGGCCTTCACTATGGCAGCTGGAGCTGGCTTTTATCGATAGTGGGGAGGACAAGACAAACCGCCCTGGCATTAACACAACCAGGCAAACATGCTCAATGCTTAAAAGAGAATGCAGAATGTACATCCACGCCAAGAAATGTATGTATGCATTACCTCTTTTGCACAGTATGTAGCCAACCGTGCTAATCGGGGGTGCGGGGGAAGGACAAGAAGCTAAACACAAAAAGCGGTTCTAAAAAAATGTACACAAGGGTTGCCCTGCAAGAAAAAAATGCCACTCCTTTAAACTTCCCTTGTGATTTAGAAATTAATTATATTGCTATGCATTTCTCAGTGGAACATTACAATTTCGTATCTTATTCTGGTGTAAAATTGTGCTGTGTAGACATTTAATGTAAGCATCTTCTGTGCATTTAGTAAACTCTTGTTTATTCTGTAAACACGTAGACCCCTAGTGGGTCACACATTTGCAGCTGATTTGCAAATCTAATGTTCTTTAAGCTCAATACAGCTTCTGTAGATGTAAAAAAATCATTATTTTTCTGCCAATGTGATCCCTTGGTAATGTACATCTGTAATTGTTCCTATTTGGCCAAGGACTCATTTGTAATCTTAAACACAGTAAATTTAAAACTTAGTACTCTTTTCCTGGGTAATGTTTCCCAATCCTCTCTCCCCAGTGATCTGTTACAGCAGAATTGCCTTTGAAAAAATGTGGCCTGATGGACTTTCCCATCAATTTTGTGCAGAAATCACCATCCGCATTGTGAAAGAACTGAATTGCTAAAATTTTAATTCCTCTGTCAAATAGACAACAGTACATTGTGCAGCAAATATGTAAAGTTGAAAAAAGCTTAGTTTTTTCCTGTATAATTAAAATTCAGAGTTAAAAGCACGAATAATGAAAAAGTTTACAAAGCAGAAGTCTTGATGTTTTTTATGTTAGCCTTTGACCAATGCGGTTAAGACCTACAGCTGTAAAAACCTTGTCAATCAAGCTCATTGACATTTCCAGGAAATAATGTTTGTACCGTGGGAATAACCTAGGGTTCCCAGCATTGATTAAAGGAAATTCTGTGGCTGATGAAGTTGCAATACACGTAACCACAACTGTTCCATCTTGCCACATGATCAAAGATGGTAACTCTTCTTTAAAAAAATATAGAAAGTGTCTATTGTGTTCATTTTAATGGAGCTGTTTAAGATATAAAAAATGTTGTCTAATGTACTCGGAGATCATTAGGAGTTTAGCTAAGTACCATCGCTATCACGGACCATGGAATGTATGTTGGTTTGTGTATCTTCAAAAATATTCCAGTTTACATAAACGCTCAAGAGGTACATTTGGAAGTGGGAGAGCATTGATACATTGTATTTGGAAGGGAATGCAGGGGAGGCTAGCTTGTGCGCTTCTGTACCAACCACATACTGCACGACTGCCAACATTTGTGGCTGCATAATAATGTACAGTATATACTCTTTGTAGCTTACATGACCAGATACTTTGCACAACTTTCTCCTCCCTTGTGCATATGTTTGATCAGTCATTCAGCAAGATTTTTAAATAAACTTTTTAAAGATGTCTAAACACAAGGTATGATACAAATTAATTACCAAACTAGATATCGAAAGCTGCAATTAATTGTACTTGGCTTTTTTAATGTTACACATTTAGCAGACTGAAATTAATTGGCATTTACATATTTAAAATCTGCATTAAAGTTACATATTTAAAATAAACTTTTTTCCATTACTATAATAAGCCTTTTGTGGGTCAAAAGTTATTTGTAAATTGAATTTTGTTGTGCCAAAATACACTCGTATAAATCCAGTACAAGCTGACGACAGTGCCTCTTAGGAATTAGGCTATGTTCCAAAGCAACTATGTGCATCAAAACAATTTCCAAAAATTCACACAATAATTTCTGACATTTAGAAGACTGATTCTTATATGGTATGGATAAAACACCCTTAATGGCAGTACTAAAGAAAGAGAAAACCAATGAAACCCATTATTTGCACAACTACGGCTATATTATTTGTTGAGGTCACATTCGTGGGGTCACTAGAATGCCCCAAAAGGCACATATGTAGTGGGCTGGTGAGGCAATGGATGAATGATGATCGTCCCTTTTCCTGATGTTGCAAATCCTGAAAATGGATACCGGTAAATATCCTCCAAAGGAGGTGGTTAGGTCCTTGTCCCAAGCCGTCGTCGTGCCCATCAGTGTCAGAAGTAGCTGACACCCCCCCCTCCCCATCTTGCTCAGGAGGGTGAGCTTCCTGCTAAAAGCTAATAGGGAAAGCAGGAAAGCTGCTGACAGGGCCATTTTCGGATGAGTGCCATCCCTTGGAGAGGCAGCAGGCTTGACAGCAGGATTGAGTCCAGTGGCCGCTGAAAGCTTTCTAGTGCTCCTTGATGGGCCTGGAGATGATATGTCACTTTGGATAAAAGCCTGCTACCGAGATGTTTTCATAGCTTCTGTTTTAAAGTGCAGCTCGTGCAACATACATAATGCATCGCTGTTCACCTGTACAGGACCTGTTTGTTTGATACATTCAAAGCAAACGTGTCAGACCGCAGTCATCATACCACGCTTGTCTGTTATGTATGTTGTTCTGGAGCGAATGGACAAGCGTGTTTGTTTTGCTGCCAAATGACTCAAAATGGACAGAGATTGACCTCATCCAGCAAGTTGTTTGCAACACCAGGGTGGGATGAGTCATATCAAATAAGGTGCAGTAGTTCAGTACTTTATCAAATTATCTTAGATCAATGGTAAAGGAGGTCATACAAAAGTTAACGCAATGGAGATTGTGGACTTTTTTGCAATTATACTATCATTTTTCTTCTGAAGGTGTAAGGTCTTAATGGGACTTTACGACCTTTCTTTTAACACTTGATCCTTGGCAATCCTGTTTATAACAAGAAGGTGTCATCTACCATTGACACATTTTTAAAATAAAACTTTTTTGCCCCAACGTCAGAAAAAAAACGTTCTCTCAACTCTGATTAATATAACACGAACACCTGTGTACAATGATCTTACACTATGCAAGACCACATAAGTTATAGAGCTGCTCCGGGTGACAAAAGATCTTTCCTGTCAGCTCTCACACCATCTTGCCAATTATGTTGTAGTCGCCTGCCTCCACCAGTGTCGAGGTGCCCGTAATTGGAGGGATTAGACAGCTCTGAGTGCCCGGGTGTTCAGCAGTGGAGGGGGCGTGGCAGGCCTTGACATCGAGTTACGGGCACTTCGGAGTTGGGCAGCCACGTGCGAATAGATAGGCGTAGGCTGGAAAAGGGGATAGAGTCTCGCCCTGTTCTCTCTTGTCATCTGTGTCCCACAGTGGCAGAGGAAAGAATGAGGGTATGTCATATCCTCTGTCACACTCCAATAGCAGGACATCTATTAACACTTGGTCCGTCATCAGCTATTGGTACAATTATCTGCCATAATCATTGATTTGTTTTATTACAGCACTATTTGAAGACAGTTTTAACATAACAATGTTATAAGATGCAATTGGGTTTTATAATACACTTCAAATCAACTTGCATGTTTTCACGTAAATATTGAATAAAATATTAATGTTTCAAACATGACCAAAAAAAAACCTCGTAACTTCTCTTTTACCTTAAGCAAAACGATTGCATTAAAATGTAAAATAAACGACTCAGATTGTTATCCTTGTGCATAACTCGGCAAATGTTTCAATTCTTGCAAAGGTCACGGACGCATGTGTGGACGCGTGGCGGAACGTCAGCAAGCTGGAGTGGGGATGTGCAGGAGAGGTGCCGCGTGGCTCGGACCGGGCTCACGGGGCCAGCTCGGCAGGGCATCACACTGGGCCACTGGAGGGCAGCCGTGGACTCCCCAGGGACTCCACTCCTGCAGCGGAATTGCACGTTGGCTTAAGCAGCTCCGAGCGCGACGCGTCGCAGGGCGGCCGCCCTCGTTCACGCGCTCGCTCCGACCCCACGGCCCGGAGTGTTGGCACCCGTCACAGCCAGAGGCGATCTCCGTTCAGATAGGCAAGGCCCCATCGACCAGTTGTCATCCAGAAGAACAATAAAGGCTTCAGAAGTAAACTTGCTGATTTTCCTCAAAAAAATAAAATCACCGATTCTATTTTTATTTTTTTTATTTTATTTTGGGGGTTGGGAGGGCAGAAGGATATGGTTGTTATTTTTCCCGCAACAGGTCAAATTCATAATTTATGACAGTATATGCCTTCGTGTGTGTATTAGCAAACGAGTACACAATGTACTCATTTAAAGTATTTTATTTATCAGCCATTAATTGATACATTTCAAATACTGTATGTAATTTCAATGTTAAGGCTTAAGTGGTTTTAACGTATCATTCTTTAGGCACATTTTAAAAAAACACGTCTGATTTGATATTTCATTTACAATGGAATGAGCACAAGTTTGCAACAATGCTGTTTGAGGATTTCACATTATATAGTGTTTTGTATGTTGATTTTATCAAAATATTAGTTTAAAAATCATTTGCACTTTGGTTTTGTTTGTATTAACATTGCTAAAAGAAATACTGTAATCTGATGACAGTCAATATTAGTTACCAGGTGTAGATTTCTCTTGGTCTAATTGAACAAATTCCCTTGGCTTTCTCTGGCCATATTTTGAAGAAACAACTCTTGGTTTCATAACATCCCTGTTGGGAACTTATCATTTATATATACATTAAACGCATAGGTGTCTTCATAAAAAATGTCTGCCACATTGTTTTTGTCTGTGTCCTTGCATATATATTTAAGTATCTTGAATGTTGCAGAACTTAACCTGAATGTTGAGGTTAAGTGCCTTAAGATGCCTAACTTCAACATTCAAGTACTAATCCGAGCGGTAAGCAAATAAACAGTGTAAGTGGCGCTGAGAGTGATAGGTGCGTGTAAAAGGAAATGTCATATTCTTCCAAGGCGATTACCCAGAACAGCTAGCCTGCAAGGGCTAAATGACATCCACCCCCAAATTATCTTTAAACAACACTAAGCAAGCAATAAATGCTTGGCGAATAAAAGCCAAGCCACCCTGTATCCCTTTAATGGCTCTGCAACAGTAAACTAATCAGCAGCAGACACGGTTCATCGCACATGGCCTGACCTCATTTGCTCTGGGAGAGCCACCATAAGGAGAGACCGTACAGGCTGGGAGGCCAGCGGCTTTGCCTCTCAAAAGTTTAGTGACAAGCCCAGTGGGGAAATCGTTCAGCAGAAATGGACCCCTTAATCTTTTTCATGCTGTTGGCTCAACAACCTCTGAAAATGATCAGGTAGGAATGAAAATTATAATCGGGCAGTACTTTTAACTGTGCGGTTAAAATGTTGGCAATATATTCATAATGTAGTCCATAGTTTTGTGACTAATGCTGGAGTGATCGAAAACAACACAGCAGTCATTTCAAGCAATCACTACTCGGTATGTTGGAAAGCACCGAGGACTTGCATCTCTTAGATGTGTGGTGGAATATGGAGAGAGGGATGGAACTCGTGGTAAAATCTTCATCAATCAAGTTTTGTGTGTGTATATGTTTGTCAACCTAACTCAAACTGCTGGTATTTATTAATAATATCTTTATGGACATGTAGTATTTCACATTTACTACAATGGTTCAGATTGGTACTGTTTTTGTCTCTCAATCACCGATCGCGATTCAGAACGTGGCAAATTGTTTTCTTACAACTGCTTGCCATAATGACTTGCCAACGATGTGAATGCGCTGGTCAATATTTTACAATGCATAACGGACAATTAATTGCATAAGTGCACTCTATTAAAAAAATGCTAAGTAGGAGGATCATAGCATCAAGCTGAACATTTGATTTGGTGCTTTCGTGACTGCAGGAATTACTCTTTGTTTTTTTTCGGTAAAGTCACGTCGAAATAAGAAATGATAAAAAATATAAGAAAATTACATAATAGCATACGACGTTTCGATTGCAACAAAAGCAATCATCATCAGGCACAGGAGAGATAAATTTAAGAGAGAGAGGAAACACAGAAACGCAGACATATATGCAGGCACCTAAGTAGAGGGAGTTAACACAGACACAAAGAGAGACACGTGTGGGACACAGAGAGACAGGGTCTCTGTGCCGAGGCCTTAGCATGTAGGGGAGACAAAGAGAGATGGAGAAGCACACTAAATCGAACAAGATTTAGCAAAATTTGGAAACAATATAATGCAACACAGAGGGTCGAAATTTAGCAATCCTTAGAGGAACATAATCAGCCAGGTAGAGTGTTGACTGTTATGTTGGCCGGCTATCTACGTTGTATTGTATTATATACCTCTCTGTGTCTCTGCTTCGTCTCTCTCTACTTGTATGTCTGTCTGTGTGTCTCCGTATGTGTCTTATCTCTCTCTCAAATTTCACACTTAACTTATAATTTAGCAATCTTTGAAATAACGTAATCAACCAGCACATGCGTTTATTGTGTTTTGACCGACCCTCTGTGTTGCATTATATTGTTTCCAAATTTTGCTAAATCTTGTTCGATTTAGTGTGCTTCTCCATCTCTCTCTGTCTCCCCTACATGCTAAGGCCTCGGCACAGAGACCCTGTCTCTCTGTGTCCCACACGTGTGTCTCTCTTTGTGTCTCTGTGTTAACTCCCTCTACTTAGGTGTCTGTATATATGTCTGTGTTTCCTCTCTCTCTTAAATTTAGCTCTTCTGTGCCTGATGATGATTGCTTGCGTTGCAATCGAAACGTCGTATGCTATTATGTAATTTTTTTATTATTTCTTATTTCTACATGACTTTACCGAAAAAACCAAAGAGTAAGCTGAACATTGTAAGACTGTCTAGCTTAGGACCAAAAAAAAATAGGACACATTCAGGCAGTGTGACCTAACAAAGCTCAAGGAAGGGGCGTGTTCTCAAGTGTCAGATGGCGTTCCCTTGCATTTACAGTGGATCAATGTTAAAACATTTCCTGAGTTTACATTTTTATTTGACAGTTGCACGAGCAGAGGGCCATTACCGTTTGATCCGGTTTCGCTTGGTCAACACCTTTGGCCGTGATGGATCGCTCACACGCATTGGACGACCGGCGTTGGAGATGAAGCGAGGCACAGCATGTGGGCGGAATAAATGCCATTTTATAAATGACACTCCACGCACCGTAAGCTGCTTAAGAGAGCCGGCGATACTCTGCATTTCCTTGATCGTGGCTTTTTTTTTATGTTTCCTGGTCATCTTCCATTACTGTTGAAAATTACACTTAAGATGACGTGAGTGGAAATTATAGCGTCTAACTCGTACTTATTTATTCAGCAGATCGTGAAATTATGTTTTTAAAGCAGTTTTTTGATTCATAAATCTTTTATTTGAAATATGCAATTAACGTTGAAATATTCCACCGCTATTCCTCGGTCATATTTTAAGTACAGTATTACATGAAACTACTTAATCATTTAATGGAATTTGTGGTGCTGGGTTTTCATTTTACAAATTGGGCATCAGGAATACTCCGAATTCACTTAAAGCAAAAGTTTACCTGCCAAATGTTATCCACAAAATATTTTCGCACAGTTGATCAATTTTCAAAATAATTTCAGTGGAATGTTTATGAAAAAAATCAAATAAATGGTCTGTCATGCACATGAAACAAGTGATGAAAAAATAAAACTTCACAAAATTAAAGCAAAATTGACAGTCTTGGATGCAAATGTCTGAAGTTTTAACTCATTCTAGGTTGCATTTCTTTCTAAATCCCAAGTCTTGAGAATCCACAGAACATACATAACGATGGAGAAAAGCAAATACAATCATTGCTAATGAATTCTATTTGCATAGCGATCCTTGAGACAAATTAAGGATATCAAGATCGTACATCCTAAAGAGCAGAGCGTTTTGGTTGTCATCCCAGAATAAATACAGAAAGTGGTGCCGTGGGGCGGTTTGGGGCTTTAGTGTTGAAATGGCGCTCCTTGCCACCATTGGCCGTGGCTGGTTAAGCGCATGTCACCGTGGGCACAAACCATAGCCAATTGGCGGAGTCGTTTGACTGGGAGCAGTCACTTAAATCAACAGGCCGCTTGTGGATTAACTGACAGCAGCCCCCTCCTGGCTGTTTGATTGGACTCTTCACTGCTCGGGTGTGTGTGTGTCAGAGCGTTGACAAAGGCAGTTGGTTATTTTCCTATTTACATTTTTAGCATTTCCCCTTCTCTTTGCATATCACAAACTTACAGTGAGGGAAAAAAAGTATTTGATCCCCTGCTGATTTTGTGCGTTTACCCACTGACAAAGAAATGATCAGTCTATAATTTTAATGGTAGGTTTATTTGAACAGTGAGAGACAGAATAACAACAAAAAAATCCAGAAAAACGCATGTCAAAAATGTTATAAATTGATTTGCATTTTAATGAGGGAAATAAGTATTTGACCCCTCTGCAAAACATGACTTAGTACTTGGTGGCAAAACCCTTGTTGGCAATCACAGAGGTCAGACGTTTCTTGTAGTTGGCCACCAGGTTTGCACACATCTCAGGAGGGATTTTGTCCCACTCCTCTTTGCAGATCTTCTCCAAGTCATTAAGGTTTCGAGGCTGACGTTTGGCAACTCGAACCTTCAGCTCCCTCCACAGATTTTCTATGGGATTAAGGTCTGGAGACTGGCTAGGCCACTCCAGGACCTTAATGTGCTTCTTCTTGAGCCACTCCTTTGTTGCCTTGGCCGTGTGTTTTGGGTCATTGTCATGCTGGAATACCCATCCACGACCCATTTTCAATGCCCTGGCTGAGGGAAGGAGGTTCTCACCCAAGATTTGACGGTACGTGGCCCCGTCCATCGTCCCTTTGATCCGGTGACGTTCTCCTGTCCCCTTAGCAGAAAAACACCCCCAAAGCATAATGTTTCCACCTCCATGTTTGACGGTGGGGATGGTGTTCTTGGGGTCATTGGCAGCATTCCTCCTCCTACAAACACGGCGAGTTGAATTTTGATTTAAAGCTTTCGTGACTGCAGGGATTAATATTCTTGGTTATTTCGGTAACTCCCCCACCTACAAACTGGCTCGTTTTCTGTCTGAAATCCTGCGGCCTTTCACTGGAAAAAACCACCTCTGTGGTACAAAATTCTACTCACCTGGTATCGACTATCACGGGTATTTCCCTGTCCCCAGACGACCTGCTTGTCAGTTTTGATGTAATTTCCTTATTCACCAAAGTTCCTGTACCTGACATCATTGCAATCATTGAATACTTGGTTCTTCAAGGACTAAACACTGAGGTACCCCCCTGGTGAGACACTGCTTAACCAATACATACTTCACTTGGAATGGAACTTTCTACAAACAAACTGAGGGCACCCCAATGGGCTCCCCCCTATCTTCGGTTGTAGCCAACATTTTCATGGAGAAATTTTAGACTGATGCCATCCAGACTGCCACTCTGCGCCCAACCTTATGGAAGAGGTACGTGGATGACACTTTTGTCATCTGGCCACATGGCCGGCCTGCTTTAGAACAATTCTTCGAACACATCAATTCCATACACCCAGCCATCAGATTTACCATGGAAGTCGAAAAAGATGGCAAGCTACCTTTTTTGGATGTCCTCATAAAAAAGAGACCTGATGGTTCAATGAGCCACTCTGTCTACAGGAAAGGTACCCATACGGATGCTTACCTGAAATCGGATTCCTACCACCATCCATCCCAGAAGAATTCCCTCATCAAGACTCTGCACCATAGAGCCCAATGCATATCCGACCAGGAACACATAGCCAGTGAACTCAAGCACGTACACCAAGCTCTTAAGGCTAATGGTTACTCCGACTACACAATCTGCAAAGCTATCACTCCAACCATGAAGAAGGACCCTCTTGAGGAGCCTTTCAAAACCATCACTTTACCCTACACATAAAAGATATCCAAAATCTTGAATAAACACAAGATCCAGGTCCGATTCAACACATTACATAAAATCCGTGATCTGGTTCCATCTGTAAAAGATATGATTCCGGACATACAGTACCCTGGCGTCTACAAACTAAGTTGCCTCTGTGGTAGTAGTTACATTGAAGAAACCAAACTACATGTCTCGGACCGCATTCGTGAACACAAAGCAGACCT